TTTAATAAGGATAAGATGGTTGAATTTTCTCTTGAAATATTAAACTCTCAGTTTAAATATATATTGACTCAGAACCCTAAGAATTTCTCCACTACAATGAATTCATTTCTGTATGCTGTATTAAAAGCAATGATGGTGTTCTGGTATGTTACTCAAACTATAAAAGGTTTGTAAATAAATTTAATTTAAAAATACTGATATAGACAATTACCAGTTGTTACAGAATTTTATCTTTCATTTTATTTTTTTATGAAAGTGATGATGTACATTTGGAAAAGAAATTTATAGAAAAAATATGTAATATATCCCTTCCTAGAGCATCATTTGTTAATTATACTAATGGTATAAATTATTAATAAATTTGTTTCAAAATATTATTGGAAACAAATATTGGCTTTGTGTATCTCATTTTGGCAAGGATTATTCTGTTGTAATATGAATGATAAGTGAAAGATGGTATAACTACTAAATATTTCCATTTTTCTATTCTGAATTGGATTTTATTCATAATGAAAATTTTAATACCTGAAAGAATTTTTAAATCTTATAAATGAAGCTAAATTGAAAAAATATATAAATTTAAGAACTAAGAAATATTTAAGTTTCTTGCAAATTATGGTAATTTTGAATTTGCAATTAATATCATATGGTAATTTTTTTTAAATTCTAATTAAACTTCTTTTGCAAAAGACATTAAATATTATTATGAACGCTTATACTTACCAATTTAACAAATTCAAAATGGTAATAACCATTGTTACCAAAATAAGCAGAAAAAAGCTGTATATGAAGCAAACTCACATTTACACTGAAGAAAGCAAATGCTGTTTAAAATGTTCAAGCCATACGGCAGCAGTATGATTTGCAGCAGTCACTGATGACTTTGGATAATGGTGTACGCCAGGGATGTCAAACTCATAGGTACACTTGGGCCAAACAAACAAGGTTTAACTTTAGGCAGGCCGTAAAAAAAAAAAAAAAAAAAAAAAAAAATCAATATTATAGAAACGTAGATTTATTTCGAGTATACAATAATAAACATATATATATATTTATATAGAAAAGAACAGAAAAATTTTAATGTTTACGTCCTGATACTTGACATCTCTTCTCTGCTATTATCTTTCCTATTTTTGGGAGAAATTTTGTTTTGCAGTGATAACTTTCAACGCTGACCAAGGTGAGCATCATTAATACGGTTTCTAATAGGAGACTTATTACTTTTCATGACTGAAAATAACTGCTCGCACCGATAAGTGCTACCAAACATGGAAATAATTTCATATGCGAATTTTCGAGTATTTTTAAACCTGGCTGGTAAATATTTGTAAAATTCAGGCACGCCTACTTCAATGAATTTTGCTTTCAAATTTGAGTTGCATTGAACCTCGATCACCTCCATTTGCATATGGCTGGGTACTGAGTCAATACTTATTGAGAAAATCGAAGAAAACAAAAAACAAAACAAAAAAAAATTGTCTTCGAGGGAACTAAAATCATTAAACCTCGTTTCAAATTCAGTTTTTAAATTTGCAATTTTTTCTGCGTATTTTTGATACGAACAAGTATCATCTAAACTTGATTTGTTCATGCTGCACGTCGGGAAGTGCATCAAATCTTCATTTTTAAGTTGTTTTTCCCAAAGAACTAGTTGACATTTGAATGCTTTAATTATGTGAAACATGTTCGTAATGATATGATCTTTTCCTTGTAACGATAAATTTAAATCATTTAAGTGTTTTGTTATATCAACCAAGAAAGATAAATTTTGTATCCATATTGGATCGTAAAACAAACTTATGTCTTGATTTTTCATTTTTAAAAACTGACATATTTCTTCTTTCAAATCCCAGAATTGTTTGAGAATCTTGGAGCAAGATAACCAACGTACCTCGGTATAGTGGACAAACCCGAATATTCGCTATCTAACTCACTTAAGAAAGCAGTGAATTGACGCTGATTTAAACCTCGAGATCTTATAAAATTTATAACTTTTTTTATATATGACAAACATTCTCCATATTTATTACTTTCGTGCATAGAACTTCTTGATGTATAATACAATGCATATGATGAATGTTTGAACCGTGAATTTCACTAAGTTTTTTTTCTTAGTAATGCTATGAAGCCCTTATTTTTCCCGGTCGTTGATGGAGCGCCATCTGTAGCTACAGAATTTAATTTTGCCAAAGGTAGATTGTATTTCTGCAGAAGTCCCAAAACACAAGTAAATATATCTTCTCCTGTGGTAGTACCAGGCATCGGTATTAGTTCCAGTAATTCCTCAAAAAAGTTAAAATTCTTGTCACAAGAACAAAGAAACACTGCTAATTGAGCTTTGCCACTAATGTCCGTGCTCTCATCACAGGCAATGGAGAAACTTTCGAAACTAGATGATTTTGCTTTGATCTGATCACTTAAATTTGTGGCTAAATCAGGAACTCTTTCCACAACTGTATTTCGAGATAATGAAATTGATTGAAAAGCCTTCACATTTCCAGGACAAACAATTTCTCCAGCTTTCATTAGGCATTCCTTGATGAAATCACCGTCAGTAAAAGGCTTCGAGTGTTTAGCTATCAACTCGGACAAGACGTAGCTTGCATGTACCGCCGCTTCACTTTCTTGCAATACTTTACTAAACATGGACTGTTGCTTTTTCACTCCTAACTTGAGCTCTTTCAACTTTTCTTCTCTCAATAATCCTTCGTAATTGTTATATTTCGATTTGTGTTGTTCGTAATGACGTTTAATATTATATAACTTTGGTACATTAATAGTATTATCACATATCAAGCAGATTATTTTATCTTTTATTTCACAGCAAAAATATTCTAATTCCCATTTTACTTGGAATATTCTATGTTTGACAGCGATTTTTCGTTTAATTTTACTACCACTTGGTTTTGATATAGACATACTGAATACAAAGGGCTGAAATAAACACGGTTAACGTTAAAAAGTTAACAAAAATTTATTCTTTCCACAAGAGATAATCAAAATGCTGAAATATTTCTTCAAAAATATTCTAACAATATCACAAAATGTCAAACGTTTAGCAAAAATCAATTCAAAACAGAGAAACTAATTCTATCTCACAGCGAAATCGCTACAAATCAATCGCAGCATTAAGTAAACAAATAGTTCGCTAGAACTACAGCTACTACTGAGATGAGTTGTCTGTTCTCGGCTTTTATAAGCTTTTATAATTAATTTCTCGATATACTGGAAACATCTATAAATATCTGGATTTTTGTGGATGGCAACAGCAATTACAAGATATTTATTTATTATGTATTAAATGCACGCGCTGTTCTATTTTTAACCTTCCAACGCAGCTGTCTTTTCAAAAATCGTCTGCGTTGCTAAGGCAACATGAAGCAAATCTAATTACAATTCTAAATTTAAAAAACTAAATAAATAAATAACTATGAAATCCGTAACAATATGAATTAAGTAATAATTAATAATAAAGCAAAGTGCATGCACCAATATATCGTACAAAACTATGATTGGAAAACTGAGACCATGAGTTCGGCAACATTCGGCTATCGGGGGATGCGTACAAGTTCTGAGTGCACGTGTCCCCCAAAAGCCGAAGATAGCTGAACGCAAGCTACTCACACGCATTTGTAATTTAAGTAGTGTGTGTGTCAGCTCGCTGTGAGTAATCTAACAACACTGAATAAATTATCGTTAATTACTTAGCAGTAAACATTTCATTTTTTTCTTCGTCGATATGTTATTTTATTAATATATATTATTATTTGCCGATATATTGGCCGGGCCGCCAAAATATTTGTTGTGGGCCGCGAGTTTGACATCCTTGGTGTACGCCAAACTTGGTTAAAAAGTGAGGAAAGCCATTTATGTCTTATAGCTAATCCTGGGTTTTCAACAAAAGACTTAACAGCGGTCACTTCCGTGATATCTAAAACAGATCAATATTTCTTTGAAAGTGAACAGATTAAATAGTAATTTTCCCTATGGCAATCACCTCTATAGAAGTGCAAAATTCTTAGAACTATAGATGGTCATTTTCAAAAAGTTTCAATTCATAAATTCCAGTTTTTTTTTTTTTTTTTCTTTTTACGGCAGGCACTCACTTTTCTAGTACTGACCACTCCTAAGGGCAAAAGGGATGGCCATTTTATTCTGGTGGCACCTAATAGGTGGTCACCATTTTAATTTCTAAGAATAGGAAAAAGTAAGTAGATAGGAGAATGCAACAAAATTTAAAATGTCATTATCTTTTCCTATTTGTTACTTTTAAGTGAAACGGATAGATGAATATATTATATTACTGAGGTATAGCTGTAATAAACAATTTTGATTGATTATCATTAATTAAAAAAAACTTGCATTTCCAGACCACTATGTGTTCAGGGGGCCTCCTCAAAGCCGTCCACCAGCCTTTTAACTTGCCTCTGGCACTGAAGAGATTAATAATTAACAATAACGTTCTATTCATATATGCTTTTTAATTATTATTTTTTTCTTTCTTTAACCTCTCACCTCAGAAATTGTACACATTGTATAATTTTTCAACCCTTGACTTCCAAGAGATAAAATTAATGAAGAGAGCAGAGCACTATGAGAAAAATGTGGTAGCAGCAACTTAAAGCAGAGTATTTTAAGCTGCTCGCTATAAATAGAAAATTTCTGGAGTAATATTTAACACTGTTTTTTTTTTCCCCCCCCCAAAAAGGTATCATTGTACGAATAATAATCTCCCCCCCACACACACACACCTGAGAAAAACTGTCAACTTTACATTTTGTTTTAAACACTATTCTAACTTCCCACAGAGTACCTTGATTTCATAAAACAAATATTTAAATCCTGCAATTGATAAAAAGAGTTTTCATTTGAATTACTTAAATCTTTCACTTTTTACCAGAAATATGTTGCCTTTCTGTTGCCCCCCCCCAAAAAAAGTGTATGAATAATTATACAATGTTCAATAGTATTTTCCTATAACCTAATTTTTATTTTGATAGCTCAGTCAGGATCTGCAGTTAGATGAAAGGCCAGAATTCCAACGAGTATACTTAAGTTCCACTCTTGATGGTACTTTTCTTGCACACAGCACTGGTGCTCAACAAAGCAGCCGATTATTAAGTATGCAGAATGCTGATGCTTTGTTAGTACTACCACCTCGAACGTCTGAGCAATCTATTTTAAAAAAAGGCTCCAAAGTAGATGCCATTCTTTTAACTTCTATTTTTGGAAGCATTTTAAAATAAAATTCAGCTATACTATTATTATAATATGCCAATATTCTTTAAATAAATTAAAAATATAATTCAGTTTTAATTTCAATTAAATATAAGTGTTAGCTTCTTATTTTTAATGAAATTAAAATTACACTGACATCTTTGTTAATATAAAACAATCTTGCAATCATGTTCAGCTGTTAAAATAAAGAAATTAACTCTTCAGTAGCAATTTTTTTTTTTTTTTAATATTAAGAAAATGTCAGCTTCCAACTCTAGAAGCATATCTAGCTTTCTTTATGTTGAAATTCATACTAAATATACAATATTCTAATGTATTTGTTACTATTAATATAGCTGGTTAAAAAGAAATTTATAAACATTTTAAAGATGGCAATACATATGGATAAATTGTATATCTTTGATTTAAACATATAAATTAAGGATTAAATATTTTTCATTCATACAAAATGAATTCAAAAACTGTCCTCAAAAAAGTAGGTATTGCAAAACAAGCTAGCTAAGGCAGCTAATAAAATAGGTATAAATTTTAAATTAATTAAAATATAATAATTAAATTAATTATAATAATTAATTAAAATATTTTTCTTCTCTAAACAGTATTACAAGAGTAAGTAGTAACTGAAACCATTTGTTTGCAATATTATTCCCTTTCATTCCTTAGCTAAATAATAAAATAGAAAGGTTTTATTGCATATAAACTCAACCAACATTCAAAAGTAAATTTAATATGATAAATTTTACACATTTTTAATAGTAAATGATGAAAGTGAAAAAAATAAGCCAAAATTAAGTATAAAAATAGGAATATTTATTTCAAACAACATTTTGCCACCAGATGCAAAAAAGAGAACGTGCTGATAACATTTTTTGAACAAAATTCCACAACATATACTGAAATATTTCTATTTACAAAAGGAATCAAGTAGCATTTCTTTTACATATATAATTTTTAGTTTCCTGTACAGTTGCAAAATCGAGCCCAAATGACGAAACTGGCTAAATTTGTATTCTCTCCATACATATTTTTTAAAACAAACTTTTAATACATGTATTTCATAGCAAACATGAAAAAAATAGACCTAAATTTTAATAACAATCTCCATGTTATTTTCATGCATAACAGCAATATGCTGTTCATTTATTCTATTAAAATTTTAGAAATTTTTAGACAGAATAGGAAACATTATATTTCAGTTGTTCCTTTATTTTGAACTTAAAAATATGAAAAAAATTATCCCTACCTAATAAGCCTTACATTAATATTGCTTTAGGTTACATTATTAGGGGGGAAGCTGATATTTTAATGCACTATAACAATTTACACAACAACCTAAAATTAAGAATATAAGTTACTGAAAAACAAAGAACTACGGAGTTTCAGAAATATTGCTATAAAATACATGAAATTTACAGTATATATCAGATACAACAGCCATAAATGAAAAGTTCAAATGCAAGTATTTGTGTGAATACATAAATCATATTGTCCACTTATATTAATTACTTATATGTGTATTTTCATATATGGGAGAAAAAACAGTCAATTTGATTTATCACTTTTTTTAACACGAAAAATTGCATATGTAGGTCAGGATTTAAGCATTGAATATGCAAAAGATAAGTCCATTTTTTTCCCTTTTTCTTATTTTTTTAGAGGACTTGCAATGAAATATAAATAATAAATAGCAACACATATTATCTGTTACAAATACTTAATTGAAAGGAAGGAAATTACAATGTTTCTTTAGGAAGGGTGAACTTTCACAACAAAAGTGATATTTATTTACATTTGTACATATATTCATCATCTTGCATAAAAAGACAAATATTTCCACATTTCTCACAACTGATGCAGAAAACCTTCAGCAACAGACTTTTACCATGTGGAAAAGTTATGCTACTCTCAACGCTATAATAAGGGCATAAAGAAGGCATATAAAATTTAATACTTTGTAATAAAAGCTAACTGTGCATATGTATTCTAAATGTGAGGTTTATGACCCACGTTGTAAGTGTGACATGTCTGGAAGCCCTTCTGGAATACATATACAAGGAGAAAGGAGTTTTAAATTTATACTTTAAAAATAAAAGATGAACTTTAGCCTAATTAATAAGTCCCAGGATATATTAAAAAAAGGGGGGAAGAGAGAGAGGTTATTTTAGCAGGTAACATCAATGAAAAAAGTTTAATTTAAAATTTTACAATTATAAATAATGACTGCAAATTCTATACAAAAACAGTTTTTGCAAGTATTATATATCATTCAAGGATCAAACTCTGACTATAAAAACACAAACAAGTAAAAGTATGGCTAGCTAATTAGAACCTTTTTCTCTGGTAAATCTATATAAAGTATCGAATTAGAACTCCTTACTCTCTGCTACTGATATGTGTTGGATTCCAAGTATAAAAGTTGTTTAGTAACTTAAACCTTAAATTAAAAATCATATGAATATAATAATACTTGCCTGAAGAAAAATTATCAGGCAAATGATAGAATTTTTTAGAGATGACAAACCTAATAAAGCTTTAAAGGTAGTTCCAAAATGTGTTTTAATTTCCAAATTATTCAAATCATACTTGTTATAAAATTATCAAATGACAAATAAAGCACTAAGTATACTGCCATCATTTAACAGATATTGAAAAAAAATATGATCACATGTACATTTTTCAGAAGTAATGATAACCATGAACAAATTTATACATCTGGATTTGTGAATAAATGTAACAATTTATATATACTGGTAACTTTTTGGTCCTGTTAACTTATTTCTACATTAAATTTACATGATTTTATAGCTATATTAATTTACCTCACTTTTGGCTGCAAGGCAGTAATAACTTAGTGCCCAGAAGAGGAAAATTTAATATTGAAAAATTAAATATAACATACATTAAATATATATTGCTTACAAAAGTTTCATTTATTAAAGTCTTGTACTCCAAAATCAATTTTTAAAAAAGAACTAAAATTTCCGATTGTTACTATGTATATTGATATATGTAACAGAAATATATCTTCAGTTCTGCTATATGATAAAAATTAAAAAATGTAATTACCGCACATTATATTTCCATCCACCAAAATTTCACGAGTTATAAATTTCAGTGGCTCCTTTTAATTTAAAAAAATGTAAACTTGCTTTAAGATTTTAGAAAAAATAATAAAGCTATATATATATATATATATTATCAGCTTTTGAAACTAAACTATACAGGAGATTTTTCGATATATCAACATAACATTTTTTAATTAACATTTTTTAATTTAATAATGTATAACACGATAAATAGCAATATGTTATCATATACAGATTATAAAATGTAAAAATAATAATGCTCCTCCCTCTTTTCAAGTTTTAACTGCTCATAAAAGATATGCATGTAAAATAAAATTCAAGCACATATTGAGAACTGAATTCTGTACAATACACACTATCTTTTGTAACTTAGAAATTTCTGTACTTTCAAAGTATTGCCAAAAAATACAATACACCAACAAACTTTCTTTATATACATAAAACTTAATAATTTAAAATAAGCATTAAAAATTTAATTAATGAATAACTATATATATATATATATTAAATTTCTGCTTCCATTCAAATCTTCTTAGAAAATAAATTAGCAAATAATAAGAATATAATTACAACATATATAAACATACTTTAAGTTTTTAAATGGACCAAACTTGTCAACGCATAATTCATCATACATAGTGCATAAAATCCCAATGTCACTAATTTGTAATCTGTTCTAAACTTATAAAACCTGATTATTATATTGTATAATTCTACATTTAATACCTAGTGAAAAATTTATGGAGAGTACAAATTTTATCCTTTGTTATATGTTAACTGCTACATAAAAGCTTCTAAAACTCAGTCAAATAATTTCTGAAATGAAATTATGTGTTTGTATTGGCCTCAAAACTGCAATGAAAATACATTTTAATGAAACTTTACAAAATCTTGGATTGATGTAAAATTAATAATAATTTATTTTTCTTATTTCTAAGAGTACTTTGCCAATACTTAGATAAAAATTATATTAGGTAAATTTTTTCACATTTTTACTTTTATTAAAATTAATAATTTAATATACAAACAGAATTTAACTATGTAATGCAGCATTTGGTATTATTAATGTATGTTATTATATTATGAGATCGCAAGTATTTGTAGGCAGTGCTTTTTAATTGTTAATAATGCAATAAAATTTTAATTATTTTCTATATTTTATACCTCAAATGTAAACCTGAAGTTAATATAGAATAATATAACTGAAGTTAACCTCTATATAAATATTTTAAATTCTCTGTTCTCCAGTGGATTAGATAATCATGCATGCTGTATTAATTTTTCTTTATTAAACTGAAAAGATTCATTATTATCTAATGGTATATAATTAATTCATCTTCTTATAAAGCTTGCTCTTCCCCAAAAAATTAAAAATTTCACAAAAAGGTAAACATTATACTACAAATATTTTTTATCCTTGATATACAGATATCAATGCAGAACTATTGACATAGCTGTAAATTTATACAAAATAATATATTTTTTGCATAGTACATTTCATTTTATGAAATAATTTCAAACAGAAGCATTTTTTTTTAAAACTCTGCATATATGAAAACTATCTCTGTTACACTATTACATTAATACACTTACACACTTATTTCTCTGATCCAAATTACAAATAATTTAATCAAAATACAATTGAAAATAGAAGCATTTTCCATTCTATATTTTATGGTAATCAATACTGGCTAATTATGTTTTGATTAATATTTGATAATCATGTAAATGCATATTAGAATTTTTACAAATTTTAGCATAAAAAGTGAAATGTCAAAATCACATTTCTACTAAACATAAGCATATTGTCCTTTAATAATGACTTCTATAATAGTTTAAGTTACCTATATGTTTATCCAAACTTTTCAAATAATATTTTCTACATTATAAAAGAAATACAAAATTAAAAAAAAAAAAATTAAAAAAAAAATTAATGGTTTTAAATTGGAGTTTTGTGCTTTGCATATAGATCTGGAACATATTTTGCCATGGATATTTATCTTGCATTAATAGAAAACAAGTATATCAAGAAAGAAAAAAATCCTTATTTATAAATTAAACTTTTTTTTTTTTGTATTTATGTAGTATGCGTATATGCAGGCAGTCTTCAGTGTTACAGTTGGCTAAAATGGCAGGTACTTTTCTGTTAACGGGATGTCAATTAGCATCAAATATAAACATTCCAACTAGATGAGGGAAGCTGTAACAATACATAAAGTTTCATGAAAAGAAAGACTATTTTATAAATAATTTTTTCAAAAGAATAAATAGTAAAGTTAAATTAAATTAAAATAAATTTAAATAGTTCTCTTGTGTCATTGCTGCAAGGAATGAAATTTAAATTTAATATTCTCTATTCATAAAAAGCAAATTTAAAGTTAATTAAATTTTAAATAATGAAATTTAATACAAACAAATAAATGAATTTAACAAACATTTATATATAATGTTTAATGTGCGTGTTGAATATATGCAAATTTAGGATTTTTTTTAAAAGTGAAAACTGATCACTGTGTGCTTGGAACATTGATCTGTTTTCACTTGAAAAAAAAATCACACAATTGCAAATTTGGTATTTCTAACAGCACATTAAGCACTTTATACATTACTGAGCACATTAAGGATTATATACATTATAATTGTACAGCTGTTCATGATGTGATATAAATAGGCTACCACATATAGTGCTTTGGCGCACATTCGGTGACTGGTGCTCCATTAACAGAAAAGCACTAAGTGGCACTTCTAATACAACCATTTGCACAGATAAATATTATATAAAAATAGCAATCCTTAATAACTACAGGCCCATAAATAAAAAAAATTAAAACTTTTCCTATAATTATTCATAAATTGATGGACTTATTCCTTATGAAAATAATTATAATTTATATTAAGAAATGATATTCAGTTATTATTGCAAAGAATAATATAGTGAATCCTCTTTAAGATGATCAGCCACGGTTCCAGACAATTTTGGTTTCCCGTGGAGGTGATCATCTTACAGAAGCTAATTATTATCAATGAAAATTATTAATTGAAAAATGGACTTATTTTATTCACAGTTCTTGGAACTCATTACAGAAAAATACAAAAGCAGAAGTGTGGTGCATTGGTTTATTAATAATATTATATTAGCAGAACTGTAAATTACAAAGAACAACACAGATGAGAGGGAGGACTTAATAAATAACTTTTTATTTAATTCTCTCAAATGCTATTTAAGTGAATCATATTTCAAACACACAAAACAGACTTTACATATAAATCCCCCCCTCCCACAGCTTATATAATAAATTTTGCTTCAAAAGCAAAAGCACACTATTCATATAATGAAATTTGCATATTTAATTTTCTCATTTGGTTAACCTTTTTTTTTTTTTTTCCCTACACCAGTTTAAACTTCATAAATAAGTTAACCATCTTTTATATATATATATACATATATTTTAAATCATGACATAATTTGTTCAAACAGAACTTGTAAGAAAATTACTCTTATCATCCAAAATTTTTGATTACCAAACCATTTCATTTTTAACTCGGACATATTAACATTTTTTAAACATCTTGATTATAATGAATTGTTTATTATTAAGAGCATTTCCTTATACACAGTTAATGCATTCACAGATAACAGTGCTGTTAACTTTTGTTTTACTTTTTTAATATTATGCATGTCTGAATCAATTTTTAACAAGAACTGAACAACAACAAGGACCTATTTCATCATAAATGTTCTTAAAATCATAATCTTTTATTAATAATGGCCACAGTTATAACCAATCTATCATATCAATCTGCACACATAGAAAATGTAAAAATTAGAGCAAACATTTAAAAAATATAATGAAGTGTTTAATGTATATTGTGTCATCAATAAGACTACAAGATAAAGATATTTATGTTCCAGGTATATACAAAGTAACTAAAAAGTTCTTGCCATTTCTGATATGACATTGAAAGAGTCAACCCCAACATTAAAAAAAGTCGTCAAATCTGGTAATGAAGTGGTCATAGTAACATGGGAAGTTGGCCAGACCTAGTAGTATGGGAAGTAGGCATAGAAGAAGGATGGGAGTCCAGACATTGACCACGAATATAAAAGCATGTTGCATTGATACTTCAAACATAACTCACACAGTGACTGATTGAAATGGACGCATCAAAGGCGCTTGTTCAGAGTTGTTTGCTGTATGATTTTAAAGTGGGCCTGTCAGCAGCACAATCAAGTTCACCAAATTTGCCAGGCCTTTGGGGATGATGCCGCTAATGAACGAACCACTAGGCAATGGTTCCAGAAGTTCAGGTCAAGGAATATGTCTCTTAGTGACGCACCATGCAGCAGTCGGCCACAAGCACTGGATGATGAGGCCCCGAGAGCAGCCATAGAGAGTGACAGTAGCCAAACATGAGGTGAGCTTGCTGCACACTTCCAGGTATCTGATGAAATGATTAGACTCCATTTTCACCACATAGAAAAGGCATACAAGCTGAGCAAATGGATACCCCACTCACTTGTCCGATGCAAACACGCAACAGCGTGTTGCTGCCTGTTTGTCATTGCTTACTCGGCACCACAATGCATCCATATTTCATCAAATACTCATCAACGATGAAAAGTGGGTCCAGCATGACACACCCTGGCATTCCAGATATTGGTTGCCACCATGAGACCCTGTGCCTCACATTGTGAGACCTTTTCCCCACCCATGCAAGATCATGCTCTGTATCTGGTGGACTAGTGACCAAGTGTTGCACTATGAGCTCCTGCCAGTGGATCAAACCATCACGGCAGGCCTGTACTCACAGCATTTGGAACGTGTGCATCAGGCACTGATGCATAAAGAGCGAGCATTGGAAAATAGTAAGGGTGTACCCCTCCTCCATGACATCGCCCGGCCACATGTGGCTCAGGAGGCCAGGGACATCATCCAGCAACTGGGCTGGGAGACACTGTTCCCATCCACCATACTTCCCAGACCTCCCACTAACAAACTACCACCTTTTCCATTCCCTGGACAACCATCTTCATGAGAAATATCATCAACTGGCCAGACCTCGAAAACTTCTTTGTTTCCAAGACTCCTGAGTTTTACTGTAATGGCATTGATTACCGTGTAAAAAAAAAAAGCTGTTTCCAAGCAAGAAATGTATTTCTTAACTTGCTTTTTCTTGTATATTCTTACTTAGATACATTTTAGACTGACATCAAAACAGACATTTTTGATAGTCACAAACAAACATGTCTGATAATCTTGATCAGGTTACGGAGTAGTCTTCGTACAAAAGAATAATATAATTATCAGTATCAGAGTTATTTATATTCCCAGAAATATGATTCACTCCCAAAAGTGGTTGCTATGAGAGGGTTCACTATAATTTGTTTTGCTTTTCCAGCATTAAGTAATGTTATTACATATTATAAGAAACTGAAATAAATTGAAAACTCCAGAGTATAATTTTTCTGAAATACTACATCAGTTTTGATTTACATTGCTTAATAATAAAACTGATATATATTCATGATTCAATTTAAAGAACGAATTCGGAAGCAATTCGTAACTCAAAATTTATAAAAAATATTGCAAATTATTTTTAAATCAATAGAATTCATATTTGAAAATTTTAGATAAGAAAAACGAAAGAAAGTAAAAAAGCATTCTTAACCCAAAATTTATACAAAATATTGTAAATTATTTTTAAATCAATAGAATTCATTTTGTTACATATTTGAAAATTTTAGATAAGAAAAATGAAAGAAAGTAAAAAAGCTACAACAAAATTATATTTTCTTATTCACACTTTAACGAGGGTACATATCAGTTATCTCAGCTAACTTTTTCTGGTGGGGGGATGAGACACCTCCAGTATCATTTTAATAATCTTTAGTTGTTGCACTGAATATCCTTTTCAACAACCCATAAATAATGTTAGGCTCATTTTTAGGTTGCCTGTTACTTCCATTAAAGTTTTTTCAGTTCTGTTTTTAATCATTTCAAAAAAACTTGTTTTGGGACAAGTGTCATTGATAATCCTTTGCTTGAATAATAACCTTACAACACAGTTTTTGTATAACCACATGCAAGAGGAAAAATGCTAGTTGTATAAGCACTTTGTAATTTTTTATTTTATTTTGAGCACTTTGAATAACATGCAGTTCTTTTGAGGTAATTTTTTTTTTGTTATGTTATTGTTTATTTTCACCTTTGGTGTTTACTTTTAATGTTCTATTTCTTAGTGAAAAGGTGTTGCTAAGAAAATGTGAAACTGGGATACCTTAAAAATACTTTAACTCCATTATCCAGTAAGGAAAGCTTTAAAATTTAGAATGGTTTTTGATAACTATGATAAAATATTTAGACTAAAAATAAGCTACCAGATATCATGATAAATGTTGAATCTAAAAACAACAAAGCTGAACTCACATTAACATACAATCATGGAACATAGTCTTGTGCCCATTATCTAAAAGTATCCAACAAATATGGGTGCATCTGTCTCCTATTCCAATAATTCAATTCATTAATAAGAAAGATCCAACAATAGAGATCTGATTTATTCCACTGATAATAACTGCATTACTTTCATCGCACTTTCTTAAAAATTATTGAAAATCAGGAAAAAATCTAAGAATTTTATAAAATTTAACATAATTTCCAATTTGCATAACTTTTTTTTCAAAAATTACATAAATACATATATTAGATACAATGAATTTAAATAAATATTACATTTCAAATTACAATTTGCTACATTTGGAAGAACTCATGGAAATATTAGTATTCTAAATATCATGTCATCCTTCTATGAAATGATGATACACATGATCTTTATATCCAAAGCTGGATATTTATTTTTCAAATAATAATAATAATAAATAATAAATAAATAAAATAAAAACTACTTAAATTTACAATTGAAATCAAGGTGATTTTGTAACACTTAATGCTTTTACCAACTGAACCTTTTCACTCTCAGTACAATATTTCTTTGGAATTTAAAAATAGTAATTTGTAGTTAAGGAAAAAATGTTACACCTGTCAATAATAATAAAAATTACTATAATATTTCAATTTTACTTTTACTAATATATAAAGATGTATTGATAAAAGTTCGTATGATGCCTAAATCAAGTAAAATTATTTAATACATGTGAATTCTAGTCCTAGCATAATGAGCTGCTTGTATGCTTTTTTATACTTAGTTTACTTTAATGCCGAATAATGGAAAGCTACTGATGAAAGGCACTTTTCAAACAAGTGAATGTGCTTTGCTGCAATTTAAATAGTTTAATATCATGATTTGTCATAACTTCTTACAAAGACAGGCAATGGATTAAGTCAGCTATAGAAATTAAACAAACAGGGTTTTACAGTTTCAGAAGTGACATATTTCTGAAACCTCTACAGCTTTATATCACTCAAAATATACATACAAAAATAAATAAATAAAATTTTCTTGTTAGCTTAAAATCATTTCTGTCAAAGAACATGTTTAATAAAAATTAATAATTTTACTTTCAATTGAGCCAACAAATTTACTTTTAGTGCAATATTGGTTACTTTTAATTTTAATCTGAATTCTACTTTTATTTTAATAATGAATGCAGTTCTCACAAATATAAAAATATTTAAAGCTATGTGAAATTCATCTAAGTATTGGTTTGGTTCGGTTTATTTGGTTTGGCTAGAACTATCTGCTTAAGGAGAGGGAAGCCTTTGTGGATGAATTTCTAAGAACAACTGGCTTGTATTCATGTTACACATGGTGGAAACCACCTAAAATAAAGAAAGATTACTTTTGCTTTTTTTGCAGAAGATTACATGAAGAAAGCCTAAATCTAATATAACACTAAATTTACTGTTTCTCTTATGCAAAGGTTTATCCAAATTTATATTTCCTTAGTGTAAAAAACATATTATATTTTCTAACTTGCAGCTGAAAAGTGGTAGAAAAATTCTACTGCACTCTTAATGTTTGTTAAGTATCACATCTTTGGATTTTTTTCTTATATGAAAACTCAATCAACTAATTAAAAAAAAAAAAAAAAATCTATCATTCATAAAATATAACTTTCAATTTTTTTCTTATATGAAAACTCAATCAACTAATTAAAAAAAAAAAAATCTATCATTCATAAAATATAACTTTCAATTTTTTTCTTATATGAAAACTCAATCAACTAATTAAAAAAAAATTCTATCATTCATAAAATATAACTTTCAATCTTCAGAACAGCCACACCGCTTAAGAAATACACAAAATGAAATTTCATTTTCAGTTCTAACACTGAGTCATTATTTTCCCAAATGTAGCAAACATATTAGTGAGTCATACTGTTATATATCTTAATCATTAAAGTAAAATTATCTTCATAATCATTTATATTATGAATACATAATGAAAAAATTCATCGAAATTTGAATAGTAATTTTTAATATGTTTGTTTCTATAGTGACTTTATTAAAATTATTATTATAGCATGTATATTAAGAAAATACTGGCTTTTGCTTCCAGAAAGGAATAAAATATATAAATTAAGTAAATGATTAAAATAAAATTCCAATTTATTGACTAAAATATTTATAAATAAGTGGTTCTGGTAGCTTACTCGAATGACAAACCTTCTTGTGACAGCAATCTTATTTCTTAGTGACTTATCATGCTTAATATTATCATTATTCAAAATCAGCTCCTTTCGCTATGAAACATTTGCTTCAGATTAACTATGAATGACTATATGTTCACTTCTCTAACTCATTTCTACTCATTATCAAACTCAATTCAAAATTGTTATGAAATTACAAGTTCAATTCAAATACACATAAAAAAGTACTACTAAATAAATCCAGCATTTCCATCAAATATCTTCTATTAAATAGTAAATACTGGAAGACTTTCAAAATTGACTATAATTAGTTTGCACTAAACATTCTGTGAAACTTCTCCAGCAAAATGCATCATACCAAAGTTTTTTAACCAAAAGAATATATTATTTTAACATTTCAAATTCCAGTTCAATTTTCATTATATACAGCAGTCAAAGAATAAGAACTACCTGCATTATACTTGACACAGTTCTTTAAAGATATATAAAAAAAATAAAAGAAATTGGCATTATGAATCGCATAACAAACTGCATAACTGTTCTGTAAAATTAGCAACAAAACACATAAAATGCATCCAAACAGTGCTATCCAAAGTGTTTCTGAAACATGAAATTAAGCTTATTCTAATTAAGTACAAAATGGCACTTTGAATCTAATTTAATATATATGAAGTTTAGACGTTAGATGCAGTTAAAACATGTTTGCACATAACAAATACACTTTCGAAAAATCACTATAATTAATAAAAATCACAAGCATCAACAGCAAACACAAACAATTCTTAAAATAACTTGTCAAATTCGTGCATAAAATTATCCACATAAACATTTAAAGCTTAAAGGCAAAATCAATGTTACTTAAAATATATCTTACTTTTAAAGTGGAAAGATATACAATTATTTCAATTTCAATATGATATAAAAAATTAATTTTACCTAGTACTTTCTAATTATCTGCAGTCCCAAAAAAGCCATACAAAAATAATGATGAGGTAACACACTGTGTCACCAAAAGTATTTCTGTGACAACCCAAATATGTGCGTAAGCACATGTGTGTTTGAGTACACACTCTTGAAATTCAAAAGTAATTTTGGATTTGCACTCATGAAATTCAAAAGTAATTTTTCTGAATAGTATTTCATTTTGCTTTGAATACATTTGTTTTCATAGTAACAAAACTTTGGAGTCTGCCCTAGTTATTTCCATTATGCTGTTTTTGAATGATCATAAACTGATCGAGAGGGTGCATGATGCTAAGTTTCTGCAATTTTCCCCCCTTTAAGCTAAAACAGATCACTATATATATAGGAAGAATTATAATACAAAACAATTAAAAAATTTCTCAAGAAAGATGTTTTACTCTTTTATGAGTGTAAAAAAATAGGTAATGTATCATTAAAATAGACATTAAGGTACCTATAATTAGGAAGCTTTTTTTTTTTTCTAACTCCTACCAAATTTTTAGATTACAATATAATTCTGTATCTAAAACACTTATTTTATCCTATGTTAACCAATTTGCCTCTAATAAAGCCAAGAGTAAATATTTTATTTCTGTTTTATTTGCTTGTTAAAAAATCAGTACTTTTTGGTTAATGGGGCACCATTCACAGTTCTGAAGCAAAGCACCAAGCATTGTTTCTTACATCTGTGGAACTCCATGCTTTCTTTTGGAAAAGAAAAGGGGTTTCTGGTTGTAGTTATGCACTGATGTCATTACAAAACAGAAAGAACAAACACTGGTTTGATAGTCTTCCCTGTGTGATTTTCAGATACTTTTTGTTACATGCTTTTTTCACCCCTTTTCTTTTCCAAAAGAAACCATCAATATGGGTTACATGATTTTGCTGTGTAAAACGGCAAAATAAACATCAACATAGCATTGCCTGCCACCACCTAGATTTCTGTAAATTTAATCCATGTGGCGTCGACTCCACAAAAAGATGTAAATGTTTTTCAGCAATGTTAAATGAAATCAGAAGCTTTATACCTGTGTAATCTGAAATCAATACAGTAAAATCCATTTGATATTTTTTGTGAAATTTTACACTCATTTTGGATTTAATTAAATACTTATTCCTTTTATGAAGTTGTATATATTGTTGAAGTTGCCATTCCTATCTCTAGTTAAATTTCACACCATTTATATTTGGCCCCAAATGGCTTCCTGTTAACCGAAAAGTATTAAAAAATCTTACCAAATAATAATAATAATCTAAAGTATAATATAACTAATAAATATAATTAATTTTATCTGGTACTTTATTTTAAATTTTACTTGGTTTAGACTAATAATATAATTATTAACATAGATTAATTTCCATATTATTTCTTATATGCAAGCATGATTTATAAATTACTGCATCATTTATTATGACTTGCTATTTGGTCCAGTACAACATAATATAGCATACTATTTGAATAATCACATATTTAATTATTTTTAAAAAATTAAAACTTTTATGGCACTGGGAGAAAATTTTAATATAAAAAAATCAGATTTCTTTACATTTAACTCAGTGAAATACAATATAAAAATAATGAAATGGAATAATACAATGAATGAACACATGAGCATTCAAAACTGGTTCAAGAATAATATATGTAATATAATTTTACTACCTTACTTCTAATGGTATAATTCTCTGGTAACCAAATAATATTGCATTATTCATCCCATAAACACTGTTGCTTTTGTTGAACAAAAAAGTCAAAAGCACGGCATTTACGGCATGTTTTTATCCCACATCGATAATTGATGGTTTTTCCAGAAGAGTCTTTACCATGACAGTATTTTAAACCGCATGGATACCATCCCACACAGATCTCAAGGCGACATTGACAAGGTTGCCATAGGTTATTATTAACATTGCAACGGACGGGCTTAGGCGGGGGAGCTCGCTTTACAGAGGATGTCAAGGTAACAATGTCTCTACTCAAAGCTGAAAAGGAAAAAAAAAACACATCTTGTAATAATCTGCTTACATTGAATAAAACAATGACTGATAATAAAAAAAAATTAGTTACTGTCTTAGTGAAAAAGAACATTCAGAATCAATCATACATCAAAAACTGATAAACACTTTAATTCTCCAGCTGTAGTGCTTCCATAGTATCGCAACCACCTTAGTAGAAGTAGCCAAATTTCCATAATGTGTGTTTCATCTCGATGTACTCTGCCTTTGATATGATTTAAATCAAGTTCCTTGTCATTATAATTCGCTTCCAATAGTGAAGAAAGTAACACAGAAGTTATTGAAAACGAAAAAATTTCGATTGACAAATTAGTCAGTATTCTCGACACAGCAATTATAGGACTTGAACAGCAGAACTTTGTAATTAAACAAGAAATTATGTCTGTTTGATAGAATTAAAGAGAAAGTATTATCACATGAAACGAAACATTTTAAACAACGAGTCCAGATTACGGACTTCGTACTGTATAATGTACAAGAATTACCAAGAAAATATACATTTTAGTTCAGGGTTTTCAGAGCAAATTCTCAAGCATAAGGAAGGTTAACAAATGGAAGAATGGTAGCTTTGAATAAAATTCATCGATTTTGAGGGTGATCAGTCACAATCCTGAAGCAGAAAATGTTGCAAAGATGAAAGGCGTGACAATCACCTTTATATAGAAATGAATAATAAATGACCAGAATAAAAACAAATCATCATCTATCAAAGAAACAGCAACAAAATGTGAAAAAGATATTAGAATTTTGAAAGCTTCAGAAAGAACTTTAAACTTGACTGGAAATAACATCATTAAATAAAGATAATACATTTTTATGGCTTCGAAGAAATCCAATTGACAACTGAAGAAACTCTGCGGATAATTTTTGCAGAGCAATGTAAAAAATATGGTTTAAGTGCCCAACCTATGATCAGCTCTATATATTTGTTTATTTCTCCTTTTCAAATACAAGATTTGTGTTACTTGATGGGAAATTTTAATGTTTGATGATGATAAAAGTTATAGTAGTTTCTCTTTCAGTTATATTTCCTGCCAAAATTTTAAAACAAATATATGTATACAGCTAAGCAATTCTATATGTTAACTACAAAACAAAATGTTAGCTTATTTTGACACAGTTGCAGATTTATATACATCTATCTGTAATTGGCATATATGCAAATTATGTACAGCTGATAACAATGTATAGGTAAGCATTATATCTACTTTCATAGGCATAAAATTTATCTGCATCTAAAACCAGAAATTCTAAATCTAGGTTTTCTGCAAGGTACCTTCTCCAGTGTAGTAAATTTTCCAATGATCTGAAAATGTATTGAGATTTTTCAATATTTGAGTACGACAGCACTTGCTATCTTTAGATGACTTTTTTACAGATTATTACTTTCTTGCAAATTAGACAAGTCCAAAATCCACAGCAAAATGATCACTTAGCTAACGAACACTAAACCATATATAAAGGTCATTTTCCCCCAAAAAAAGAATGTTAAAATATACATTACAGTTATTGTTTCTTCTTCCATAACAGAAATTAGATATTTCTATTCACCTGAATGTGTTTTAATGCCATTAGAATTGATTCAAATCCTTCATAAAAATTCAGCAAAATATGTTTTTAAATAAAAAATTTACTCTTAGGCATCTTGTCCATGGTCTGTCACAAACTCGTGTCTATTTTAATTTAAAACAGGTTTTTTTTTTCCTTTTTCAGGGGGGGGGGTATATAAAACATTACGCAATGTTATGTGTGCCAATAAACCCAATGTAACTAATAACTTCAGTACATTTGATAAAAGAATTATTACCAGTTTTCCAAGTCTGTGCAATTATGATTTTGAGTACATTATTTTATAATTGTTTTGAATTCATTATCAATTTTTTTAAATATTTTTTCATAGCCACAGCACATACACTCTATTAATGATACTAATTTTTCAAGAACTGTGATAATAATTCCAATCCAATTCTTTCCAATACTTTCGAAAATTCCAATATAGTACCTCCTTCACATTTTATTGACAGCTGGGATTACACTGGTTTGGTCCTTGCTCCTCTAAAAAGGACCTGTTTCAGACTGCCCACAAAATCGATTGTTTTATTTAAAAACTATGTCAAACTATGCTTTTTTATCTAATTTTAAATTTTGTTTACCTTTCAATTAAATTCTCGCAAAATAATCTATAATAATACAAAATGTATCTCTCTTTTCAACAAAGCATTAAATTTAAAAAATAATAATAAGAAGAAGAAAATCCAAGCAAATGAAAATAGCAAAATATGCAAATTCATGATTTTGGTGTAGTGCCAATGATATTACTTACATTTAGGTGCTCACTACGAGCTGGGCATTCATAGATTATTTCATAATTATTACATGTCATAACAATGACAAGAAACTGAAATGTTTAAATTTGCCAAACTAACCTTTTGGACTTGCCCATGCTCGCAAGTCAATTTCCCTGGCATAAGCAGAATGAGCAGCTTCATCACAAAGGTATGGAAGATGTGGAGAAATAACGGAAGACTTATCAAGTTCAATGCTGAGGTCCATTTCTAGGTTTTCTTTGCCTCTATCCTCTTCCGGCTGCCGTATGGCACCAGGATTACGCTAAATTAAATAAACACTCATGTAACTGAGAGGATTATACATGAACTTTTGTTAAAATGCATAGGATCAGTTCAATTGATTCCCAGTCACTATATTTCCTAGGTTCCTTGTCATACTACTTTTTTTACTTAAAAAATGCTTTAGTAAACTGTAAAAAATCATAGAGATATCTCAACATAATATGATTCAATTATTCATTTAATTGAAATTTATTTTTAAAAAATTTCAAGTGTCTTAAATTTCTGTAAAACTGCACAGGGAACAAATATAACATTGCAAAATAAATGTCATTGTTACATACTTTTTCTAAATCTTAAATGTAAAGAAACTTTATTATGACTACAAAAATGATACTCCATGAGTCAGAGGTATCTATGCACAGTTACATTTCACCACCTTTCTCTCTAAACAAATTAAATCAAAGTGAAATTTAAAATAACTTTTATTTAATTAATATATATAGTACTTGTCGCTTATTAAAATCCCTTCCGTTCCAAGTATGAGTTTATTAAGCGACTGAGTTAAATAAACAGCTATTTGTGTGTTGCAAATTGTGATTAAAGTTTTAAAATTTTCAAGTAAAATAATAACTAGCAATTAATTCATTAATTAATCCTAAAATAATAATTAAAAAATAATATTAAAATTAAACTATTTATGCAATATTGAAATTCATTTTTTATGAAAAAAATGTTTTATAATTATAATCTTGATAAAATTTTATCTCGTTATAAACAACTTGGCATTTCAATAAATTACAAGTAATTTCAATAAACACAAAAAATTATAAATGCTTCTCCCAATGATTTACTCAAATTTCAAAATTTATATTTCTAGCCAGCAGAAAAATTGCCCTTTGTCTGTTTAGTCGATCTGCTAATTCATGATTATAAATATGACCAATACTTTTATTGCTTTAGCTTACAATTTCTTTCCGTTCAGAGACTTTTAATGTATAGTAATACTCAGCAACATCTCATGAGCTTTATTATAACTCTGTGAACATCATATATCTATCTCAAATGGCGAATTTTGAAGGCGGAAATCTTAAAAGATGGGATAAAAAAGTTGCACTTTCATCTCCTATCAGCTGGTGTTTGCAAAGGAACCCTTATTCATTTACAATGACTATAGAGAACTTCTTTTGTTAACCGTAAGATAAGGAAATGCTGCCACTCTGAAGCATGTGCCAACAAAGAACTCTGAAAATAGTGTTTCACAGGTACAAGTACTCGTGGAGTAGGAAAATACTGGTCAAACAAACCTGTTTTACTAAAACAATACACACTTCAAACATAAAGCCACAGTCCACAATATGTTAAATGGATACAACTACAAAAACCTTCGATAGGTACAATTACGATATTCCGGCACTCAAGAGGCAGTCTTTTGCCACTCTGATTTTAATAAGCAGCAAAGAAGAGTTTAATAAATGAGGTTTTTTTCTATTGATTAGTATGTATTTGTTTAGGTTCTTAGAAATTTGAATGTAATAAGTGGCTGAGTTCATTAAACGGCGAGTTTAATAATGAACGTATATAAGAAAATCGAGTATCTCAATTAATAATAATAATAATAGATGCCATTTTTACTCATATATTTTCCTCCTAGCTTAGCACAAGATTCTGAAAATTTTTAATATTTATGTGATTTTCCCCTTTTTTAAGGCATTTATAAAGCAAGCTCCAATAAATTTCAAAATGAATTTGGGCATCTACCCAGTGGTCACCACCAGTTTGCCAGTCTATGGGTTCTAAATTCTGTTGCCTAATAACCCTTCCTAAATCCTACAAATTTTGCTATCTCTAAGTTTTGGTACCTAGTATATCTGCTAAATTCTGAAAATTTTGCCATCCTTGATTTTTGCTGCTTGGTGCTCTTCTAAATTTCAAAATTATTGTCACTCTTAATCCTCCCCTTGGTTTGCATAGGCATTGGCTGTGACCCTGTGGAGTAGAGTTGGGCAATTTGGTCTGAAACTGATTAAAAAAATTCATTCACTTTAACGAGCAAATGAACTTTAATTACAGAAAACAGAGTGATAGTTCTTTTGAAGTTCATGAAGAGCTCTTGTTAGAAGCATGCCTGAAATACAGATGCGCACAGTGATTCACTTTACTGAACAAGTGAATGCCCGATTTATGAAAAAAGAATGAAGCATGCCAGGAAAGTTCGATTTCCATTTTAGGGGAGAAAAGAATGTTTTTTCTTCCACATTAAAAGAAAGTTTAATTTTTACCACTTCCAACTTTTTTAATTTTGCTTATTCTAGAATTGGTAGTTCTATGCAGAAAGAAGGTTTTAGAGAATCTCAAAACTACAGTTGAAAGACACAGTTCAGGGAGTTAGGGTTTGACCGAGTCAATTATTTCAGTCCCATTGCTTGTTTGATTCATTCCTCTATTTGCTCAATCACTCTCGATTCACTCCTCAGTCCTAATGCTTTTCATCATAGTTTGTGAATAGCGAATGATAAAAAAGAACTGATCCGGTTTAGCGAGAGAACAGCTCTGATATGATCCGATAAAAGAGCAGTTTTGCCCATCTCTACTGTGGAGAGGTTAGCATTTTTCTATCTGACTAAACATTACGTGAAGCCTCAAAGTTTTCATGTCTACAAGTCATCTTAGTACAAAGTCTGAAAACTTCCACAATACAGAATCAACAAAGTCGCAACCATTCCAGATCTCCCACTTTGTACTGTACTTACCGAATTTAGAAACAGCTTACAAGAGCTGCTATTGAGGTAAAAAAATTAGGTTTGATGAAGTGTCAAATGTGCCACAAAACAACATTAAATAGTAATTTCATGATGCAAGAATATCTTCATCCAGCACTGATTTACTGTATAGAAATGCATTCCTTCTACTTAGGCACCTTTTAGTAGGACATAATGTACACACTCGCATGGAATGGCTCTGACTACAAAGTGCAATTTATGCTTGATCTCAAACACATAACAACATGCATAAACAACAAAATACTTCTAAGAACAATAGCATGTGTCTTCAAATACAAGAAAATACCAGGATTATTTTCAATGATAGGAAATTATAACAATGGAAATATAGTACAAAAATAGCCGTAATAATATAATATTATGTTTGACACAAGAAAAAATGGCTAATCTTTAGAATGTGGTAACAGGTAGTTTGGCGACATTTTGGTAAGGCGATAAAGGTAGGACTTTAGCAATAATCTGAGAAGTACACAGTTTGAATGTCGTCTCAGAGAAATGAGAGATTATGAGACATGTAATGTGACATTTTTCGGAAAATTCCGATTGTGATTTTAGCTAATAAGCGCTTAGAAACAATTTCGCTGCTAAAGTGCAGAATCGCCCACTTATTTGTTTGGTGCTTTTTACAAGAGTAAGAAGAATTGGATTTTTGTCAATTTTCTTTGACTTTTTAAGTGAAAATAGGACGATGTGTACATAGATAAAGTCAAGAGTGTGCACAATGCCATTTTTGTGCAATTCTGGGATATTTTTTTTTAAGTGAAAAATAGGTCGACGTGTACATGGATACCATGTATGTGCAATTCTTAAAAACGTGGGAAGCAGTTTGTGATTCTGCACTTTCTCCCAATTTCGCACCTAATCTTCGTCATGATTAAACATTTTTGTTCCATAAAAGTTCTAGTATAAGCATAATTCGGCTAGCAGATTGTTGGAAAAAAATGTTGGGTAAAAAAAAAAAAAAAAATTCCTTTACTTCGTGAAAACAAAATGGCGTCCAAAACAAAACTAGCAGGTTGCTGTAGCAGGGTTGGTCGCCAAATTTTCGCCAAGTTACCATAATGTAAAGACTCACCGAAAAATATTAGTAACGTAGCATTTCTTATGAGATGGATGGCAAATAAAGAGCAGTCATTCAAATTATATTAAACCTTAATCTTTTTATCCTGATAATATTTGTAATTATGTTCTGCTTTTGCATCATTTAGAATGGTTGACAAAATCAAAATCTGATCACTATTTGATAGTATCAATATTCCTAACGATAGGACAAAATGTAAGGTCTGAAACAAATATATGTTACGTTAATACTTTGCATGAAAGAGTGAGAAAGACAAATACTTCTTTTAGACTTTCCTTCACACATGCTTGCTGGAACAGAGATTTTATTAAGGAGTTCCATGTTATGGCTACCTAAAAGTTCAGATGATAATTTTATACTTTTTAAGCTCTAAAGTGTGTATTCATTCTTCCATAAAATACACTTTTTAATGCAAATAGAAATAACATAATTTGATTTAGCCTTGCAGTAAAATTATCATGTAAATTTTTGTGATGAAGGAAAAAATATACAACTGAAAATTTTGCTATAGAATGACATCATAAAAAAAGCTCCCAGACATTAGGAGGAAGATGGGTACTGTTATCGGGACCAGATTCAGAAATGTATGAATGTATGTGCGTGTGCATGTATGTATGTGCGTATGTATACATGTAAGAAAAATAAAGAATATGTAAAAAGATTAAATTAGCAGCAAAAATTAATTCCTTTCTGTATTATAAAAAAAAGTAACCTCCATTTGCAATGCGTCATTTCCAGAAAAATTTATGTCATATGACTCTTACATAATTCTGATGATGTAAATGAAACTAAACCTTAAACAGCTAATAGAAATTTTACATCAATATTAACCATCCAATCAAAATGCATAGAGAACCAAAACTCAGTCAGTCTAAATTAAGATTTAACTCTGAACATAATGCACTTGCTTTCACCGCTTTGGCTTAGCTGCACTGCTGTCTGTCTGCTGCTTCTTTCTTGCTACAAAATTATCAAAAATGTAAACTTTTTGGAATAGGCACAATTAATGTGCCAACTGGATTGTGGCCACAACATGTTTACTGAAATAAAAGTTGAATTAAATATACCTTAACTGCCAAATTTCTTATTCATTGTGGATCGTTGTTTCAGCATTCTAAGACATCAAATATCTAGCTGTTCATTACATATACAACTGCCTGTGCTCTACTACAGAATCTATTACGGCAAAATCGACAGGATTGGACCTGTGCCACATCTACCACTCTTTTCTGCATACCTAATGAGACGAATTTTGATGCAAGTTTGTGCCATGCCCATTTTTAATTTCTGTGTTGATAATCTCACTCTCATGTTCTGCCAGTGTCTACAAAAAAATAGACTGCGTGATAATTTATGTTAAATGCTTTGCCAGTAATCAATGCTTTAAGCTCAAGTATCAGTATATTTCAATCAACTACAAAATGATTAAATACTTCAGCCATCAGTCTGTGTTTATGAAAAGTATTTTGAAGTGCTGTATGCGAGATACTTCCATTCTGCATCGAAAATTTACAGAGGTCATCAAGTGTCATGTACTTCGTGCATGCAGAAGAGTGGGAAATCCTTTTTATCCATTTCTGATTCCTGCGTTGTAATATATGGCCTTATGCTTATCCAAATGTCTATTTTTTCGGTCAGTATATATTGAATTACCATTATTTCAGTGAAACAAACCTAATGCTAGTTCAGTGATTTTAAATTTCGTGTGAAAAGTTTTAGTTAAGATTTCTGAAATTTAATTTTATTAAGATAAAAACATAGTGCATAGTGTTCAAAAAATGAAAACACAAGTATTCTGAAATTTTCATTTAATGGTTTGGCATTTATTAATTTTGTTGGCGCATTTTATTTGATATTTTCTGCTAATAGAGTATGTTTAAATGTTTCATTATGGTGAAATAATTAATTAGATTAATTTAAATGTTATTTTGAAAATGATGTACTCTAAACTATAAAGTAAGTGATTTTTAAGTAAGTGATTAAGTACTTCTTTGTAAATTTAGGCATTTAATTTTTTGAAATCATATTAGATTTTAGAAATTTTAGTACCATTTTTATTGATTCAAGTTTTACGATACTAAAAATTTAGTTTTTTTTCTAAGTGTTTTACATAATTAAATAACAAATTTAACGATTTATCATTATTTTATTTAGGGAAGGTTATTAAAATTACTGTAGCAATAATTAGAAATGACATTACTGTTTAAAAATTTGAAGTTTAAGAATTTTGAATTATTTGAAGAATAAATAAGTTAATTTTGCAAAACTGGTACAGAATAGTTTTGAATATAATTTAGAAAATATGTAATGTTTAAAATACTGAGAATAGTTATGAATATAAAAATACTAAGAAGAGAATAAATGCATGTAAGGAAAGAGTATGATGAGGGAGTGCTGGTTCAAAACAGAGACCGTTTTTAACCTCTGTTATTTGTTCTTATACCCTCCTCATATCAGAAGATATAAACTTCGAAGGCTCCCACTTTATAATTTTTTCATATAATTATTATTTTTATATAAATGGAGTGTGTAAACTTTTTTTTATAAGTGGAATGTATAGTGCAGTTCAAAAGGCGAGTTGCCTTTAAACAAGGACCGGAGACCTTTATAAGCAACTGCTAGAAGCAACCCTTAACCCACTCATGAAAATTCAGTACATGAGTTCGTTAAATGTGGTGATGCCCAAATAGCTGGAAGTGTTTGAATTAGAGAAAGCAATGGGGGGTCTTCTGGTTTTGTGTAAAATAAGAAAATTGGCTATGTAACAATGACAGTAAAACCATAATTTTAGTAATACTATTATAAAATTTATGATGTTAAAATATAAGTTATAATACTGAAAATTAATTATGTTTTGAACATTATGAAATTTATGATTAATCAAAATACGTAATGTGTGTGCAACATTTTTACAACTGTGATATTGTATGTAAAGCCTTCCCTGAAAAAATCTAATTATGTGGGCTCTAAAACAAAGACGTTTGGACTGAAAAATTTTAAATCTCTAAAATCTTATCAAAGTTTATATTTTGCAACTATGGAAATAATTATTCTACTCAAAATTTAAGATTTGTATTTTTTCAAATTATCTCTCTGCATGTACTAATGCTTTCTCTCTAATGCCTTTTATTCTGCCCTGTTGTCCCAACCTTTCTTTTGAAGGGGAGATATGTAAGAAAAATAAAGAATATGTAAAAAGATTAAATTAGCAGCGAAAATTAATTCTAAAAATAGTAACCTCTATTTGCACTGCCTCACTTCCAGAAAAATCTATGCCATATGACTCTTATATAATTCTGATGACTTAAATGAAACTAAAACAGCCAACAGTAATTTTTACAGCAATATTAACCAACCAATCAAAATGCACTGATAACCAAAACTAACTCTTTGAATTAAGATTTCACTCTGAACAGAATGTACTTGCTTTCACTGCTTTGGCTTAGCTGGACTGCTGTCTGTCTGCTGCTTCTTTCTTGCTCCAAAATTATCAAAAATGTAAACTTTTTAGAATAGGCACAATTAATATGCCAACTGGAATGCGGCCACAACATATTTACTGAAATAAAAGGTGAATTAAATATATCCTGACTGCCAAATTTCTTATTCATTGTGGATGCTCGTTTCAGCATTCGGCTCTATTGTAGAATTGGGTGCCCCTTCGATTAGCGACAAATTTTTTAAAAAATTTTGGCGATGAAACCTCACTTCTGGTTACCATGATAGTTTTAACTTTGTTTTAGCTTCCTGATTTTATTTAAATGAAAATAGTTTGATGTGTACAAGGACAAATTTAAGCAGTGTGCAATGCCTAGTTTGAGCAATTCTAGGATTTTTTTTAAGTGAAAAGAGATCGATGTGTACATGGACACAGAGTTTGTGCAATTCTTTGACTTCTTATTTTGGTTTTGTGTAGTGGCCATCTTGAAATTGTGCCTTCCTGGCACCGAAAAACAAAGGGCACCCAATTATAAACTTTTACTTAGCATTCTAAGACATCAAAATTCTAGCTGTTCATTATGGATACAATTGACTGTGTTCTACTACAGAACACATATATTTGTGCTTACATATATACATACATTTCTGAATCATGTCCTGATAACAAAACAGTACGAGAAAATGATTAGCAAGGAGATCAATTTTTAAGAGCAAACGCTGATTCATTTTTGAAAATCTGCACAAATTAAGTTTCTACAAAACAATACAACATTCTTACATATTAATGATTAAAAGAAACTTGATAATCATAATAGTTTAATAACAATACCTGTCTTAATTTTGACATAGCATCAGCAGATATAAAGTCATTTTTGCTCAGCTGTGTAGCGAAACACAAAACTTGATACTGGCTCTGGCCTCTCTCTTCCTCTCCCAACACAAGTACACGGAAAATTTGCACCTCCTACAAATACATTTAAAGTAATTTTAACACAGTTCCCCCCTTGATGCAAATTTGAACTAAATAAATCGTAAATGAATAAAATACATAAATCTGATGTAAACATAGATTTAACCAGCAACATATAATTGTGAGGATATGAAGTATAGTAATAATGAGTTTATGTTCCAAAACAAAGAACTAAAATCCAATTTGCTATACGATAATTTTACATCAAATTGTAACACATTATAAATGAAAAAAAAAGGGGGATTGAAAATTTAAATACCACCAAAAAGTACGACTGCTTCACATTTACAACATAAGGAATTAAAAACTTAAACCAAAAATGGCACATTAATCATGTTACATTCACATGAAGTAAATTTAGCATAATCATTCTTATATGCTACCCAATTTACCACTCATTTTATGCTCTATATCTCTAAAATAGATAAAGCTGTGATAATTCCTCTAAAATTTTAACAGAACTATTACGGATTCCTTGTCTTTAATTGTTATGTGTATTTTAAACGCTCTAATAGAAAACAGGAAACAGAGTCAACTTAAAATACTGCGAATAGTTTGTATAATAATTACCGATTTGAAATCTATAAACTGTGTTATTAACGTTCCTTCAGGACGTTGAAATTCTAATGTTATAGTATCCGCAGATGTGTTGGAAGAAATAGTTTCTTGAACGATATCTCCTCCTTGATTTTTTACATTAATTACTAACTGGCAATCATAACTCCTCAAAAATGCTAGATTAAAAAACACTGCGAATACGATGGTAACGCTTTCAAAGAAATATAAATGTAACATTCTGGTAATTAAGCACATCAAAACTTTTTACAGTATTTCTTCATGAAAAATTCACATCATTCAGTTATGTCTTTTTAAATATGTAAACAAAACTTTTGTCAACACTCAGCAAAGATGCTAAATAGCATCTATCGCTGACGTTTCGTTAACCAGCAGCCATGTTTTGATCGTAATATGAACTTCAGTGCTTCAGTTGAAGTAATTTTACTTATAAAACTACTTCAGCAGCTTATTACACCGCTGGACAACAAATATTTTGTTTCAAGGCCTTTTAAATATTTGCTTTCATTTTGAATGCCTTTTTCTGGAACACAAAAGGGATAAATATATTCATAAAATTATTTTTAATTCTTCCGCAATAGATTAATATTTCTTTTATGGAATGTTTCAAGGAAAATAAAATTGAACTTGTGAATTGCTGTCTAAACAACAGGTATTTAAAGGATATGAATGCAAATCAGGGTGTTGTGAAATGGACGAAACTTTTTATGAATTTCGTTTGATTGGCAACAGTTACAAACCAAAATAAAGATGGGTGAACAAACAATTTTAAAATATTGTATTCATAAATATTCCAGTCATTCTGCTACATTTGTCCCAGAGTAAGCTTTTATGTATTATTAAAATATTAGTTCTGATTAAGTGAGCTGTATTTGCTTTACTAAAACTGCTGAGATTTATATTTCTGTAGCAAAAGTTCCGTGTAATTAAATGGATAATTTTTTTGTCCATTTACTTACGTTATTAAATTGTTTAAAATGCTTGGATTTTTTTTTTTTTTTTTTTTTTTTTTTTTTTGTTTTTGTGTGTGTGTGTGTGTTATAATTTTTTGAAATACTTCTGTCTGGATTTGTGGATCAATGCACCGAATCACTGTTCTGCACAAGTTAGTTCTTACTTAATTGACATTTTTATCATTTAACTGTTTTCCCGCCTAGTTAAGTTTTATTTCAGATAGTAGTTGTCTGGTATTATTTTTTTCGTAACTTCTCTTTTATAATATTATGTAAAAGTGCATTGCACCTGAAGTGTTACTCTGCGTATTTCTTGTGCATTTCTGTCAATAAATAAAGTAATAAAAACTGACCGATATGCTAATTATAAGAGCGTGTATGCGATGGAAAGAGTTTAAGCAAATACATACCGAAGTCAGAGCAGTGAAATCATAAATTCTTTTGAATTTATGGACGAATCTGTGAGAATAAAACTGGGTAATAATAAAGGTTTCCCAAACAAGTAGATTAATGTAAAAAGTTTATTTACTGTTAATCAGCATATTAAGCATATAGTGCACAAAGGAATGGGAAATTTATTATACCGTCAGTGTGTTTCTTGCTCCTGTTAGTAGCAAAGTCAAAAAGCTGTGCCTAAGGTTCATTACTCAGTGTTTTCTCCGCTTCTTTGCCAAATTCCTTATACATTCATCCATGATGGCATCAAGTTGCCCATCTTTGCGAAACAGAATGAGGGTATGAGTGGGTGGAAACAAAAAATGAGGGGAATCTTGGTGAGAGAGAACGTTTTCTTTGACCGCGGCTCTCTGTTGATATAATTATAGCCATCAAGCCATGAAGGTAAGTTAACTTCCTACTTCCATGCATCAAGCAGATGGGTGTGAGGGGTAAATGAATCGGACTGAATCAGACTCCTAAACGTAAAGTTGCTGGTTACAGTTCCCCCCCCATTAGTGGATACTGTGGGAAGACAGTGTATAGGACGTGCTTGAGCAGTTTATCTCAGTATTTCACTCTTATTGTACTCGCTGTCCTTAAGGCACATTTAAGAACACAAATTTTCCTTCCTGGGAGCATAACTAACTGTAAGCATCGGTAACAATACACTAATTACAATGGCATAGCGAGAAATTTAGACGTTCCTAAACAAACTCTCCCAAATTTATTGCTTTTCTTAAAGGGAAAGGTTTCCTCATGTGAGTGAGGGGACTTTATACTTGAACGTCTCATGTTCTCATGAGTTCGTATTTCTAGGAAAATAGAGTATTGCAAGGTCTGCTTATTGTTAAACTAAAACGTTAGGAAGTCTAATTTTTTTTCCTTTAAATTGTGGTTCAGTTTTATAAAAAAAAGTACTGGAGCTCATCTTATTTAGGGCTCCGGTTAAAATTGTAATTTATCTTAAAAATTGAGAAGCCGGGCTCCAGCACAATTTAAGCACTGATTCTTAATATATTAATTTGATGGTCTTTTGATGAAAAATGTTCGAAAGTGACAGTTGCATTTCATAAGGTATATTATTTCAAATGTGATGATATGATATTAATCTGCTATAAACTGAATGCAATATCTTCATATATACAGTCAAAGGTCGTTAATTCGGACACCCATAATCCGGACCTCAAATCTACAAACTTTCTGCGCATGCGCATAGGCGTTTACGAGTGCGCGTAAGACCTTTACGGCTGCGAATATGCGTGTGCGCATGCACGTTTAATGTGTAATGGACAGTAAAAGCTAAGCTAAAATGATCTAATTCAGTTAATGTTGCAGATTGTGTTGTTCCTTGATCTTTGAATTAGATCTGGCTTATTATTTTTTGCAGATTGTTAGAGCAATTTTATAAAAGTAAGCTTAAACTTTCGATTATGTCAAATAGAATTTCCGATGTATATTTACTAATATGTAAAGGATCTACAAAGCAAAAGTATGTTTCGAAATCCGAAATCTGTTTATCAATTTCAGCCGCGGCGCGCTATGAATTGGAAATTGATCTGTCAGCACTATCCTTATCTTCAGGGCAGATGTTTGTATTTTATTTGGCTTATAATTCCTTACTAAATGTAGTATTTCATCCCGTCTTTGATACGATTTAAATCAAGTTCCTCATCATTATAATTCACTTCCGATAGTGAAGAAAGTGACACAGAGGTTATTGAAAACGAAAAAATTTCGATTGACAAATTAGTCGGTATTCTCAACACAGCAATTATAGGACTTGAACAGCGGAACTTTGTAACTAAACAAGAAATTATGTCTGTTTAATAGAATTAAAGAGAAAGTATTATCACATGAAACGAAGCAACTTACATTGAAAGAAATGTTTAATAAAGTAAACAAATAAATATTAAGCTTTTTCTTTTTGTAAATTTTTATACCCTTTAGATCATAATTGTTCTTTATTTCATAAATTACGGTTTCATATTTTTAATTTTGTAATTTCTACATGCCATCTTACCAGATTTAAACTGATGATCTATAATCCGGAATCGCCAAAGTCCCGACGAGTCCGGATTAACGACTTTTGACTGTATATATGAAGGGGGACAATTACTCAAGTATTTTACCAATTTTACTACATAAATTGCTTTTCACTCAAAATTTGTATTAACGAAAATGCTTAATTCAGAATGAGTTCTTTGGTACTCTACTTTGGTTCTAAATACCTTCACTTCACGGAACTATTTGGCCTAACTTAATTTGCCAGTTTGGCATCACCATTATTACTTGAGTAAAAGACGAAACACCTTCGTATTTATTAATTATTGTTCATTGAACGGGAGTTGGTTTTTTCCCCTTAAAAAGTCAACTAATTTCCGATCATTAGCAATAATTACTTGCTTTTAATTTAATTTATTTTTCAAAGTTTGAAATTTTGTTATTCATGATTTAATTCAAGTCCCCGTAAAACATTTTTAACAATTTATATTCAAGTTACGTTAAATCAGTTTTCGGAATTAAACTTCCTACTTCTGGGTTCACTCTTTTTAGATACTTCTACTAAAATTAATATTGGGAGATAATATAATCAATAGTCCTTTAGTAAATATATATATATATATAACTGCTGCATTATTGTAATAAGACTGGGTTGTTATTGTATAGGATGACTTGGTGAAAGAAAGTTGAAACAGATTGGCGGTGATTCTCAGCATTATAATTTGAAGAAATTTCTATTGCGTAGTTAGAACGATGGATGCATAAACCAAAAAAACTTGCAGACATGGCCTAAATTCCACAAATAATTTTATTCTATGGTAATGCACATTATCACTGTGGGTGCACTATACACCCCCCCCCCAATTTGGTAGATTACATCTTAAAGGACGAAAATTAGAAAAGTAAACTCTGTGTAGATAGTGGCAATCTCCAGTGATACTTCTGCTTTGAGGTGCAGACCGGATAATCCACTTTTATGTAGATAGTGGCAAGGTGACACAAGTGTCTAGAAGCAGAAGGGAAAGGCGAAGAAGAGAAAGTTGCGACATAATTAAGTTTTTATACCTTCCATTTCAGATCACATGACAGTTTAATGTATAGGTGTTGGGTTCAGATTTCATCGGTAAGTAAGAGGGCTATTAATTTATTATTTGAAAGATAGATATTAGATATTTTATATTTTACATATTAGATATTTTACATATATATGAAAAATTAAAGGTTTGTTTTCTTTTTACTTTACTTTTAGAAATATATTAACAGATGAACCAAAAGACGGTACATCTCGATGGTCATCAGAATCTAATAATCCTCCTCAGGTATTTGAAATGTTTTTTTTATTTACTTGAAGGTTATTTTGATTGAAAAGTAAAAGAGCCTTATCATCAATATATATTTCTTTCGGGAATGCAGGGTATTCCGAAAATATTGACCTCAGTTTTTATTCCTAAAATATAATCATAGACATATCATATAAATTACAAAATTACGTAAAAAAAAGTACAGAATTTTATGAAATTAATTACAATTTTCAGGGAATTATATTTAAATAAATACAAAATTTACATCTTTATATGGCTCCCATACAGAAAAATTCTCAATTAGCAAAATATGCCCCATACACAGATAAGCTCATGTACAGAATTTCAGCATTTAATCATAAAAATTTGCAAAATATGTTTAAACAAAGTTGGAAAGGGGTTGATCATAAATTAAAATGGAAATACTTACAGCTAGATTGCAGATGACGGGATGTGGAAATGTATCATAAGCATATAAAATATGGCTTGTATCTTTAATTTTATTTCAAATTTACAAAACTATGCTTATCAAACTCATATTCAGGCATAGAAAATGCCTGGATATGAGCCATTTATGTAATTTCATATCTCTGCAGTTTTTTTTTTTTTTTTTTTTTTTGATAAAATGCTGAAATTTTGTACATGACCTTATTAGTGTATGGGCCACATTTTTCCTATTGAGAATTTTTCTGCGTGGGGGCTGTATAAAAATGTAAATTTTGTGTTTCTTTAAATTTAATTCCTTGAAAGCTTTAATCGATTTCATAAAATTCTGTACCTTTTTTTCCATAACTTTGTAATTTATATTGTATGTCTACGATCACATTTAAGTAAAGCAGAGGTCAATGTTTTGGGGACACCCTGTATCTATCTATCTATATGTAATAAATACAAACTCAGACTTATTATTCAGAAACAGGAATTCTGAATAATGAGTCTGCTTCATATTCAGAAGCAGGAATTTTGATGTCGTAGTAGTGTTGATACATAATGACTAGGAAATTGGAGGCGAATGCTGATTAAATCTTCAGTTTTATTTTCAGCAACATGTTGCATCTACACACAAGTCGGCACATTAAATGTGCTGTTCTAAAGGGCTTACATTTTTGATAATTTTGTAGCAAGAAAGCAGAGCAGACAGACAGCAGCGTAGCTAGGCCAAAGCGTGGAAAACAAGTGCGTATGTTCAAGATGAAATCTTATTCAGACTGAGTTAGTTTTGGTTCTCAAAGCATTCTGATTGGACAGTTAATATTGCTCTAAAATTACTATTGGCTGATTGAGTTTAAGTTCCATTTACATCATCATAATTACGTAAGAATTATATGACATAGAATAGTCTCGAAATGATGCTGTGCAGAGAGGGATTACTATTTTTAGAATAGAGAAGAGAAATTTGTGTTGCTAATTTTAATCGGCTGATCTTTACAATATGGTAACTGGTAGTTTGGCGACATTTTGGAGGCGATAAAGGTTACTACCTGGGACTTTGGTAATAATGTGAGCAGTACTCAGTTCCGATTACGCATTATTTTGTGTGAGGGAAATGAGAGATCATGTGATATTAATGGACGAATTATGGTTCTTTAATCGGAAAAGGGGGAAATCGGGAAAAAATCTGGAAATTTTGTATTTGCCTTTATTCTGTGTTGTGTGAAACAGTGGTTGTTAATTTTTGGATTCCATGGCCCTAACTGAAGTGAATTCGAAATGGGTATTTAGTGGGATTGAAAGGGGTAATAAGTGTTTCTTTAAGGTTGTGCGAGATAGAAGTAAAGATGTTTTATTAAGTTATTTATTTTACCTGGTACCTTGGTGTGAACTATAAATATGATTTTAAAGATCCTGAAACAGAAATAAGAAAAGTTTATCGGACACGTAATCAAGATTCTGAAGAAGAATAGATAAGTTAGTATTTTTAATTATTTGAGGATATTATTTTTATGCATTGTTCTAAATGTAAGGTGGAAGTAAAGTAATTTGCGTAAACGTGCATGGAAATAATTTAAATATTGACACTAAGTATTTGTAACCATTTGTAATGAAGTAAAGGTATGAATTAGTTAGTGACGTTTGTAATATAATAGATAATGTAGAGGTAAAAGTTTTTGGATATTTTATTTATTTTATACGGGGAAATGTTCATATATGGAAAGGGTATGTACTTTTTCGCGATCAGGTAATTTCATATGTGTTCTTTTTACCGGGTTTAAAGATTCAGAAAATTGTTATGCATTTTCGTGAAATTTTTCTAATTTATGAGAAAAAAGCAGTGTACATGGATATAGTGAAGGGTGTGCGCAATGCCATTTTTGTGCAATTCTGGGATGTTTTTTAAGTAAAAATAAGTCAACGTGTACATGGTTAGTGATATTTTAATTAAATGAAGTTATTTTGTGAATTTTATGTTTTTGTAGGAATTTGGTATACGTTTAAGTTGAAGTAAACATGCATGGAAATAATTTAAATATTTACACTAAGTTTGTAATGCTTGCGGTATGAATTCGTTGGTGACGTTGTAAATATAATAGATGATTTAGAGGTAAAAGTTTTTGGATATTTTATTTATTTTATATGTGGAAATGTTCATATTTGGAAAGGGTATAAACTTTTCGCGATCAGTAATTTCATATATGTTCTTTTTACCGGGTTTAAACATTCAGAAAATTGTCATGTATTTTCGTGAAATTTTTCTAATTTATGAGAAAAAAGCGGTGTACATGGATATAGTGAAGAGTGTGCACAATGCCATTTTTGTGTAATTCTGGGATGTTTTTTTAAGTAAAAAATAAGTCGGCATGTACATGGTTTATGTGTATGTGTTATTTTGAAAAACGCGTAAGGAGTATGGTATTGTGCACTTTTTCCCAATTTTGCAGTGACTATTAGTCAGGATTAAGCAGTTTTGTTAGATAAAATTTCTAGCATAAGTGTAATTCGGCTAGTAGATTGTTGGAAGAAGTGTTCAGTAGATAAAAAGAAAAGAAACATGTCTTTACTTCGTAAAGACAAAATGGCGGCGGGAAAAAAAAAATAGAGGGTTGCTGTAGGAGAGTTGGTCGCTAAATTTTCGCCAAAAAAACGCCAAGTTACCATAATGTAAAGATCAACCATTTAATCTTATATATTCTTAAATATATTCTTTTTTCTTACATATCCCCTCCCTTCAACAAGAAAGAGGGCGTAGCGACAGAGAAGCCTTTTTAAAGAGAAAGCGTTAATGCACTAGCAAATGAAAAAAAAAAAAAAAATCTGGATAGCAAAAGAGTACAATTACCAGATATCTGGTAATTGTACTCTTTTGCTCTAATTAATATCTAATTAGGCTCCTAATTCACAAAACAGTGTGCAATCAAGGGCATCCATCATATGAATATCTATCATGCACAGTTTTCAAAATTTCAAAGAAATTGGCTAATTAGTTAAGCAAATGAATTTTTGTTTCTTTTGCACTGTTGGAAATTTTCTGGGAAAGAAATTTTACATTTCTTTAAGATTAGATTAAAAGCAGTTGTTCCCTTTAGCAATTCTGCAATAAAATTATGTACTCCTGTAAAAATGTCTACTAGAAATTTTTCCATTGTAGGGAAAGAAACGCAGATATCTGTTTATTAAAAATGTTAAATGCATGTCCTCCTGTATTTTAATTTTTCAAGCGTAGCTTTCTCTTCAAATAAGCCTCGTGCTGCATTGCACGGGAATATAAAATAATTTAATTACAAATTCTACTAAAAATAGCTAAATAACTACAAAACCCGTAATAATATATATATTCCCCATATATTTTTCTTTGAAGCGTATATGCTGAATTTTGGAATTTGTTCTAGCATGGTGATTTGTGTATAAATGATAGGGATTGCATTTCATAAGTTTTGCCGTCTTTTCATACATTTTGTATAATTTTATGTACAAAGTATTAGAAAGAAAAAGGAACAAGTTTTCACTGGCATTAGTGTTGTTGATGTGTTTTCAATGGAAGATTTTTTGTTGCGTATATTAAGTGGTACTCTTCTATTATTGGGAGCAGATTCAGAAATACATCATATGTATACACATTTATATATAAGTATATGTGTGCATACACATATGACGTACATATATACATGCATAAATGAGCACATGCAACCATACATACATGAGAACATATATGCATACATATATTTCTGAATCTGGTCCATATAACAGAAGGTAATCAAAATGTTTCTGTTTGGAATGCATATGGCGGAAGAATAAATACAGAACAAAGTCTAGGATCTGGACTCGTCAGGACTTCAGCGATTCCAGATTTGGGATATTTCTGGATATTAAATCATCAGTTTAAATCTAGTACGATGACATGTAGAAACTATAAAATTTAAAATTTGAAATAGATTTATGAAATAATGAAGCATTTATGACCTAACAAGAATTAAAATTTACACGCAAAAAAAACTGAGTATTTATTTGCTTGTATTATTTATAATTAAACATTTCAGTAATACTAATGTATTATCACGCCATCCTTGTAGAAGTTGCCAAATTTTCCAAATGCGCCAAACTGTGGCAGCCAACTGTGTGTAGTGTATGCTAAACATTTTTTCACTTAAGCAGTGTCACCATTTTCTTATGCATTTGTTTTATTGTATTCAAACTTTTAACGGTTTTTATTGATAAACTGTGATATTTTTTGTTGTAAATTCGCTTTTAAATTTTGCACTTATGGGATTTCCCTACAATGGAAAAATTTCTAGTAGACATTTTTACAGGAGTACATAATTTTATTGCAGAATTGCTAAAGGGAACAACTGCTTTTAATCTAATCTTAAAGAAATGTAAAATTTCTTTCCCAGAAAATTTCCAACAGTGCAAAAGAAACAAAAATTCATTTGCTTAACTAATTAGCCAATTTCTTTGAAATTTTGAAAACTGTGCATGATAGATATTCATATGACGGATGCCCTTGATTGCACACTGTTTTGTGAATTAGGAGCCTAATTAGCAGGCTAATTGAAAATAACCTAATACAGTCAAAAGTCTTTAATCCGTACCTCAAAGCTACAAACTTTCTGCGCATGCGTAAGTGCATAATGCGTTTACGCATGTGCATAATATGTTTATGCATGCGCGTTTAATGTATAATGGACGGTATAAGCTAAGCTAAAATTATCTAATTATCTATTTCAGTTAATGTTGCAGATTGCGTTGTTCCTTAATCTTCGAATTGGATCCAGCTTATTATTTTTTGCAGATTGTTAGAGCAATTTTATAAAAGTAAGCTTGAACATTCGATTATGTCAAAAAGAATTTATGATTCTGGAGCTGCCAAAGGATCTACAAAGCGAAACCATGTTTTGATGTCCATCAAACAAAAAGTGGAATTGCTGCAAAAAATGGATAAAGTCATATCCTTTGTTTCTCTAACCATTCCGAAATCTGTTTATTCAATTTCACGCTGCTCCTGGGGGGGGGGGGGGACTGCTCTGCGGGGGGGGGGGGGGGGGGGACGTCGCGGCACACATTGAACTGGAAGTTGATCTGTCAGCACTATCCTTATCTTCAGGGCCAATAGTTTTTATTTTATTCGGCTTATAATTCCGTACTAAATGTAGTATTTCATCTTGATGTACTCCGTCTTTGATATGATTTAAATCAAATTCCTCATCATTATAAATATCACAAATACATCAAACAGTTTTCTGGTTGCAATTTTCTAATTTTGACTATGCGTAATGTATCCTTTCGCATGCGCATGTTGAAAGAAATGTTTAATAAAGTAAACAAATAAATATTAAGCTTTTTTTGTAAATTTTGATACCCTTTAGATCGTAATTGCTCTTTATTTCATAAATTACGGTTTCATATTTTTAACTTTATAATCTCTGCCTGCCATCTTACCAGATTTAAATTGATGATCTATAATCCGTAAAAACCGATAATCTGTTATTGCCGAAGTCCCAACGAATCTGGATTAAAGACTTTTGACTGTACTTTTTTTCCTTCCCTCGCGAAGTCTTTGTTGACAGGCTGCGATTCCAAAGCCACGGGTGTTTGTGGGGGGGGGGGGTCAGCTGGTATCCGGTCCAGGGTTAGAATCATCAAGGCCATTCGCAAGACGCGAAATTAACGTAGTGGAGCATTTTAGTCATTATGCTAATTAATCGTCTAATTTGTCAATCCACTTAGAACCAAAACCATTCCTCATTTAAACATCTCGAAGCTGTAGGTTTCCAAATTTGGAGCCTATCGGATGATTGGTTCCCAAGATACGAGTTCTTAGTGCATTTTCGTGATTTTTAAATCTGATTAACTAAGCAACTTTAAGTACCCCAAATTAATAATTTTAGTAGCATAAAGCAGCATGCTTATTTGGGATATTGAGCTAAGTAATCATTCAATGCTTTTGTTAGTATCATTGTTTAAGCAATTAATTCTGTGTTATTACACAATTAATTACTGTGTCCTTTCTACGATAGTGCTGACTATTATTATACTTAATGCCATTTAAATGCATCAGTTAGTATCAATTTGTATTACCCATTAAGCAATTAGGGTCATTCAATGAGTATGTCAAATAGTATTATTCATTAAGCTCTAATTTACTTCTCAATGTGGTATGAATGTGTTAATTAGTATTAATTTGTATTATTCAATATCATTTATAAGTGTGCTATAACTGGCCGCATGGACATTTTCGTGATTTTCCGCATGTGTGACGGGTATGCAGTATCTGTGGATGCATGCCTGAATAAAGCGGGCACAGCCCGTGTAAAGTTGCTGAACACTGGTAGTTCCATCCAACTTTCGAATCCCAGCGAACGGGCTGGCTGTATGGGTGTTTACGGGATTATTCGCATGTGTAACATGTATCCAGTATCTTGTAGATGCATACGTGAATAAAGCAGACACAGCCCGGGTAAAGTCACTGAACACTAGTAGTTCTGTCCAACTTTCGAATCCCGGTGAACGGGCTGGCTGCATGGGTGTTTTCGTGATTTTCTGCATGTGTAACGTGTATCAAGCTGGCGGGCTTGTCTGCTCAGCTGGCAGGTCTGCCCGCTAGTCTCTACTTAAATTTTGTAAAGTGAGTTAATGTAAATGTCGGCTCTTAGTTTTAATTTGGCATCCATATCTGAAAAAAATCTTTTCTCCTTAAATTCCGGTATACATTCATGTAATTAGTGTGCCAAAATAAGGTAAATTTAGTTTAGTTTTTTTTTTTTTTACTTACGTATTAGCGCAACGAGGCCAAAATTTGCATAAATCGCCAAATTTGGCGACCCTACTTACGGCAACCCTATGTGTTACTATTATACTACTATTATATCGAACGAACGTACTTGTAAAAATTCTCATAAAATGAAACTGTATTTTGGAAAGCAAATCTTCTGGAAATGTAACGTCGAAGAGTGCAATCAACATTTGGAAGTGAGTTTACAGTAAGAACCAGAAATTGGTTTGAAGGTAGCCGAATTTCATTTGTGACAGCGGTGCGCTTCATTTATTGTTGATGTAAAGAGTTAACCTCAATTAAATTTTCTGCAGAAGAGATGGGAAGTGCTGACAAAACTGTTATAGATTGGAATAATTACATGCGGGAGATATATGCCCTTGAAATGGATGAAAAAGAAAGCAAGCAATTAGGTGGCAAAGGACTTATTGTGGAAATAGATGAAAGTTTATTTGTAAAAATGGCGTTAATCGTCTGTTAGTGGCGAAGACGGTTTTCAATCAGTGCTAAAAGCAATAGCCAAAAGATTTCCGCCGAAAAAATAATTCTGCAACTTATTCAAATTTGAAACCGGAAGGGTTTAATTGCTATTTTATATTTTAAAACAAAATAATATAAAAAACTGTATTAAAAATTATCTGTAATTAATAAATGTACATTTTCTTTCTATTCATACTTTTTTACTCAAACTTGCAAATCGTGCCAACCTGGTTGCGATAATACGTAAGTACCTTTTTATTTTAAAAATTCATATAGGAATACTATTTTGAAAAATAGTTGCTATTTTAATAGATAAAAGCTGCCATATTTTTTTCAATATTGTATGTTAAAATTTAAAAAGTTTATTATGTTGTTTTATTCTTCCTTTCCTTTTTCAGTTCCTAATTCTTAAATTATTCAACCCAGCTGTTGTTCAAGTTATCAGTTTTGGAAAATATGAAAAAAGTCATGTATGTAACATGAAAAAGTTTAAAGTGTATGGAGGCCTTTCTGATGACAGCATGATAGAATTGCTGTATAGGTAAGTCATATCTAAATACAAAAAGATGTATGTTATATATTTACATTTTGTGAAAATCTTTTGCTGACAAATTTTCTCTTGAAGTTCTTTGAAAAATTAATTCCAATTATTTTTGTTTTTCCCAGTGGTTTAAAGAATAACAACCAGACAGAGAGTTTTAACCTGAAACATACTGCTGGTGAAAATATGTTTGCTTGTCGTTATATTAAAATTGGTATGTTTAAGCTTTTTATAATATATTTTCTTTTGTGCTCATCTAGTCATCAATATTTTGGACTTAAATATTTAATTTTCTTAAGTATTTCAATGTATGTTATTTTCCTTGCTAAAGATTTACTTTTAAAAGCATTTTTTGAATTCCATTTACATACAATACTTTGAATATTTCATTTTCTGTATATTGTGATTTAATCTTCACATGCACTTTTTTTTTTTTTTTTTTTTTTTTTTTTTTTGTGTGTGTGTGTGTGGTTTTGGTATATTGCTGACATCTTCGTGTATCATCTTGAAAAGAAAATGATTCAGGAAATATCTGTCATGAGATCTTTTAGTTCCACTATCCATTTCACTTTTGAAATTGAGTTACATAGTTCCTTTCTTTTTCTTGATATTTTGAAACTATAGTATTATGCTAAATGTTAATGTTTGTTTCTTGCAGTCTGCTTTTACACAGGAAATTCAGTTATTTAAAAATATTGTTCCTATTGAATAAATGTTTTATATTGTAAGGAAACACCATATTTTCTTGTCATGCTTTGACAGTCAGAAGATCTGTCATTTAAATCCCAGCAAGGATACATTTGATTTTATCATCTTCCCTTACTTAAGAAAACCCTAATGGTCTTTACAACTGATAAAGAATTTATTATTTTTTCTTGTTGCAGTAGATGGAAGTTTTTTTGACGAAATCTACAATTCAGTTAGTACTCTCAAGTTTTGTTGGAAGAATTCTTACTCTGTTGTCATTATATTTTGCTGTACAACTTGCACACACAAAAAAGAGGGCAGTTCTATTATCTCCCATTCTACTGGACCGATTGTCGAAATTTAACTTGGTTTCCATGTCTCAAAAGCACAACTTAGGATATATATTAGATTTATATATAGTATTATTGTTCTAACATAGGTAAAAAAAAACAAAAAAAAAAAAAAAAAAAAAAAAAAAAAAAAAAAAAAAAAAAGTTTGTTCTAACATAGGTATTTTGACACAAAATCTGACTTTTTCTGAAATAACATACCAATTTTTTCCATATTTCAGTTCTGCGACTCAAATTATGTCGAAGTGCCAAGTTTTGTAAAAATCTCAGCAGTTTTTAAAAAATTAGCTCGCAGAATTTTAGCTCCTCCATGTGAATTGAATTTGGTATATATTTATTAATATCGTTTTTTTTTATTAAACTTTTATTTGATTCTTCCTTTCACATTTAAAAATTTAGGTTCATTACAAATAAAATTTGCCCATTTTTTGTGATTTACTTTTAAATTTGTACTTTGAAATAATTTTCATAATTTTTTTTTTTTTTTTTTTTTTACTTTGAATTGTAACCTATAAAATTTTTACCATCGTAGATGTATTTCGAAGCATACCTGCAAAAATTTAGAGTTTTTTATTCAAAATTTGCAAAGATGTATGGGAATTTACATATTGGTACATTCTGAAATTTGGTTTAAGCAATAATGATGCCAAATGTGGCTCACACACTTTGTTAAAATTATTTGAACGTATGAACGATGACCTTTTTTCTGCTTGTGCACAATGGAAAATAAGTTGCTATAAATTAAGAAATTCACGATTCTTGGCACAAACTGAAAAGAAATGCGCCAAGATAAATTTTATAATTTATCCATAAATTTCTCACCAAAAATTAGAAAATTTAGCATCTAGGCATAATTGGAGTCATAGAACCAAAATATGGAAAACAATTGGTACATCATATCAGATCTGATTTGTGTCAAAATACCTGTGTTAGAACAATGCTATATGTAAATCTAATATATATTCAAAATCGTGCTTTCGAGACATGGGAAATGCAAGTTAAATTTTGACAACCAGTCCAGTAGAACACGAGATAAAAAAACTGTCCCTTTTTTCGTGTGTGTGCAAGGCATACATTGCAAAGACTTAGATGGTGTATTTAAATATTTAAAAAAAAAAAAAAAAAAAAAGGGAGAAATTATTAAATCTTTAAAGTTTCACAAATCATGATATTTGCTTTGATACTGTATGCTTTTTAATGAAATTAAACTCATCTTACTTGGATTATTATAATCTCTGGTTGTATGTTCTATTGTACTGCAATTTATCCATTCTGTCTTTGAATGCAGCTGACAGTCTCATTTCACTAGTGAAATTCATATTGTAGTAACTAGAAAATATTATATTAATTGATAAATTACTAGTTCATTTACTTAATGGTAAGAGTAATATATTCATGCTGATTGCAGTTTTTCCTGAATTGGATTGAATATGAAAGTTTTTATATAAATTAGTCATTCTTAATTTTTTAGTTTTTGAGCATTTCTATTCAGTAGTGTATACTTTGACAGTTGCTTTGGTAATGAATAAATTAATTAATTATTACTGAACAAATAAGATATCTGCTGTAGAGAGGAATTTTTAATGAAAGCTAATTAAATATGACTATGTAATTTATAACTATGTAAATAATTACTGAAGTATTAATTAACCTGTCAAACTAGTTGTTTGAGTGAGGATGTCAAATCTGGTATAATACAGTTTTATTAGTTCTTTTTTGTCACTTGTAAGGTTTATCTGTAGCCAATCTTATTAAAATAAATATTTAAAAGGTTTTTGATGTTTTTAATTTTGGTATGTACTGTTTCCAAAGTAAAATTCTGGATTGAAGTATGTAAGTTCAGTAGACTCCCAATTAACCAGAGACGACATCCATGGGTAACCCAAAAACACAATGAATCTAACAGCAGTTTAAAAACAATGCAGGAAAGAAGAGTAGACCATATTATAATGAATAGAAAAATACCATTCGTAATTTATCTGCATTTTTTAGCAGTTTAGAGTACACTTATTTGGTTATGTAAATTAAATCTGCGTTCAAAACAAGACCACACCTTCAAAACAGAAGACAGTAGACAGTATTTTTGTTTATCTTACTATTGTATTTCAATAGGAGTCAATCAGAAACAGATGATTAATGGTTGTACACTTTATTTATTTTTACTGAATCATTTAACAATGTTTATATGTTCCAAATTATGTATATAATGTATTTCTCCTGCCTTCCGAACGTGCCTTCGTGGTGTAGTGGTTCTGCATGCTGGGCCGGTATTCCAGAGGTCCATGGTTCGATTCCCGATGAAGACAATTGCTCATTTTTTCATGTTTCTTGCTTTCAAAAATTACCTAATGTCTCTACAGTGGCGCCCGAACTAAAAGAGTGTTGGATGAGGATTTCCCACACCCAGGATTTGGTGATTGGGTCCCCTAAAAACCCCAGTTGCCTTTTAAAAAGGGGTATATAACGTATTTCTCCTGTCTTCCTAGTGTGTCTTCATGGTGTGGTGGTTCTGCACGCTGGGCCGGTATTCGAGAGGTCCGTGGTTCGATTCCCGGCAAAGGCGATTGCTCATTTTTCATCTTTCTAGCTTTAAAAAATTACTTAATTACTCTACGTGTATATGGATAGTTTTATAGGTTAAAACAATTCCATGACATCATTTGCTATAATTGCTGTTATGCCATGCATTTTCTTCTCCTTTTTCTATATCCAAAAGAAATTTTCCTTTATTCTGATGTTTTTTTAAATCAATCATTCAACAATAAACAAACTTAACTTTTTTCTAGATAAAACCTGATTGATCCTTCTTTAGTTAATTGGGAGTGTACTGCATTATTTGTAATATATAATTGAAATATTTATCTATTTAATAGACTTTAAAATGTTAATTACTATGGAAACTAATGTTTTCTAAAATGAAATTTAGTCATTTTCTTTCTATTATCATTTGCTGCTGTATTTTAGTTCCAATCCAGTCATGGGGCCCAAGCTTTAATTTTAGTATATGGCATGTCCAATTGAAAGGTATAGAAGACTGGAATATAGTGAAATCCTGTGTCAGTTGGTTTAGTTATGTAAGTAGTGAGACTATGTGATAATTTCTTTTAGCATAAGCAGCTTACATGAAATATTCTATGGTATTTGTTAGTTATACTGATCCAGGATGTACTGCAGATGCCATAAATTATGGTAAAAGACCCACAAATTTCTATCTGTCTGTTGCTAGAATCTACCTATTGCAGATTTGTTCTTAATCTTGAGCATGGGAAGTTTTCAAGTACAGAATTGCAGTACCAGAGATGATGAATTCAAAATCTGCCATAGCAGAGAACATTATGTGTTGCTCAATAAATTCTTGCCCCCCCCCTTTGAAGATATATTGCAAATGCTAGCTAAGCAGTATGTATCTGAAATAAGTCATAATAATCATTTTACTTGCATTGACAAAATAACCTTCACAGTGAAACCAAGTGGTAGTACTGTGTTCGTATTTTAAGGTAATTATGTATTTTCCCGTCAACAGCGAATTTGGGTGAAATTCTGCCTGTCGTTCTGGTCGAAGTTTTAAAGAACAGATCGCTCTTTATTTAACCCTCTCGGCGTTAAGGCCAGAAAATTCTATACAGAAGGTTGCCTTCCACATTCATTATACATGAAAATTTCTGCTAGCTTTTAATGTATCTGATATCAGTTTGGATGTATATTCAGGGGTGTTTGTGAACCCCAGAATTCTGGGGATTTTGAACTTCGATACCCGGAAATTCCGGGGATCGTCATTCAAAAGGAAGTAGGAATAATAATGAATTATTTATTTTGATCTGGGTAATTTTGTTTGCTTTGAAAGCAGAAAACGCAAACTCTTATTGCATTTGTGGTGAAAACATTTCCTTTCTTTCTCCAAAGGCAGTGATAATGCGTGAAAAGGGGGAACAAAGTTCTTTTTTGTTCTTTCCTTATTGCGAGTTATGACTCATTCCCCCGGTTCTCGGACATTCTCTTCTGGATTCTTTTCGGCAAGTAGGCGCGGCAAAAAAAAAGGGAGAGACTTCGTTTGACAGTTTCGTGACTCCGTTCCTCTTCATTTCTTCGACTCCTTAAGTAGAGAAGGGGGATTTTTCTTTTAGCGCTGTTTAGCAATTTTCACGTTTTGACTCTGGGTTCGAAAAGGTTTATTTATCTCCAATGTTAGAAATTTCAATGAAGGGGGATATAAATAGTGATTTTATCATTTTAGAAAGGTGGGAATGCATTTAGGTGTAAAATTTTCGTTTTGGAGATTATGAAATATTTTTTATTTATACCATCGGAACATGAAAGTGCAAGAAATTAAAATGTTGAATGGTATATGGACAATTGCAAAATAAATTTTTTTGACAAGCATTTTGTAACTCACTGCTGAAGTATGGTGGGGAAGGATTCAAGGCTTTCACAAATCATTCTAAAACTGTGACGCACATAAAATATTCAAAGTGCATTAGACATTCAATGACTTTAAGTAATTATGCTAATTCAAAAAATACTGATGACTTACTGGAGACTGATGCTCGGCCATTGGATATAGTGACAAGAAAAGCACGCCAAGAGGTATTAATAACTTCGTTTATCGCCGAGAATTCTCTTTCTTTCAATGTAGCTCCCAATTTAATTGAACTCTGCAAACAGTTGAGCCGCGATCAGACGGCACTAAACTCGTTGGAAATGTCCAGGACTACTGCATGTTATAAGATGAAATATGGGCTCGCAAAAACTATTAAGGAAAATATCATTAAAACTTTAAAGGAGACTCCATTTTCTCTAAATTTGGATGAAAGTACTAGCAATGCTCAAGAAAGTATACTGGCAATATTGGTGCAGTTTTATGACAACAATCAAAATGAAGTTGTAGTTCATCATTTTGCATCTCTAAAGATGGAATCTTGCAATTCAGAAGCTGTTTTTAAAGCAGTTGTTAATACTATTGAAGATAATAATATTCCATGGGCAAACTTAATTAGTGTATTAATGGACTCATGTAACACCATGCGTGGAAAAAAAAAGGGTGTTGAAACCAGACTACGATCAAACAAAGCACCCCACTTATTAGATATTGATGGTGACACATGTCACACAGCTAATAACTGTGCAAAAAAATTTGCTTCATGTTTTGATAGATACTTAGAAGATAGAAGATTTGTTTGATGACATCTATTTTGATATGAAAAGCTGCAGTAAAAGAGAAAATTTTTTCAAAATCTGTGAATCCCTTGCCATTAAAAAACTTAAGCCCTTGAAGAGACCAGACCATAGGTGGGTGTACATTTTATGTGTTTTAGAAAGAATCAAAGATCTGTGGGATGCTCTTATTGCATTTTATTTTCACTACTTGGATAAAACTGATAAAGGGGATTATTTTTCTTATGTTGAAACTGTATACAATAAAAGAAATATTTCTGCAGCTCAGAAAAAAATTGTTGAAGGGGTGTATTCTTGCTTGCATTCCCAACAACTCACAAAGGATGCTTTAGCTCGGAAAAAAAGAATACTAAATGGGTTATTTGTTATGCAAAACAAAACTTTATTGCATATGGCATTATATTCAGCAGTATTACCAGAGTTCAACACATATATTAAATTATTTGAAACAAAAAAAAACCAATGCTTTTATTAATACATTCCAGTATTTATAAATTGATGGCAAAATTTTTCTCTTTTTTTATGAAGCCAGAAAATATAGAGTGCACATCTTATAATGATTTATTAAAGGTTGATGTCACAAATCCAGAATTCCATCTACCTAGCAAAGTAATATTTACTGGTGCAGAAGCTTCCACTCTCCTGAAGAAATTATCAAAAAATCATCCAATAGCAAAAGAATTCCAAATTTCTCTGATGAAAGCTTATACTAATACAGCACAGCATATGAAACAGAAATTACCCCTTAAAAATTCATATCTAATTAGTTTTACAGCATTAGATCCAGAGCTAAGAGGTAAAACCAGTACAATATTAGCTTTTGAAAAATTATCATCTTTTATGTCCCATATTTTTAGTGATAATGAAAAGTCAAAAGTAGAAGCTGAAATAAGGTTATACCAGAGTGATATTGATATCACCAAAGAAATGCTCTACACATCTGATGAAAGTGGAAATCAAGTCAAGTGTACAATTGATAAATATTGGTCTAAAGTTTTTAATTTAAAAGATGATTTCACAAATGATTATAAGTATCCTACATTGGCTAAATTGGTCAAAGCCTGCCTTAGCTGCTTCCATGGCCCATTAGTGGAAAGTGCATTCAACTTAATGGATACACTTGTCACTGACTATAGAACCTCTCTTAAGATTGATTCCCTAGATGCAGTGCAGACTATTAAATATGATTTAATGGCTTCTAAAGAAACCTCATGTGAAAAATATGGCTCAAAAAATCCAATGACTGATCCAATTCACAAAGATCTCTTACTGAATATGAACAGAAGTTGGAAAACATATCAAGAGGACTTAAAAACATGTATTTCAGATGAGTCACCTATAAAAGTCTCTGAAAAACCTTCTACATTAGCAGAAAAGCAAACTGCTTCTACCTCTGCATGTGCAGTTCTCGAGGAAATTTCTTCAACTGTAAATGAGGAAAATAAAAGTCAACCTTCCTGCAATTATGAAGTTCACCACAAAAGAAAGACAAGCCCACAAACATCAGAAAAAAAAAAAAAGCAGCAGAAATTAGATAATTTTTTTTAAAGAATTAATTCAGGTAATTTAAAATATTTACATAAAATGTAGTAGTTTATATGTTTGAAAATTTATGGTTATTAATTTTGCAAAAAAAAAAAGTAATTCATTGAACTTTTATAATTAGGTCATTCATTTTTCATTTCTCTTCCCCCCCCCTTCTCGAAACTCCAAAATGTCGGTAAGTCCGTAAAAGTTTCAGGGGATTTTTTGGGGTCCCACAAACACCAAAAAAAGGTTAATTTTATTTTTATTAAAATATCACTTATTCATGACACGTCTGTTTCAAGGCTAAAAATGCTCAGAGGGTTAATTAGATAATCTGTATATATGAGTTACAGTACAGAGTATAAAAAATTTAAATAAATATAAACTCGGGCTTTGAGATTATCTGACTGTCAAACTCCTTAAAACTTGTTCCAGTCATTCCAGTAGCAAATAATCCCTTATGCTATTTAAAATAACTTTAAACAATCACTTTCTTTGCAAATTTGATACAAAATAAATTTGTATAAATAAGAATTGGATTGTTTTTTTACTGTGCCATATTGCTGAACCCCAGTATCTTAACGTTTTGAGTATGCACATCAGTATAATTAATTAGCTCTATAACTCTGAAAATACTGCACTGCTTACTCTTCTCTGTAAAATACAGGTAAAATTTTTTAATCATTTCTTTAAAATGTAAAAGAAAAATAGAGCAGTTAATTTTTATCCTTCTTTTACAAAAACTAACCTGGCTTATAGAGGATTGGGTTTCTATAAAACCAAAAGTAAGATCTTATGAATGTGTTATGACATCCATTAATGGCCCTAAATCGCACTATTTGATGTCATTATGGTTGACGGAAAAATGCATGAATACCTGTTTTAACCCTTTTGGCCTTAATGGGCACATACGTCCCAGAGATTAGATTTCATGGCCTATTGAGAAAATAAAGCCCACTTTTAAATGGGTTTGTTTTTAAGTTTGCAGGGTTTTTAAGGAAGTGGGGAACAAATATGTGACTAGAAAAAACCTGGCAACACTTTTAAATTGCAGATGACGCACTTATGTTTTTGAGCACGCTGATTACTTAAGTTTCAGTTTGTCTATTTTTTTTTTTTTTTTTTTTAAATTTTACAGCAAATGCAAATACTTAAAGCATGCTTAGTATTAAATAGTTCTTAATGTTCTTATTAAGTAATAATTTAACTTTTTTAATGTCAGATTTAAGAAATTTTGTATAAATTCTTTTTGCGGGATATATTGTCTCAATTGTATTTAACAGTGGGTTAATATGTCCCATCAGTGATCAAATTACCACATGCTGATATATTATGTTTATGAAACATATATGAAAATTTTTGTTGTATATGAACTGGTGCATGTGGCAGAGTTTACATTTTGTAATATTCCCATTATATATCACCACAAATTTTAGTTTTGTTTTCTGAGAAAAGGTAATATCCCAGACAATCAGGACAAATAGTCCCGATTGTCTGGGACATATTTGCTCCCTATGATTTTTAATATTTGTCTAGGACAACAATGATGATGGGCGATCTAGTCCCGATTGCCTGTCATCATCATTGACAATATGATTGGGACATATTGTCCCAGGAGATTTCCGGGAAATGGAAAAAATTAAAAACTTTAAACTCATATTACACCTCTTTTAGTATGTCAGCATTAAATGAAACTTCTTTTCATAGTTAAATTTTACTCCTGCAAAAGTCGGGTTGAAAGGGTTAAATGTGTTCATAAATCATTATTACACTATAAGTTTGTCATATTTTTTCAGTAGCGAAATAAATGGAATGCTAGCATATAAAATAAAGAGATGTTTCAGTTTTGCTTTCCGTGCTTTGTTTATGTGCAATCTGTGAAGTATTGAGCATATTTTAAAATGTTATTTGTTTTTAATTTAACATAAACATTTATTTTATCCAAAAACTGTTCTCCCTTTTTAACTAATAATGTTTTATTCTGCTCTGCTGCATGTACGCTCATATTTTGAAAGCATTTAGTAGATTCTACTGATGTTGAATTTGTACTGTGGTTTAAAATAAATACAGTACAAAATCCAATTGTCAGTTCTTTGTTTTTTCTGGAGTTCATAAATTCCTGGATTTTAAATCTAGTAAAATGATCTGTAGATGTAAGAACATTGGGGCTTCTTTTATTGTTTACATGGGACAGATGAAAGAGTACCAAACATCAAAAATTAGTGAGGGGCAAAATTTTTTTAATTTAGAAGAGGGACTGAGCAGCAAATATTTTAGATTTAGGGAAGTACCAAATAGCAGAATGTAGGGCCTAAAGAGATTGCATTGGGCAGCAAAATATGTAGTACCGGCACTGCCCACAACCACTCAAGATCTGAAAGTGCGATATCTAAGAAGTCAATCAAAACATTTTTATTGACTATGGGGGAGCTTCCTAGCCAGCAAGTGTTTGAAAGTAACATACAAGAATCTCATGTAAATGGAAGAAAAATTGAATTTACAGTATACCAGCTTGGTTTTGTTGAGTATTATATTCTATATTCCTAGATTTTATAAGTGGGGTGAGAAGATATTTTTTTATTTTATCTATTTATTTATTTATTGGCTGGTGGCCCAAAAATCCAGATTTCCGACTTCGTACTGTATTTCTCATGGTTTATCAGTTTGGTAAGTTTTTTTACACACATTCAAAATAGGATCATGGAACAATATCTTTAAAAGGTGTTTTTTTTTGCACATTTATCATCTTGTGGTTTGTACAAAAGGCTGATGATTAAAAAATCTCTAGATTTGTTGAATGTAATACTTCTGTAAGACTTTTTACTCACTGCCTATGACTATCATTGAAATGACATACTATTTTCCTGTCTTCCAACATATGGACTAACCTAACTGTATTCGAATTCAGTTGTTAAAGTTAAGTGAAAAATTGTCTTCTTAGCTTTTTTTAACTATTATTATTATTATTTATTAGAGCATAAAATATCTATTTCTGTTTTGTAATTGTAGTATTTGTGTTAATTTTCATGTTGTACAAATAGTTGTTTTATATTCAGTATAGGGAGAGGGAAGCTATTCGCTTATGTTTGAAACATTTCCGGCAGCATAACTATACTGAAGCTTTTGAATCCTTACAAAAAAGAACTCGTGTTCAGTTAGAAGATGCTTTATTGACGAAACTTCATCAGTGCTTGGTTAAGTGTCTTTTCTTTTTTGTAATATTTTTTAAAAAAAGGTTATATATTATTTCATTTATTTTATATTTAAATAGCTTTGTGAACTACTTTGTAACTATATTTTTTATGAAACAGCTATTTAAGTAGCTAAATGGCTTGAACTATGTTTTAAACCTAACACAACTTATGAATATTTTCTGTAATATTATTGATATTGTAATAGAGAATTTTATTTGTTTTTGTAGGTTATTGATGGAGATTACATTTCAGCAGAAAAGTTATTGATAGTTGCAGCTGAAGGTTTGTATTCTGTCATTTAAACTAAAGTTTGTTGAATATTATTTTATTTCAGTTAAGATATCGATTTTCTGTCATGTTGAATTCAACATGTGTGCTAATTCGGAATGTTTTCATGGTGCTGTTGATTGTAATTATTATGCTTGAGTTTTTCTTTTATTATTTTTTGACTTGTAATTCTATTGCACATAGGAAAAATCTTTTTCAGCCACCAGTAATCTAGCATTGTATGAACTCCATGTTTAGCCTGTTAGCCACGCAAATTTGAAATTCAGAGTTCTTCACAAAATAGGTTTTATTTGTGAAACTTATAAGGCTTCAATTGAATTGATGAATCAAGTTGTTAATGCTATCAAAATTTTTAAGAAGTGTACTGATTTTTTAATTATAGCTTAGTTTTATAAAAATGCAGTTCTAATTATGTTGTTTTGTTATTACTTCTGTCTTGAATATAAGCATGTGTATTAATATTTGTTTTAGAGGGATATCTAGACCATTATCTAATACAGCAGACACCAAAACCGAAATGGGTTCCTCTGATACCATCAAAAAGTTCAGGTATGATAAAATGATGAAACATTACCTGAATTCCAAAATTTTATTAAAAATTTTCTTTTATATTTATTCTGGTTTTTTAATAAATAATTTTATTTTAGAAAATACCAGCAGTAGACCTGGAATGAGAGGTGGTCATCAAATGTGTATTGATGTTTATTCTGGTAACTGTTGATTCTCATTAATTTTTTTAATGTAAATCAATATATCCTGATTTATTTTTAAATGTAATCTGTATATAGTATAATAAATATAAAAACAAGAATGCATCCCATTATTATGTACTTGCACATAACTGTAACTGTGTTGTGTAAATAAATATGATAAATATTGTGTCTGTAATATCTGAATCCATAAAAAATTATCTATCTTTTGTCATTACTAATACACAATATTTTTAATAATAATAATTTTTTACAGTGTATGCATGTGTGTTATAAAAAATGAGCCCCTTTATTGCAGTAATTATGTGCAACTGTAGGAGTTTGTTGTATAAATAAGTTTGATAAATATTGTTTCTGTAGTATCTGAGTTTTTAAAAATTGGTATTTAACTATCTAACATATATAATGCTTTTGGTCTACCTCAAAAATAAATAATGACATAAAGAGCTAGTGTATGTCATGCAAAAAATTTGTAGTTATAAAAAAAATGTAGTATGCTTAGTAGTATATTAACGTATTGAGATATACTTGAAGAAAAAAAATTGTCTCATTAATTTGATATTTTCCTGGTATGAAGCCTGTCTGTGTAAGCTGCACCTTTGATATTTATACAACTCTAATTTTTTCTTTAAAATTCAAGTTTTTTATTGCAGCCTTGTATGTACCTGCACTCAAAATTTGGAAAATGTTGAATGTAAGCACTCTAAAGCTTACGATTTGAATTTAAATAAGTAGTGTTTTTAAGCAGTCTGAAATTTTGTTTTGATTTTATTCCAATATTTTCTCCTCTTTTCTGTATCTCTTTCATCAACTTGATAAAAAAAATATTAGAAAATTTCTAGAATATTTTTACTATTAGTTTCATATTCAAAAATTTCTGCAATTCTGGAAAATAATAGCACCATGCTATAAGCATGTGAAGACTATTTCCTAATTAAGGAGGGGGAAAATGAAAGGATATAATTGATCTTCATATGTTGAGTTCGATTTTCTGCAGTTCAAATTTTAATTACTAGCTCGAAGGAGCATTAGACCCTAAGGGTTATTAGTTTCAAAATGCTGTTTTGCATTGTTTCACTTTCTGCTTTGGCTCACTTTTCAAACTGTTGCCACCAAATATTATTGCCATGTATTATATTTAAAGAAATTAAATAATGAAGGATCTGCATGAATGTTTCTTGCATTATGAAAAAAACAGCTGTACCTAGAGCTGTCAAATTTTGAATACTTTAGTACTCCAACTAAACGTGGGAACTTGGAAGCCTGAATTTTTAATTTCAAATTTGTTTTATTATCTATTTCAAATTTCGTAAACGAATTTTTGATTAACAAACTGAATGATTTCAAAACGAGCAATGGCAACACCATATGGAAAAAAACATTTTTATCTCCAGTTGACGAGACTGTTTATCGGAAATTCTAAAGATATGCTGTTTGTAAATATTTTGGGATATTGCTGTCGAATTGAATTTTATGTGTTTTAAATGTGAAGAACATGATCACGTCCTTAGTTACAGGGGTTGTAGCTACTACAAGAAACGTTCTGAAAGTAAAAACCAAGACTCCCAGCTGAAACCTCCAGTACATAAAACCCCAGATTTTCTTTGGATAATTTTCCTCAGATGCTCACAGAGATGAAAGCAGCAGAAACCAGCACAGCAAAACCAGATGTACAGTTCAAAATTAAAACAGAAGTTACAACCACCACCAAAAGAGACCAACGAAATCCTGACTTGGCTCAAAGATGAAAAGATCAAGAAATTCCTCACTACAGTTATCCAACTAATAGAGAAAATTAAAGCTGCAAAGAGCCCCTCGGAGAAGTTAAGAGTCGGTTTCTATGCAACTATGACTTTCATGAAGTTTGCTGAAGAAAATTAAGAAGACTGTAAAACCACTCAATAGATGGCAGTACATGAGCAGATCACTTAGCCTAAATCTCCTTCTCCAGCATGCTTTGCACTTTGACCAATAGCTGACTCCACAGAAATTGTCAACTAAGCCTAAATCCAAATTCTGAGACTTCTTATGGAAAGACCGATAGATGGCAACACGCGAACATGTAAAGATTACCTGATTACCCCCTCGACCAGCCTCTGAACCATTGGTGTATCGAGGGGGGGCAAGGGGATGTATGATGCCCCGGGCACCAAATGGTCTCCAAACAAGATTTTCATCACATCACTGTTTTTTTTTTTTTTTTTTTTTTTTTTTTTTTTTTTTTTTCGGGGGAGGAGGTGCCAAAAAGGTATTTTGCCCCGGCGCCAATTATGCTCGCTACTCCACTGCTCTGGACTTTAATTTCTACTCCCTAGTCAGCTTCAAAGGGCAAATTGAGGAATTTTTCATCCTTTTCCTTCCTCTCTCTGCTCCCTCCATAGGATTCACTCAGGAACTTATCACATGCCCATTGTGGAACTCTCTCAGGTTTATAGGCAAATACTGCTAAAGCAGTAAAACCCTGTATAACATCTGTATCAATGTATCAACATTAAAAAAAAATTTTTTTAATGCCCTTTTGTGCATAATATAAAATTTGAAAGCTTTCAGATTTTCCCCCTCCTGCTTAAATTCTCTGTTTATATTTTATTTAAATCAGTAACAAGCAAAACTTAAAATACAATGCATAATGTATTTAGCATTTTTAAAATAGTAATTTTTTATTTGTTCTTACCAAAAAATAAAAGATGCCTTTTAATATTAAGCATGCCATATATCAAATCATATTTAAAAAAAAATTGGTAATTCGAGATATTTATGTATTGTGTTGCTTATTTCTTTCTTGGGTAATTTATTAGTTGCAATTTTATAGAAACTTGGTTTTTACTGAAATTTTAAGATAAGGCTAAAAAAAATTACAAGTAATTACATTGATTTTATTTTATTTAGTACTGCTATACAAGTAATTGTTTGGCTAACATAATCTATCAGTATTTCATATCTTAAAAATTTTTCACAAACTTCAAGTGAAGCTGAGTATTATTTCTTAAGTTAAAACTTATTTAAAAAATAATGATTTTTCACTCTAATTATAATTTATCACACTTAAATATATTTCTTTTGTTCATGTTTCATTCCAGAATAACAGATTTCTTTCTCGAGTTTTATATCGTCCATATTTTATGCTCTTTTCTTGTGAACCTGTTAGTACTCAAAAATAGTTATACTATAATTGTTTGAGGCATAAAGCATTTTGCATTTCAGTATGATGACTGTCTCTGTTTTCTCCCACATTGTAGTTTTTATGTGTCTGTTATGTGCTTCAATAAAAAATATATTTTTTGAGTGCAGATTTAAAATTTATTACAGCAACTGAAATTCTTTTACCAGGGTTCGTACAGTCTTTAAGAGTCCTTAAGTTTTTTGGAATCGATTTTTGGTCCTTAAGAGTCCTTAATTTTGGCCAAAATCAGCAGAAGGTCTTTAATTTTAATCATCAGAAATGTCTGTCTGTTTTTACAACTGCCATTTTGAGTGTGAATTATCATTTTGGAGGAATATATTTGGCGATTCACTGATACATATGGTTATCTTTTGAATGGGTTCATGGGTTATAATTTGTTCCTATTTCTTACATAAATGGTGGGGTACTGGAGTTTCTAAGCAAGAAGTGAAACGTAAGGAATTTCGGAATTCATTTTTTCTAAGAAGAGCTCTTAAACAACTTTTCGCCTTTATTAAACGGTTCTGAATTTGGCAACTTATCAACATTTTGGCGATTTTAAAATCAGTTTCTATAAAAGTTTTTAATTCCGAGATCTGGGAATTTTTTAACAATTGTTTTTGAAACATTGTAACATTGATAAATTTCGCTAAAATAATAATAATATATTGAAATTATATTTAAAAATAACATTAAAATAAAACATTTTTATTTTTTGCTGTCATATTGTAAAGTTTTATTTTGGCAACTTATAATACATTATTTTGAGTCTGAAAAATAAACGAGGTATAATGTATAGAAAATGTATGTATAAAGCACAATTTACGAAACAGTTCTTAGTAAAAGCAAAATTAGCTATATAGTTAATTAAAAATGTCTTTTTTAAAATTTTTTCATAGTAAGAGTTTTTTTCTGTGTAATCGTGTCAGAATGTGCATCAGTTTTCTCTATAAAATTATTTTTACATTTTTCTCTCCTTTTTTTTTTTTCCAAAATATTTCTGGCTTTTTGCTATTACAGAATTGGTAAGGACAATTTTTCTTCAGAATTTTAGACATTGGAGCTTGGAAAGTTTAAAAGAATTTCAAGGCAAGATTTATAGACCCACAATTCTAGAAGATTCTAGAGATATGTGACAACTAGTGTCTTCTCCATATTATTAACACATAATGGATGTATTTTGCAATGAATTTCTTACTTTTTGGAGAACGTCTAGAAGAACAATGAAAACATACTATTTGAATGTTTTACTGGCTGGCACTACGCATTTTCCCTCCTGATGCAATCTCTGTGCAACCTTTCTGCTGCCTAGTGCCTTTCTAAATTCTACTTCCAATGTCTGCTCTAAATTCTAAAAGTTTGCCATTTCTAGATTTTGTTGCTCGGTGTGTCACTGAATTCTAAAAATTCTGCTGCACTAGCTGACCCTTACCGTATATATTTCATATTTCTTCTGAATGTTCATATTACTAAAGTAATAAAATTAGCCGTTTTTTCTATACATTCTAATGTACTTTTTTTAAATTTTATTTTGGAATAGCAGAAATCTTTAATCTTTAATCCAAAAATTCTAAAATGAAAATGAAACCTGTTGAAGGAAAAAACTCAATACATGGAGAAAATTATTATTCAAAGATATGTACAGTTATTATGTAAATTACCCAGTTGTTCATGATTTCAGCCTTCACTAGAATTTCCTGTTTTTGCTTCCTCATATGATAGAGTTACTGAGCCAGCTTAAATTAAAATTAAATTGTATAATATTTGATCACTAAAAGTTTGAATTTGTTCTTGTTTAATAACTTCCCCATGAGCTGTAATTGATTTCGTTAGCATCAGAACATGCATTTATGTTCTAATTTCTTTTTAAATAAGAGGCTTATTTAAACCTTTGTCTGATATTATCATTACTTTCAGACATAGTAATAATTTGCTTCATGTCTGTCGGGGGGTTTGGAACTTTTTAACTTTTAGCAGATCAAGTAAACCCTCATAAGTATATTATGGGGAGGTTGACAAGTTAGCAGATAAAGCATGCAGAAACTAGTCAGAGCATTGGTTTGCGTATTCAGACAAATTTTTGATTGTTAGAAAAGATGCTTAAGGAGGAGGAAATCGATAAAAATTTGAAAAAATGTCTGGGAAGGCTTCAAATCAAAATGACGCATAAATATTTTGTTGAGTTTTGTTGTTACAAGACATAAATGTTTTGTAACAACAACACTTTCAAAACTTGCCAACTGTGCCTACAACAGGCCTTTCAGGTTTGTTCTAATCAACAGGTCTCTCTCTAGACAAGCAACAGCGGTGACAACATTGTCTTTTGTTATGAATCATTAATTCATGAATCATTTGTCATGAATCATGCTGATTATGATCTTACTTTTCATTTTAACTTATGATGCTTGACATAAAATCTACCTGCTATTTACTAAACCTCTAGCCTGAACAAGTATGTGACAAAATGAGACATAAAAAAAGAAAATCAACATAAAGCTAACTGTTAGTAAAATATAAATGTCACTTATCTTCTTTCAAATATGTCCAACTATTATAAGTGTAAAATATTTAATGCTACTTGTAAATTGCATAATGTTTATTTTATTCTCAAACTTTCACTGTTAATTAATTCATGTTTAATAATAATGTGCCATACTTAGGGATCTATTTTATTTTTAGAATGGTATTACAAAAGTGAAATTCAGGCATAGATAATATTTTTAATTGAATTTATTCAGTTTTCATTTGCTCATAGGTCCTTAATTTTTTCATTAATGGTCTTTAAAGTCCTTAATTTCCGTGTGTATAAATATGTACGAACCCTGTTTTACTAAATATATTACACTTTTCCTTTTTTTTAACTTTTATTTATTTATTTTTATTTTTCATGTTTTACTTTTTAAAACTGTCAGCAGGAATAAAATTAAAAAAAAAATTAAAACATGGTTGTATTTTATACTGCTGTCATTAAAAGCATATCTCTTAATATGGTATCTTACTAGTGGCTGAGTAGGGCCACTGAACATAACACTGATATTATGCTTGTAAACATTCAAAATCTGAGTTAAAAGATGCATTTTTTTGAGTTGGGAAATAGGGTTGGTTACTATTATAAATAACTTTTAAAAATATTTTAAACCTTCAAGTGTTTCGAAATAAATAATACCGACTGAAGTAAGTTGCATTTTAAAGGAGTGGAAAATATATGTAGATTAAATGATGAAATAGATTGATATTGAATCTTTTTTTTTAATTTTATATAGAAATAATATATCTTTTTGGTGGCTGGGATGGGACGACAGATTTGGCTGATCTCTGGAGTTACCACATACCTACTGGAACATGGACATGTTTGTCTCAAGATACTTCTTGTGAGGTATAAGAATTCTTTTATCTCAAAGTTTTAAAAAATATTTACTGAATGCTCAGTAGTTTTAATCAAAAAAGCTTTTAACTTTGAATTACTATCTTGATCATGGATGTCTTGCATGTCTATTTTTGTCTAAACTTCTTCAACCCCCCCCCTCAGGTTTTTTTTTTAATTATTTTTTTAAGCATCTGTTTTTAACACTTAACCCTTCAATGGTTAGTCCCAGATTATCTCTGTCTTGCATACAGGCTTCTTAAAGACTCACTATAGATAATTGTTACTTTAAATATACCCTCGAACACACAAGCCATCCTCTTCTTTTGTTAGAACGATAAGTTATGCCAAGAATGGCTAGATTGAATTTTTATCTTTCTTTCACTTTCAAATGCCTAAGGGGGTGACAACAATGTGTAATAACCGTCATCAGCCTGGGAAAAAATCATAAATGTGATAAAGGCATTCACTTTAACAAAACAAGGAATTTATTACCAGTTAGAAAGTGAATTTATATAGAAAAGGAATTAAAAATTTCTGGTGTAGAACAGATAAAGGAAGAAAATGTTTTAAAATAAGATTTTTATAGAATAAGCTTTTATCTAAAATTCATAAAATTATTAATGAATTAAAAGGAGAAAAATAATTTATCATATTATTAAATGGGAGTGAGATTAAGTAATTCTCTTTACGTCATCTCATCTATAAATTCATATCATAAATAATGGGGGATCACTCTTGATAAATTTGTAATGGCCTATCCTTTGATAATGACTAATTGCTGATTATTCTTATTATATATAAATATTTTGTTTTCATCATTTTAGTATCATTAACACATTATCAAACAAATTGTTCAATTGAAAAAATCATTCTTTTACTTTCAACATTTATCGTATTAGCGATTTTACCAAAATATGAAATTAAAATCTCATATAAACTTCATTTTAAAAAACATTTCCCTATCTGATGGTGCAGACAGTAAAATTCTGAGAGTTTTAAGTTTGTTCATTAAATGAATAAATGTGAGAAAAGTCATTTTAACATTAAAATTTTTAAAACTTAGCTCGGATTTTGAAAAAATCACTTCATTAGCAATTATTATATGTATAAAATTTGAATTCCATATTGGGTATGATCTGAAAAGGTAGCTTGTGGGAAGTAGTTTAAAATTTAACCATAGTGACAAACACCATGAATGAACTAAATAAAATCTTTTAAAACAAACAGCTCTCTTGCCAACTCTTAAATATTATATTTTTAACATTTTGGAAAGTTTTGTAAATCATTGATGTCACATGTTTTATTTTTATAACATTGGCCTTCCAACAAACTTAAAAAGTTATTCAAGTTAAAAATTGACTCATCATGCTGCAAGGCTGTAAATTTATATCCACTTTAGATATTAATCTGGAATCTGATTAATTTTTTAAATTTTCATCTCTGTACTGTAATTTATACAACTGTTCTTCTAAAGGATTATTTTCATTACTTTAGGGTGGACCCAGTCCTCGATCATGTCATAAAATGTGCCTTGATCCTGAAAGGAAAAAAATTTTCACACTAGGACGGTACTTAGATTCTGTAATGAGGGCAAGTTTTTACTTAAATGTAAGAAACCTTTTTTTCACATAATCTTCATAATTTTAAGAATAAAAATTTAAATGGATATTCAATCTGGTAATAAATTTATTATAAATATTTATTTCATTCTTTTAAATAAACTGAAGACAAAAATCAGTTAACGTGTGAACTGTTTTTATTAGAGTGATTTCTATGTGTATGATATTGACTCCAATCAGTGGACACTAATCACAGATGATACAGAAAAAATGGGTGGCCCAAGCTTAGTGTTTGACCATCAGATGTGCATAGATGTAGAGAAAAATACCATTTATGTTTTTGGTGGAAGAGTCGTTACTAGGTATTAAATATTTTAATTATTTTTAATTATTTATTTTACTTGTTTTGGAATTTGAATGTAATAGTATAAATATTCCAGTGCTCTCTGTATCCAGATACCCCACTAATCCTCATTGCAGTATGAATTTTAACACAGAAAATATATGTTGAGAGCAGGAAGATCAAATTTTTATGATTATGGAGAGCCCCAGCATTTTCAGTTTTTAATCACCATCTAATTCATGCAAAAGAGAGACATTTCAATGAATTTAGTAGATTAATACCAAAAATTGGAAAGATAGATGTATATACTAACATTTTGGGGTTGAGGTTACTTTATTTTTTTATTTTATTTTATTTTATTTTTTTGTATTTTATCATGGTACTGAAATCGAGAATAAGAAATTTAAATTAGGAAAATATAATTCCATATATCAGGATGAACTATTAGTAATTCAGGAGGCTATAGAGTGGCTACAAGAAAAATTATGCGAGTCCAGCAGTATTATAATTCATACAGATAGTTTGTCTGTTTTGTAGGCCCTCTCCAGCCCTGACCAGCAAAATTTAAATGTATAGATGGTGGAAAGTTTTGAAGTACAGATGATGTATTTTATTAAAGAATGTAGCCTGAAAAGAAATTCATTTCAAAGTTTTGTTCAAAGTTTTCATCCACACCTAATAGTTGCAGATGAAAACTTTATGAATAATGGATTTAGAGCTTCAACTAATACTGGGAGGAAAAGAATAAAGGTGGTTAATGGTCACATGGAGGCCATCAGCATTGTCCGTTAATTTATTTATGAATGTTTGGGTTTTTTTTTTCCAATATTTATATTTTTTTCGCTTTTCCTTTTTTGTAATTTAAACCAGCAGTTTATTATTGGAGAAGTTAAACAACAAGAATCAGTGTGATATTTGTAAATTTTACAAGACTAGTTTCGATGGTTTAAATACATTCAGCAGTTTATTATATAAGAATACTGACTGGTTATATGTTTTAAGTCTTTCTTGGTTGTTTTATACTAACTTTTTAGTTACTTGAGACATACTACCTGGTTTGCTGGAGCTTAGATAAGGATTGAAATTGTTTGAATTAGAGGCTTTTTATTTAAGAACATGGCCGGGCCACTGAACATCCTCGTTTGTTGTTTGAACAGGCGTGTCACATTTATGACCATAGGGCACAAAATAATTTTTGCAAGGAGGATTAGGGATCCTAATTATTTTGTTGAAAATGCATAACATTTCTTTAATTGCTTAGCCCAGGCATTTCACATCAAATAATAAATGCACAACTTTTATTTTCAATTCATTTTTATATTATTAGGCCTTTTTTAACATTTGAAAACTCAATGTAAAAATAGGTTGCAAAGTATATAAAGTTTGAGTAGTTGGAAGCAGTATGATGTATTTGGACTGTATCTTTGATTCCATTATATTCCCTTCTAAATTAATGACGTCATTTTAAGACTGGATTTCTCAGTTTATCCCGTGCCTTGCATCCCCATGAAATGTATTCTTAGTATTCATATCCTCTGGAATATTATTATTGCTCCTATATAAACTCAAGAATGCGAGCCACTCTGTTGTTCCACCACTGAAATTATAATTCGTGCTCCAGAACAGAATAAGAAAAAGAAAAAAAAAAAGAAAAAAAAAAAAAAACTGACTAAAAAACTTTAAATTGCATTGCTTAATTTAAATCAGTTAAATGGTTACCATGCATTGCAGTTGTTTGTAAGTAAATAAATTTTTAATTAGATGATATTAAAGAAAGTAATGCATATTTTTATATTTAATTTATCGCATTACTTACCAAAAAATGATATGATGTTAGAAACCTTACAAAATGAAAGCATGTTATAAAAGTTTAAAGTTTACATATATTGGACTATGAATTTATTAGTAGTAACTTACATAGCTACTAAATTATTAAATTGTCTTCAATCAGTTCTGTCACCTTAATTTTTAACATAATTTTCCTCTTTTTTGGAAGGGGGCTTATTTGCGTTAAATTTACTTCTTGAAAGTTTATTTACTTAACATTTGTCTATGTTCTTTGCAATTATATATTTTTTACTCTATCAGATTGTGAATCTTTTGTATGTAAACACCATGTTTTTTTTTTTTTTTTTTTTTTTTTTTTTTTTTTTTTTTTTTGTACGTTAACAGGAATTACTAGATTTGGTGCTTCTGTCAATCATTTTAGTTTTCATCTCAATTCCTTGTCAGTGATATATGGTTTATATGCTTAATTATCCTGAGTTATCAAATATATCTCAACAATACAAATAATTTAATTTTTCCTGAATAAAAGCTGTGAAAAAATAACTTTTAAAAAAGTCTTCATGTCTTTAAAAAAAGTCTGTTAGTAACGGTTTTATAATTTTTACTTGCTTGCAAAATAGTTTTCTCATTTTTTAAGTATAAATAACTAGAAAGTTTATCATTTCTAGAAAACATTGTATGTGAGGGTACAGTTTGGATCAAAACCAATTGCTGTTAATATTCATTTGCATTCTTTTCTTTATTGTAAACCTTTATTCCTCTGTCTGTAAATTTTAAAACTGAATTTAGAGATTCTTCTACAAGTTGAAGTACAAATAATGCTTTTGATTATTTGCATCTCCCACACCCCACCAAAAAGCTGTGAAAAAGAAATGATGAAGCAACACACGATATCACCAGAAAATGTTTATGTTTCAACCCAGGTATGTGCATAGCACATGTGCATTTTCACTTTTGAAATTCAACCATCATTTTCTGATTAGTACTTATTTTGGCATTGAATACATTAGTGTTTGTTGTAGTAAATCATAAGGGAACTGCAGAATTTGCTGTGTTTTATTTTTATTATGTTTGTGGAAATGTATGTTGAAGTTTAAGCTGTTCTTTAACGATTCAAATCATGGTCAGTTTGCAGTGCTGAGGCTGGGCATTATGCCAAGTTTGTGCAATTCTATGACGTTTTATTTGAGCAAAAACAAATCGCTGTTACATGGAAAGAAAATTTTTGTATGGAAAAAGAAGAATGTATAAAAAAATACCGGATGCATCATTGAAATAGAGATAAAGGTACCCAAACAAATGTTTCTGTCCAGCAATCACAAATAAAATCAAAAATGCTCTTCAAAGTTGGCAACAAGTTTATATCTTTGTGTAGGTGTGATAACTAGAAAATATTGATCAGATTCACTGTTTGTTATTAGGTCATGAAATTCTTTGAAAGCATATAAAATTTTTGTATTTATTAATTTTAAAAATGCATTTGAATATATGATGCATTAAAATATGTATGATCAAATCATTTGCAAGCAGTAGTTCTTGATATTGCGATTGTTAAAATGATTTGATAGTTTTTTAGAAAGTATCAAAATATAGTCTTATAAACAGTATGAAGCTTAAAATGCACATAGATATTAATGTTAAAAAATGATCAGATGTTTTATTAATAATGTTTTCTTTTAAAGCCTTAAATACGAAAAACCAGAAGTTCTTGTTTAGATTATTAAAATTTATTTTAAAATACAACATGAAAATATATTATGTTCTGGATTGTTGTGCGTAATTAAATCAAAAAAATGGTAATTATTTTAGATTTTTATCAATTATGAAATTGAAAATTGATTATCTTGAAAGTATTATGTATTTTCTAAAATTTTAGTGCATAATGATTGATTTTTTAACATCTTTATTTATTACATATTGCAGTTATTGTCTGAATAAGATCTAAATATATGAGAGTTCCAGCCCATACATCAGTCATATCTATCAGATCTAAATGGGTTTCTTTTTGTTTCAGCATAAGTCCCAGCTCACCAGAAACGGTTTGTGCAGAACCTGTTTATTGTGGTCTATACTCATATCATGTTCCTACGAATACTTGGTGCAAACTGCGTAGTGATATGTCAAAAAGAAATCCCAGTGATGATATCTCAAAACGAAATCCAAATGATCGTGAAATTAAATCACGAATTGGCCATTCAATGTTATTCCATGAAGTAAGTATGTGGGAGTGTTGTAAATGTTTGAATTAATGAAACTGCTTATTTTATTGATTATATTGTTTGATATGATTGGTTATCATTTTTGCACTTAAGTATGGTAGCTCAGAATTCAGCTTAGGTACTAATATTGTAATAATAACTGTAATAATTCATTATTCATTTTTTAAATTAGACAGAATATGACATTTTATTTTGATAGAAAAACTAAGGGAAACTGTCATGAACAAATTTATTCTGCACAAAGCTTACAAATTCATAGAAATGAAATATTTATGCGTGAGGGGAAACTATGAAACATATCAAACGTCAACAGTTGATTTTCACTCTGTAGGATACCATAATTTTGTTATTAAATCAAATTTACACAACACTGTGGCAAAACATGGTTTTTAGATGTTAAAAATTATATTGTTTGATATGAAATGGATTATGTAAAAGTTTCTTTATAATTGGTGATGGGTTTTGTAAGTGCATGTCTGAACTATTGAAATTATTTTGAAGCTAAAAAATCTCCATCTTCATTTCAGGATAAAGTCCAAGAATCTTCACTAGCTAATATGCTTTCATTATTTTTTTATCACTATAGTAAAAATAAAATGCTTTCTTAGAACAAAAATGGGATTTTTTTTAACCCCTTGCTGGCATTCTGGTGACTAACAGTAATACTAGGGGGAATAAGAAAACAAAATAACTTAAAAAATTATATAAAATATTGTAAAAAAGAGCAACTAGCCACAGACTGGCAGTCTACTATTCTGTGGTTAGGAGGGAAAACATGATAACTCTTCCCCCCCCCCCCACAGATAGTTTTTTCTTACTTTTTCATTAAAAAGAAAAGGAGCAAAATAATAAAAAGTAAAGAAATAAAATATTTCATATTCTGAAAATCCAGTAATGAAAAATTACATTCCCCCCAAATGCAGTGGCCATGGAATACCAATTATTATTGCCACACAAACATTCTGCATGAAAACTTGCATATGCCACTGTGGTATATCATAATCAGACTTAAGCTGGCACAGCACCAAGCATCGAAGTGCACGCAATAATAAGAAAAAGGACTGGAATGCGAGTAGCTGTAGATGTAAGTGTGTATGTGAGTGATGATGTATTTTGTATATATAATAAAAGTAGCATGTAGTTTAAAAGAGTGTATCTTGTGAAATAATTACCCACTAAAGGATACACGGTAGCTGGCGACGAGCATGTGTGATTTTTAAGAACATGTGCCTAATACAATTAAGGAATATGGGATTCCCCGAAGACTGCTCAAGGTAAAAGCTTTTATAATCATTTTTCTTTTCGGAAAAATCATGGAGCAGCTTGTAACTGAGTTAATAGTGCAGAATAGAGCTCTAATGGAGAGACTTACTTCAGTTATTACTTCACAGATGGACAATTCAAAACTTTCGGTTCAGTTTGAAAAATATAATGAACATGATGAACAGTTTGATTCGTTCCTGGAAAGATTCGAAAGTTATTTAGATATACAATATGTTTCACAGGATAAGCGTGGGGTTCCTGGAAAGATTCAAAAAGTTATTTAGATATACAATATGTTTCACAGGATAAGCGTGGGAAAGTACTGATTTCTAGTTTATCCGAAAAAATGTAGTCTCTTAAAACACTTGCTGTCTCCTGATAATTCTTCTGGTAAAGATTATAATGTGTTAAAAACAACATTAAGAAATCATTTAAATCTTAAGCCATTTATCATTCCTAGCAGACATATATTTTTAAATCGAAAGCAGCACGAGATGGAAACAATTAGTATGTATATGGCAGAGTTAAGGTCACTTGCCGTACTTTGTGCTTATGATCAGAACATGTTATTATATGTAATACGATGTTGCAGGATGTATTTGTTAGTGGGCTTAGAGATAGGGCTATTCTGGATAGAATTTTTGAGCAGGATAATATCAGTTTAGATGACACTTTTAAAATAGCTTTGACAATGGAAAAAGCTTTAAAAGGTTCAAATGAAATAATTGGGAAACCAATAGAAATTAAGGAATTTAGTGCCAGGAATAAAGGTAAATCTAAGTCAGTCGCTCTAAAACAAAAGTTTGAAAAACAAAACTTTGCAGCTAAGAGTGCTAAAGGGAAAATGTGTTCGTGATGTACAGGGACTGACCATGATAGAAATTCTTGTAAATTTAAGACAATTATCTGCAGATTTTGTAAGAAAATCGGGCACATTGAAAGAGCATGCTACAACGCTAAAAATGCTGAAAAAAACTAAAGTGAAACAAAAACAGTTAGATGTAGGAAATGAAAACACAGTTCCTATAAACAAGATACATTCCAGTGAGGTGAAAAATAGGAAACCACGCATAATGGTTCAAGTGAACATAGAAGGAAAACCGGTAGCTATGGAACTGGATACAGGGGGTGCAGTATCGGTAATGAGTTTTAAAAATTTCTGGCAAATTTCAAAAAAGAAAATTAAAAATACAAGTCTGGTATTTAAAACATATAATGGAGAAAAACTGATACCTTTAGGATTTACTAAAGTAGAATATAAAGGTCAAAATAAAAACTTAAATCTTTACATTGTTAAAGAAAACCTTGATACAATATTTGGTAGAGAATGGCTTTCAGAGATAAATTTAGATTGGTCTTCTATAAAGTCAATTTCTGTCTCTAAACGAGTAGTTTAAATAAATTATTGGAACTATATAAGGAGATTTTTGATCGAAAGTTAGGAGAGATAAAAAATTATGGGATTCAACTTGAATTGAAACCAAATGTTTCACAAAATTTTGTAGAGCTAGGCAAATACCATTTGTATTAAAGGGCTGGATAGATGAAGAAATTGATCGCCTAGAAAAAGAGTGTATAATTGAAAAGGTTGAAACGCCGGAATGAGCAACTCCGATAGTACCAGTAGTGAAGTCGGACGGTTCTATACGACTCTGTGCCGACTACTCGGTGACAGTGAACCCAAATATTGTTACGCATCAACACCCTTTGCCGACCATAGAGGAAATATTTTAATGTTTGAGTGGGAGAAAGCATTTTTCGAAAATTGATTTTAAACATGCTAATTTACAAATGAAAGTACACCCTGAGACTCAAAAATTGCTGACAATAAACTCACAGAAAGGATTATATAAGTGTAAGAGATTAATGTTCGGCCTAAATGCAGCGTCGGCAATCTGGCAACGTTACGTAAACGGACTATTCTACAGAATGTAAGGGTGTAAGGTCTTCATGGATGATGCACAAAAAACAGGGGCGGATGATGAAGCACATTTAAATACTTTAAAAAATTTCTTCGAGAAATGTAAAACTCATGGACTAAAATTAAATTAAGAAAAGACATTTTTTCAGGAGGAAAAAATTTTTAGGTCATAAATTGATTGCTAATGGTTTACATAAAATGTAAAAAAATATCAGCGATTGCAAAAGCCCCCAAGACCAGAAATGTCCAGAAATTCAAAGTTTCTGTATAGTTTTTTTTATGGAAATTTTGTCCTAAAATTAGCGACAATCGCAATCCTTTATATCAAGTAACTAAGAAAAACTCAAAAAGGGTTTGGACGAAGGATTGTCAGGAGCCTTTTCTAAACATTAAAAAAGAATTGTGTTCACAAAAAGTTTTGATGCATTATGATTCAAAATTGCCCTTAACATTGGCAACTGATGCATCACCAGTGGGGTTAGGTGCAGTACTTTCTCACAAACTTCCTGATGGAACAGAAAGGCCAATTGCATGTGCTTCAAGAATACTGACTGAAACAAAGAAAAAATATTCTCAAACCAGTAAAGAAGCTTTGTCAATCATTTGAGGAATAAAAAAAATTTCTTGTGTACTTAATATGTATGTCTGCACTGATATAATATGGTGTAAGTGCAGATAGGCACATAAAGGGGAAAGCATGCATACCCTTAAATGGGAATAATGTATATACAGACACGTACATGTACACACACAGGCACACATATGCATTTATATATATATGTGTTTGCATGTGGATTTATGCATACGTGTATAAACATACAGATATATATATGTGTATATATTTCATCATCAAGTTCTTGAAAAAGTTTTTGTATTTTTCTTCAGTCAGACCTCTTTTTTTTTTTTTTGGCATATTGCTAGAAAAATGTCAAAAAAATTCCTAAAAAACTTACGAAAATATGCAATATTCTAAAGCAACGCAAGGCTCGGTTTACAATTTACAAACGCAGTTATTGCGAATTCTGTAGCTATGTAGCTACAAGAACTAAAAGGGAAAATTTGGGAAAAATCTCAATTCTTAACACAAAAAGACCTTTGAAAGAGATAAGTGGTTAAAACCCAAGGGATGTCAAATTTGACATTTCATCCCACTCTCTCAGCCTGGAAGATGGGGGGAAAAAGACATAGCCACTAAAGTGGATAACCCCATCATTTTAAGCAGAGGACTCTATGGCCACTATAATGGCCATCCCGCCTTCAAAAGGTTAAATGGCAACCACTTGTGGCAAAGATGCACAGTTTGGAAAGAAAGCCTTTCTGAGGATATGTTTTTTATTAATGGGAGTTATGATAACTCATTAAATATGCTTATGTACTGTTTTCATCTTGAATAATTAAATCCAATTGGAATCAATTGGAGATCCAGTTTTGTTGAACTGCATTAAAGAAAATGATAATTTTTGAAACTGTATTTTAGAAAAGCCGCTTGTTGTATATATTTGCTGGTCAAAGAAACAGAGCAAGAGAATATCTGAATGACTTTTTTGCTTACAATGTTGATACAAATCAAATTACCATTATATGTGATGGATCAGATACAGAATGTAAGTTTGCTTTTATTTTAATATTTTATCTGTAAAAATACAAACGTCTAGTAATGTGTTAAAAATTTTGAGAAAAATTCTCATTATCTGAGCTTGTGTTTTCTGAATGAATATTTCAGTGTGCTTAAATACTTAGAGGTTTTATCTGCTGCCATTTTTTCTGTATAGACTTTAAATAAATTTTACTAATAGAACGGCCCTTTTTTTTTACTTTTTTTTTTTTTTTTTTTTAAAGATTTTTACGTTTCTGTTATCAATTACCTATTTTTTAATTCTCTGTATAAAAGTTTCATATATCATATTTCATTTTTTAACTACAATCAAATTTGTCTTTTATTGTTTTTATATTGAATAATATTATAAGTTCAACTATCCAGAAAGCTCAAGAAATGCCAAATATGTGACAATTCTTTATAGTAGAACATTCATAAAATGCAATCCAGTGTAGAAAAGTCAAATAAGTGGAAGAAGAAATTTCCAGTCTAAAATTGTAAAAACAGTCATCTTCTGTGTAATCAACTTGAATATTAAAAGATTACAATTAAAATTATTTAAGATTGGGAGGATGTATTTCAGGCATAAAAACTGTTGTACTTCATAGGCCTTAAACATACAAAAGTAATGCATATTATAATTAAATCTCGCTGGACATGGAACATGGAAGTTAGCAGGGATGCTGCTAAATTTGTACCAGTTATTCTAGCTGAAGTTTAAAAGAACAGATCATTCTTTATTAAGTAATCAACAGTTATAAGTTAGATATATGGCATACAAATAGATACATGTAGATATATGGCAGATACAAGTTCGATATGGCATATGAAAAACTTTGCTTATCGTACTTTTCACATTGCGAAATCATTGTTTATATGTTTTCAAATAAACTTGCATATTGCATACACTTTTTGGTAGTGATATGTTATGTGCTCTTCTGCTTTTAGTTAGTTAGTTCATTTTTAAATATGAAAATAAGCACAAATATTGAAAATGATTACATAATTTAATGATGTATTAAATTTTTAATTTCATTACATTTAAAATCCTTCAAATTTTACAAAACGAAAAGACCTTAAAAAGGCCATTTTTATGACACATTACGAATATCTCGTAGCATGGCCAAAAATATTGCCATCATTATTCATTGATCTCCACCATGCTTCTGCGAGAATGTGGTGTTGTACTCCAAATTTCAATAGCTTCATAATTCAATAATATATTGGAGCATGTGATAAAATAGTGGGAAAATAAATTATTAGAACAATAACCAATTTTAGTGACACTGTCTAAAAAATAACTAACTCGTTAGAAGTGGTAGATTGTGCACTATAATCCACTTTTCTTGATGTCAGCATCCTATATAGTTGAAAATATACCATTAAATTTGGGACCTGCCATAGAAGACAGGTGATTAGTTTTAGTCATTTTTCAAAATGCGAGGGAAAAGCAGAGAAATAGCAGTTAACTTTTAGCTTATTGAGAATTAACCCTGATTTGCATAAAACAAAGCTCTTATTATTGTATTGTGACATCAAGTTGTTCTTTTGTTGATGCTAAATCAGTAAGAAAATGTGACAGACATCAGTGATAAAACATGATAGTACGTATAAGATATTATTAATTTAAGTATGATATTTTATCATTTTATGTATATGAAGAAGAAGAATATCGTATATCAGAGTTCACATTCACTTAGAAAGTCTTAGAAAATTATGAAAGTTCAGGGGGAAAAGTGAATATATAAACGCTTTTCAAAAATTTTTTGTAATAGCATATTGAGTGAGATCTTATAGAGTTTGGTATTCTTTGGTAGCATGAAGTGGATTCAAACTCCTTACAGACTTGGAACAAATTATCGCTATGTGTCATGTTAAAGACGAAGTCTTGGGAAGGTTTTAAAACAAACCTTTGTATTAAATCATAACTGTAAAATGCAGATAAATTAAATCATAAATGTAAAATGCAGATCTCGTGCTTGACAAGATCAGCCAACCATTTGTGACAGTGTAACTTAATATGACAGTAAATTTCAAATTTAAAACTAAGTGTAGTAGACAAAAGCTACACAATTGATTTAATGCAGAGTTGGATCAAAACTTTTTCTCACTGCCATAACAATTTAAAATGATGCCAGCTATAATGCAAAGCCAAGTAATACTATCTTATCTGAGCTAACAGAAGCCTAGTAACCTAGCCTTGAGAGGGAGAAACACACTCTGTCTTTCTTACAATCCAGAAACCTCACCTTATATACTTTCAAACTTGATTTGTATTCTGGGAGGGAAATGGAAAGGAGAAGTGACAGTAAATATTTTAATCTTAACAAATAAATAGGTTAACATAATGAAATTTTACAGTCCAATAAGAATTAAAATCCTTACTAAAACTCTGATGTATTTTTAATTACTGAGATCAATCAACTATCTTATAGCAAATGCAGACTAAGTTTAAAAAAAATTAAATTTAAAAAAGACAGACGAGGAAAATCAGAACTTTTTCCAGAAAGTTGAGTTTCAAATAAATTTTTAAAATTAAAAAGTTAATGTTTTAAATAGTAATCAATAAGAAAAACTAAACTATTCATTTGCTTTCTAAAAAAGCAGAGATATTCCAAAGTTTTATTTTGAAACATCATAGGAATCACAGGACTATTGTTTTGAACGATGTATTATTATAAAATCCTTTTGTAGAATGAATAGTTTTTTAGATTAGATGTATCTTTTTTAAATCTTAATCTACTCTTCTGAATGACTTAATTGCCTGTTTTGCAGATATTATTTCTTTCATTTGCTGTAGAATAATGAGTATGAGTAGATTTTTATAATGTTTTTATTATTTCATTGTACAGTGAAATTCTGATAATCCACATATCCAAGGCTTGTGTGGATTTTGTCACATCTGAGTATTGTTTACAATTTCCCTTTGCATATAAAAATAATTAAAAATATAAATTAGTTTTACAAAAATGCATCAAATCATTTTTCGCAAAAAATTGTACATCGGCCAACAAAATTATTTTCAAAGTAATTTTTACACTCTTAAATGAGAGAAAATATAAATATACTGTTTGCAAAATACTTAGCAGGCTTTCCCTAAATTGAATTTCTACACAATTTTTTTTTTTAATTTACGTTCGGCACATGTGTTATTGATTTAAGAATCCTCAAAAAAGTTCTCGAATTAAAATTTTGGATTTGTTGAAAGAAAACTAGTTCTTTAGCTTCTTTTCTTTTACCATGTTGTTCAATTTTAGCAACAGAAAAGTCTTTGCAAGAATTAATTTTTACAGTCTATACCAATTCACTACCAATTTTGCTTGCTCATTTCGCAGAATGTAATTAAATGGGCACAAGGTGTGCATCTGAAAAAATGCAGACAAATAAATTATTGATATATGCTGCATAATTTTAAAATTAATTACCTACATCAGTTCAAAATTAAAATTAAAAGGCAGCAGAATATGCACCTAAAAAAATAGGGATTTATCAAGAGCAAACAAAATTTGCTGAGATTCATGATACTCATTTATTATGAAAGAGAGCAGTGCTGCTGGCATAGGAAACTCTAAATAATTTCAGTAATAAATTTCATCTTCAGTCAAAATATATAGCATATTTTTGATTGAAGATGCAAATTTATGAAATATAATATAAAAAATATATTTTTGTTAAAAAGTTTGCGTACACATGCCAGGCTGAATTTTCCGAAAATCAAAATTTTGTCTACATTTAAAATTGAACTCAGATTGCAGGTATTTGTAAATTAATAGGTCATGGAGTATTGGAAATCTGTTAGATTTTAAATAAATATGTAACACTATTCATTGCAGCTATTCCGTAGATAAAATTATTGCATTATTCATACTTAATATTCCATTTAGTTCAGTGTTTTTGGTCAGGAAATAATTCATTTTGGGGTAAAAATATATTTACGGGTGTCCCTTGTCGATAATTGGCGATTTTTGGCGGTACATGGACACTGAGTTTGTGCAATTCTTTGATTTGTTATTTTGCTTTGTGTAGCATCGCCACTACACAAAGCCAAAATAACAAGTCAAAGAATTCTGCAAAAGCAAGCAATTCATCTCACAAAGGAAATAGCCACTTACCTTATCTACAAATTTCCCTGTCTTCAGTCAAATAAAATTCCTTAACAGCATCCTAAAACTATCTGAACTAAAATCTGTTGTATACTGGCATTGCCACATAAATTCACAAAAATAAGATCCCAAAATATCCTCCGATGTTTGACCATACACATTTCCTTCCTTCAAACAGGACACTTATAATGGCAACTAAGTAAACCTTCATTTACGCACCGTCAATTAATGCTTTTTTCTCTTTCATTCCAAATGGTACAGAAACTTCAAATTAATCTAACAGCATTGAGCCATTTTATTGTGTAAACCACAAAATAACAACATACTCCAAAATCTGTCCCATCATTCAAATTCACCGCAATTACATCATAATAGGGTTTCCATAGCATTGAACTACGCCCCGGCGCGCAATGAATTGGAAGTTGATCTGTCAGCACTATCCTTATCTTCAGAGCAGATGTTTTTATTTTATTTGGTTTATAATACCTTACTAAATGTAGTATTTCATCTCGATGTACTCCATCTTTGATATGATTTAAATCAAATTCCTCGTCATTATAATTCGCTTCAGATAGTGAAGAAAGCGACACAGAGGTTATTGAAAACGAAAAAATTTGAGATTGACAAATTTGTCGATGTTCTCGACACAGCAATTATAGGACTTGAACAGCGGAACTTTGTAACTGAACAAGAAATTATGTCTGTTTATAGAATTAAAGAGAAAGTATTATTACATGAAACGAAGCAACTTAAACAACTTACATTTAATGAAATGTTTAATAAAGTAAACAAATAAATATTAAGCTTTTTTTTTGTAAATTTTGATACCCTTTAGATAATAATTGTTCTTTATTTCATAAATTATGGTTTCATATTTTTAATTTTATAATTTCTGCATGCCATCTTACCAGATTTAAACTGATGATCTATAATCCGGAAAAATCGATAATCCGGAATCCCCGAAGTCCCTACGAGTCCGGATTAACAACTTTTGACTGTATATATATATGTGTGTGTGTGTGTGGTTTCTCCCTTTCTTAACTAGTGGTTAGTCTAATCTTGTGCTCTCCTGCAGTAGCTACTGGAATTTCTTTTCAGAATAATTTGGGATATTATGCGCACACATGAATAGATTTATGATCTCGGCTTCACTTTCTTTGACCAATCCTAATTGTAATAATCTTCGACTTGATCATCTACATGCGATTTTAATGACTCAGGAATTCTCTCTCTCTCTCTCTCTATATATATATATGGTTTCTTCCTTTTTCCTTGTCGTTAGTCTTAATCTTGTGCTCTCCTATGGTAGCTACTGGAATTTCTTTTCAGAATAATTTGTGATATTTGTATAGTAATGTCCTCATTTCCTCTTTCTGTGCATCATCTAGGTGATCTAGTGAAATGTCCTCTATCCCTTTATTTCAGTGATTTGGAAATACCTTGTTAGATGTAGTTGGATTAATTTCCCTGAATTCATTCTCATTTCCCAATACCACTCCCACTGCTTGAACTCTAGAGATGTACTTTCGAATTTTCCCATCTGATAACTTAACTTGATAAGAATGAAGCGGAGTGTGTTGCACTTTTTCACCAGGTCCCATCCATCTCTCATATATTTTATTGTTGGAATCTGGAATAAGTAGCAAGACTTGCTCTCCTACTTCAAATTTTCGAATGGAGGAACGTCTGTTAAAGCATTTGGCTAAGCTCTTTGCTTAGCCGGTACGGTTAAAGGAACTTGTTCTCCTGCCTTCTCCAATCAATTGTATTTTTAGGTCTTGTAAATATTCTGCAACAGATTATGACATATTTGATGGTAAAAATATTTCTCCTGGTTTTTAAATTGCCAAAGGTTCCCGAGCTTTCCTTCCATATAGAAGTTATAATGGTAACACTCCCATAGTGCAGTTTGGAACTTCCCTATAGGCGAATAATAGCTGTGGAATTTTTTTGTCCCATCTTCTGGGATCATCTCACATTATATGATGTAACATGTTCTTAAGGACTCCATTCCACTGCTCTATTAAACCATTTATAGCTGGTTTAGCTAGACATGAAAAGCTCAGAGATGTGCCGATTCCTCTAAGAAATTCTTGTGTTAGCACTGAAGTTGAATTAGTTCCCTGATCGCATGCTACTATGTTTGGTATTCCTGTCTTAGAAAATATTTCTTACAGTGCTTCACCTGTGGATCTGGCACTCAAAGAAGTCATGGATATAGATTCTGGCCATCGTGTTTGCTGATCCATAACTCGTAGCATATAGCTTTCCAATGTCTTCGACCCGATGGTGGATCAATACCATCCATGTTCATGACTTCGAATGGCAATTCCGGTCTGCACACTGGAATTATGGATGCTCTCTCATTTACTCTTTCTGGATTCCTCAGCTGACATTTCTCACAAGATTTACACAACTCTGTGATGTCCTTAACCATGGATGGCCAATAAAAGTTGTCCTGAATCTGCTGCTTGGTTTTCTTAATTCCTGAGTGCACACCGAAAACTGATGCGTGTGCTAATTGAAAAACTTTCGGCCGTCTTCTCGCGGGTAATACCAGTTGGGATACCTTATCTCCCGAAACGTTGTCATTGTAATATATCAAACCGTCAATTAAAAAAAACTTTCCTTTCCCCTTTCTTAAATTTGAACTGACAGTTTCTAAGTCCTCACATTCCCTCTGTTCTTTTAATTTTCCCCTTTCCGATTTCTCTGCCTGTGATTTTGGTTCCTTAATTTCTTCATTATTTATCCTAATATTAGCTGACATAAATCTGTCATTTTTATTTTCTAATGAAAATGTTCCCGCGAAATTTAAATTCTGGGCCTGACTTCCATTTTCTGTCATCTTGCAGTCTAGACTATTTTCTGCTTCTGTTCTGTCTCCTGTTTTTCTCGAATCTCTAAATGTTATCTCTATAAAGAGTTCTTTGTGTTTGTTTTCCATCATTTCTAGTATATTTGTAGGAATTAGTCCTGGTCCTTTCAGTTGATTTGTGATGGCTACAATAACTTCTACGGGTGTTCTTAATCTACTGCTTTTCCCCTTATTTATTGAATAAAAGTCTTGATTAACTTCGCTTTTATTTCCTCACCAAAAGCTGAAATCAAAGTACTGACTCCATAATCCTCATTTACATTTGGGGACATTCTCTGGTTTCAAGATGGTAATCTGAATTCATCTATCTTCAGTCTAATCTATTCATCATTCAACCTCCCTTCTATTCACATTGACAGTAATAAATCTCAAGGGCTGGATAACCTCCGATGCCTTTACTTGTTTATGATACCTCCCGAAGTTGGGTGGAGCTACATTCGCAGTGCCAGCATTGTTCTGCCCCCTCCCCCCCAGAGCTACTTTTTTTTTTTTTTTTTTTTTTTTTTTTTTTTTTTTTGGTTCATTGCAGTTTTGCGCTAAATGCATTATTGCAAATGTAAGATTCCTTTGTGCGAGAGATCCCTTGTCTTATCAGCAAAAGTTTTTCCCTTCCAATTTCTACTATTTTGTGGCTATTCTCCTGGTTGTAAGACTTATGGGTCAGGGTCATTTGCTGCTCTCCACTGGTAAATCTAAACTCTTGACCGAGATGCTCAACTTCACCATTCCCTGCATGTGAAACTGTTTTTCCTTTTGAAATAAAATACAGATCGCTTTCTTTGGCTAAATCAATTGGGGTGAACCAGTTATTTCCTTGATGTGTTTTTTAATGCTCTGATGTTTCCATTAATTTATCTGCTGCAATTAATTCATTTAAAGTTTCAAATTCTTTAATTTTTCTTAATTTGCAATAAAAATTCCATGTTGCTCATAACTTGGATGCAGATTGAATCATTTAGCTTTCCTGAAATTTTCTAAACAAGTATCTGCTGTCAATTCAAATTCTGTAAGAACGATTGACTTTACACACTCGTAATTACTCATTTCTTCGCTTTTAATTCTTACTTTTCGCAGATTCATAGCTTTTTCTCCTAGTATTTTAAGTAATATTTCTGTTTCATTTCTGTTGGAATGTTTTTAATTTTGAATGATTTTTCTAATGAAATAAAAGATAAGTTCCAAGCCTTTGGGCATTGCGGTATTGTCAATGTGCAAACACTTTTAATCACATCTTCTAATGATAATGTTCTTTCTGAATTGGAATGCCTACTTGCACTGCTGATACTTTGGATACGAGCCAGTTCTAATTCATTCTCATGCTGTAATCTTAATTGCTCTCATTCCTTGCATTTAATCCTATCTGAAACCATGCTTTTTCAAAATTTCTGTAACAAAATTTGTATCATTCTCACATTCTGAACTTCTACTGCAAAATAAGTTTCCTTAGATCTGCTCTTGTCAAATTAGGAGTAACAGCCTGCCCTAACTCTTATGTGACAAATATTAAATCTTCGTTTCCTATTCCTTATACCGTAAACACTTTATTATTTTTTTATGCAAAAATAGAAGAAATAAATAGTCTGATAAAATTAATGACTATCTCTGTCTGCTTGATGGCAATCACAACAAACTCCACTCCTGACACCAGCTGTGATGGGTTTTTGTTCTTTTATTTGTTGTCATCAAGGCAGTAATCCAAGGAGGCACTTCTTGTTCACAAATCACTTATTTATTTAGGAATAAAAGAATATTATTTACTATTTACATAGATATATATAATAAAACTTAAAATGCCAGTCATAGATGACAAAGGTGCACGTTTGCAGTATACCGTGCAGCTCTGCCATATAATTTCTATGAGTACACCCCTACGGTAATCATGCAGTCATCTAGTTGCTGTCCAAACCCTCACTGAATCATCACGTATGGCAATCATTCGTCAGAGGAAGCTGTGTAGTTTTTCCTTCGAACATGAGAGGGATGGGAGTATCAGACATTGGTATTTTAAGGTGGCTAGTTATTATAAAATTTTGTCCTGAACTTTGTTCTGAAGGAATGTTCAAAATTTAATTTAATCAATTCGAATAGAGCAAAGAATTTCATGTTATTTCAATTTTAGCATTTGAAGTTTATTCAATTGTTTTTAAATGTTAGTTTCTTTTGATTAATAATATCAGATTATTTTCATTCGTAGTTCCACCTTTAGCTTCTACTGCAAGAGCAACCATAGATCCAGAACTCGATGAAATTCATGTGCTATGTGTAAGGAAACTTTGGTTTCTACTATTTTATTATATTTTAAAGCCTGTTCTCTCTCTGCTGCATCAGATACTTTTATCTTATGTAATATGAGTAAAATAAATACATTCATTACAAATATTTTATGCTTCTACAAAATTATAATCTCAGCTTTTAAACTAGCTGATTAAATTTATTGTAAAATTAGACCGCAGTTCAGTTTTATTTGGTATTAATTTTTAAAAAATTTACACTTTGATAAGTGATCTGCCAAGGATCTTTTGTTCAAAACATTACGATCAATGATACAGTATTTGCAGAATATAGCTTCTTGAGAACTGCATCATATTTTCTTTCAAGGCATTTTGTAAATTATTGCCTTTCTAAGCATGAATTTTGCGAACTGCATCATATTTTCTTTCAAGGCATTTTGTAAATTACTGCCTTTCTAAGCATGAATTTTGCATGGAATAAAAGGATAATTGATTTGGTTATTTCAATCCAAATTCCATTTCAATAATTAAATCCTTCTTACAACTATTAAATTTATTTGATTGATATTTTAAGACATAAATTATAAGTCTGTATTATTATCATTGCCTTTTTGGTTGTAGTACGCTTATTCAGAATTACCACTTTGAACAGTTACTGTGAAGTTTATCATGCACTTATTTTATGTTGAGTTTTCTTATCATCAAAATTCTAAATTTCAGAAGCCCACCACCAGCCGAGCGGTAAAGTCGCTGAACACTGGTAGTTCACTTCGAGGTTCGAATCCCGTGAACAGGCTGGCTGCATGGGTGTTTTCATAGTTTTCCCCATGTGTAACGGGTATATGAGCCAGTTTCCCTTAAAAAGTCCTCCACGAAGGCATCCCTTCCCTTAGGCAGATAGCCCTCGAGGCTTTGCTGTAATTAAATAACCTAACCTAAATTTCAGAATCATGCTTAATTTGTTTATCATAGTTGAAATACAGAATGATCATCCATAAAATTAAATTTCATAATGCAATCTGCAAACATTTGTTGCAGATGCTCAGAAAGTAAAATGAATTGACTGTTAAAATATTGTATTATTGTGCAGCTGGTAGCGAGTGTAAACCAAGACACTGGTGTTTAATGCCATTTCAATTAATATATTGAATTGATAGAGCCCTGTTTTACCTAAATCATGAAAAATTATCACTAAAAATCATTAGTTATGCAACATAAACCTCACGTTCTGTATCTGGTGCTTCTTACTTAAGTCAACATAAGAAGATGATGAGGTGTTTCTTAGTTTATCTTATGTAGTGTAATGTAGCATATTTGAATTTTACAACTGTTTTGTTTAAATTGTTTTTAAAGCAAAGTCAATTTTGCATAAAATAAAAAAAGTACAAAAATCATTTATAAGTGTGAACTATAAATTCTTTATTCATTGAAAATTTATTTGAAATTATTAATGTATTAGTTAACAAACTCAATTCTGAAACTTTTTCATTAAACAGTTTTAATGATTTTTTGAACAAAAGTTGATTACAACTGTGTATTCCGGGTGTTTTTTTTTTTTTTTTTCCCTTATTGTCAACTACTGAAATATTTTCAATTATTTATTTTAAAATCAGGTTTCAGAAAAACAGTGAAAATACATCCTTTGTCAGAAAAGTATCAAGACAACTTTTTTTATTTCTGAGTTTGCAGTACTAAAAAGGAACAAATGGTGTTTTTATGTTACCTGGTATGTGTTCTTACTTGACATGACCTTGGTCATGTTTCCATGCAAACTTACTGGGGGCAGTACTGTGCATAGCAACACACTGTTCAGATTGTTGTCACATTTGTTAAGGTGACACAATGTATGCTGAATGTGAGCAAAGAGTGAACATAAAGTTCTGCATTAAGCTCGAGAAAACCCCTAGCAAAATGTGGAACATGATTAAGGAAGCATATGCAGGCGAGGCACTTTCAACAAGTCGTGTTTTCGAGTGGCACAAAAGGTTTCATGAGGGCAGAGATTCAGTGTAAGACGATTCCAGAGCCAGTCACCCATCTATAGCACATACCGATCCAGTTATGGATCGTATAAGACAGTTTTCTTGCAATAACTGAATGAATTTCTGCTAAACTATTGGATAGAGCCAGACATGATCTCACATTTGTGTCCAAAATTATTGTGATTTTTTTCGTTTCCGTGAGTGAAAAAGTAACTGAAAGGAAAGCTTCATTAATATTATTGCAGATATCCAATGGGCTTGCAAGCATTGCAGTTGAAAATTTCCTTGCTTTCTTCCAAGACCTCCAGAAACATTGGCAGTTGTATAGACCTTTGTCCTGGAACTTTTCTGACAAAGGATGTAAATAATTTTAGAACTTTGGGTAATCATGTTGTATATGATCTACCAATTTTAGCTAATTACCAATTTTTTAGGTTGCAACACTAAAATTGGTTGTTGTGTTAATAATTTATTCATGTGCTCAAATTTAAAAATAGCATTTTAATGGCTCCATTTAAGAAATAAATAACTAAAGTTGGTAGATCACATACTACAGGATTACTGAATTTTGTAATTAAAAAAAATATTACAAAATTCTAAAAATAGCATAGCCCTTTGATTTTATAGTGATTTAAATAATTTGAAGTTTGTCAATTCGTAGCTGATATGTAGCCTTTTTTTTTTTTTTTTTTTCTATCGTTAAAGGGTTCAAACCGAGATAAGAGAGAAGAATATGTAAAGGATTCTTTCTGGGTTTATGACATTAATCACAATAAATGGTAATAAATTAAATATTCTTCATGTTTTGAAATTTCTGTATACTTTATCAATGGTTTACACCCTGCTTGTTCTTCTCTTTGCAGCAAAAGCTTTGCAATGAATTTTTATTGTATGTCTTATATTTATATGAGAACTAAAAATTCATCTATCAGTATATAAAATTTGGACTTTTATTTCAGTTAAATCAACAGCAAATAAAATGTTTAAAACTGGAGTACAGAATATTCATATGTTTTCAAAATATTGAATTTACATTAAAACCTTTGGTAGCTCAACATCTCAAAGCATGCCGTAAAAGTATTGATTTTGCAAATTTCTAATAATATGTTAACAAATATTAATTATTCCAGATTATTAATCATTATTACAAGTAATTTAATATTACCTTTCTTAATGTTCATATGCATATGTACACATATCTCAACCCCCCCCATAAAAAATGCCAATTGTTTTTAGTGATAAAATAGCTTCAGAACTTGTTGGTATCAGAATATCATTGTCCAACACATCTTTGTTTTTTGAACATTTTGATTACATGTAGAATAGAAAGCTTCATATCAGAACCATTGTCTATGTTGTGAATGAATTTCTGAAAATGATGCTTTTGTTTGAAGATTTTTAAAAGCATATTTATGCTATATGCTGATCGAATCACCAAGATCTGTGATCTGGTAAACTTAAACTACTCAATGTCCAAAAGAAAGCAATTGATTTAATTAATTTCTTTTTACAAAGTTATCAGTAAACTTGCCCCCCCCCCACGGCAAGCTCTAGCCATTTGTAGGAGTTGGCCACTACTAAAGGCCAGTTTACTCCTGTCACAGCAGCTCTTAGCGAGCCGCTCGTCCAGGCGTCTCAAACCAAATGAACGGACGTGTCCTCTGATAGATTGTGTACACCAATCAGAGTGGACTACGAAATGGATACCGATGTGGCAGCTGCAACAAAGAATATGCATTAAATATACATAGATGTTCTTTGGCTGCAGTGCTTGAAGTCTGTGAAGCAGTTTTAAATGAATTAATGTCTGCTCTTGGGAGAGAAAAAAAAAAAAAAAAAAAAGAAGAAGAAAAGGAAATAGGTACGTGACTGGGTAGCTTGCTGCGATGAATTATAAGTATCAAATTAACTATTAAATGAATTTTGGTATGAGGATGTGCAAAGTTACAAAAACTTTATTGTATTTCAGATACAAGGACTTAGAATATATTATGTAAACATAATTGAAATTTATTCCCTTTCAAAATATATTCATTAATCAATTTAAAAGAAATTCAGTTTATTGAGGGAAGTTATTTAGTCAACTGTGGTTATTGAAATTCAAATTAACAAAGTTTTTCTACTATGTACAAGTATTTATTTACACATAATTAATCATTTACAAAATAATGTAAAAGTAATAATGTGTTTTATTATTTATTAATAGAAATAATATATTTATTCATCCAGAATCCACAGAATCAGTAGCTCTCTGTGCATGTAATTAATTATGCAGAGTTCTGACTGGAACTGTGTTATTTCTAGAGCAGAATGCAAAGTTAACACATGGAATATTTATTCAAAGCTACCGTTAACACGACAGAAATAAACTGTATAATATTTACCTAATTATTCAGAAAATCTTAAATAAATAAGAAGTAGCTAATTATTCAGAAACTAATTATTCAGAAAATCTTAAATAAAACTTGGGAGCATTACATATATTATCACAGGTAAAAGGATATATATATTATGACATAGTTACAACAGGAAGATATTTATCTCAAATTGTTACTTTTAGAGCCTGCTGAAATTGTGTTTAGTTCCAACAGGAAGATATTTATCGCAAATTGTAACTTTTAGAGCCTGCTGAAATTGTGTTTCTGGACAACACACAAATAAAGTGATATCAACAAAATTAGCAATAATTAAATATAGTGATTATGCTTTACTTTTAAAATGCTAAAATGGATAGTTTAAGAAGAATAGAATTCATCTAGCATAATTTGTATAAACCTTAATACACCTTAAGTACTTGCACTCAGTGTTTCACATCCAAGCTGAATTGTAACGAATTATAGCCCAAAATGTTTTTATACAAAGCAACAAATTTAAATATCCTCAATAAAACAGATCTACATATTTTTCATAATTCCATTTTTATTTTTGTAGTTTATATTATCATATGTCTATTGCATCCTCATGTAGGGATGCTTGTAGAAAAATGAATATAAGCTCACATAATTATAGAATTATGCAACTTATTAATGAAGCAGTGAAGTGTTCCCTAACACTTCATAAGATGCGTATGCATTAAAAAATGCCATAGTTTGGCTATCGCTCAATCTCGGCATTATAAAACTCACTGTCACGACGTCCCTACAAATGCTGCTCGGAGTAACTACCCGGATAGATTTTTCAACAGGTTCAAAGTAGAAACGGAAGCACTGACTGATCTTCCCCACGTTTCTACTCCATCGAAGTGAGCAAATTACATTGTCAAAGTAAACCTAACAAGCGGCTCACTCCGAGCTGCTCTGACAGGTGTAAACTGGCTTAAGGCTGGAAGTGGTGGTCTCTTTATTATATTTATTATCTAACCTTTTTACTAAGTGTTTGATCAGTTTAAATTTATTATGACTGGTTTAATTAATTTAAGTTTAAACTGATCAAACAAATAATTACATTTAATCAGTGTAAACTTAAATTATCAAACATAAGTATTTTATTTTATTTCTAAAGAAGAGTACTCTTTACTCCATCAAGCTGCAGTTAGAACAAAACTTCGCACTGGAATGTCAACTATCACTGAATGATTGTTTAGAATCAAATGTTTCTGTGCATTTGAAACCTGTTTCACTACTTTTAAAATAATGTAAATATGTGTTTAGGGCTTTTGAAAATCTAATTGTGCCTGTCAAACTTTCTTCAATTCCAACTCGCAACAACTTCTTTTGATAAGTTGTATTTTCTGAACTGAAAATGAAGCACACCACAATTAAGTAACAGTCATATAATAATTTTAAAAAATTCAGAAAAAATCAATATCAGATATCAGAACATAACAATCTGGAAGCCAATTTCAATGTTAGTAAGGTTATGTTGTATTTATAATATATGATACTGTTGTTAAGTTCAAAATGGAAATAAATTTCTGAAGAAAAGTAATATCTCACAAAAGGATACTGATTTTCCTTTTAAATAATCTGCTTAATGCACTTGTTGAATTTCTGAAATTATGTAAGTATAATGGCCAATACATTAAGATACAATTTTTTATTGTTTTTAAAATTATTTGCTATCTGTATGTATCTTTTCAGTGTTAGGATTTTTATGCAAATGTCTGTAACTGCACAATAGTTCTGAATTACTCAGAATAGTTTTATATCTCTCAGATATATTCACTTTTGATAAATAATAATAAGAAAAATACAAATCTTTACTTAAAAAGCAATTTAATGTGCAATGTAATTGTTAGATTTATACTTTACTTTCTTATATACTAATTCTGTTGGTCTTTAATAGGTCTTGTATTTACCAGAAATGTGTCAAAGATCAAGAAAATGCTACTAAAACTGAACAGCCTTCGGAACCATGTCCAAGATTTGCTCATCAACTTGTATATGATCATATCAGAAAAGTGAGTATATAATGAAAAAATTCCAAGATTTTACTAATATTTCATTAATATTTATATATAATAAAGATATAACCATGATGCCAGAAACAAAAATAATTTATTAATCTTTTCTGAAATTTTGTCTTTATATTATAAGTAATACAAAGCGACTTCGGCAATTCTGGATTTGGGATTTTTCTGGGTATTAGATCATCAGTTTAAATCTAGTTAGAATTTATAAATGTAGAAATTATAAAAGTAATCCTTTCAGGACAAAAGTCGCAAATGCACAGATATCGCTGGGGTGACTTTCTTTTGGGAGTTTCTCTACAAGGCTGGAGGGTTTTTCTCTATTAAAATTAAATCCACAAAACTGCAGAAAGATGAACACATTTGTGAGATTCAAAGACATAAACAAATGCCAATTAAGCTAACTTTGCCTAGGGAGCCAAATTATTGATCATGCAGATTTGTGTAATGAAGTGTTTCTTCAGTGTAATACCAAAGTGAAATTAAAAATCAGGACTCTCCACCATGTTTTATTATGAAAATTAAAAGAATAAATGTGCATGCGTAAAGCATACCAAAAAAATTTCTTATAAGAAATAATAATAAAAATAAGAGGCTTCTGGAGTCTGGACTTTGTACTATATTTCTTTCTGTAAACCTGTTACTCCTTTACTGTTAATAGTGTATTAATTTGATATATATCAAGTGAAACAAAGGAAATCCTGTATAGAAAGGCACCAAAATATTAATGCATAATGCCATGTTTTCTTAAATGTGTTCTCAATGGTTTAGTGTTCCTCTCCTTAGAACTGGCATTGCAGGTTGCCAAATTCTTTAACATTAAACATGTATTCATGCCACATGTACACTACGCAAAAAAAAAAAAAAAAAAAAAAAGAGAGAGAGAGAGAGGGACAGTTCTATATCTTCCATTCTACTGGGAAGATTAACAAAATTCAAATTGCGTTTCCATGTCTCGAAAGCGCGACTTAGGATATATATTAGATTTATATTATATAGCATTGTTCTAATATAGGTATTTTGACACAAAATCTGACTTTTTCTGAAATAACATACCAACTTTTTTCCATATTTCAATTCTATGACTCAAATTATGACAGTGCCAAGTTTTGTGAAAATTGCAGTTGTTTATAAAAAATTAACTCTCAAAATTTTAGCTCCTCCATGTTAATTGAATTTGGTATATATATATTAATATAACTTTTTTATTAAACTTATTTGATTCTTCCTTTCATATTTCGAGTTTTAAGTTCATTCTAAGTAAAATTCGCCCATTTTTACTTTCTTGTACGAAGTAAAAAAGGAAGTATTGTAATCGCAAAAAGTTTCAAGCAGCATATTTCAATGAATATATCCATTTTAACCGCTATCGAATGCAATTTAACGGTGTTTTTGCGTGACATCTGTACGTAAAGACAGAATAAAAGACTCTTTTCGTCCAAAAAATTATAAAACTGCTTTAAAATGAATTTTGAAGAGAATTTTTCGTGGTGTCTGTACAAACTTATCTCGCATAACTCAAAAACAAGTAGCCTCAGAACATTGAAATTTTGTATATAGGACTGCTATAACATGTAGATGTGCACCTCGTATTTTGGTTGGAATCGGCCGCACCAAACATGTATAAATATATTTATATATATATATATATCCACTCTGTTATCCGGCTCAGTGATCTCAGTTTCTTTACTCTTATATGTTTGTAAATTGTGCATTTTTTGCTTTAAAAATGATTGAATTATGTTGTTCTGATCTTCTGGTTAAGGTTTCTATGCCTTTAGTAAATCTGTATGCAATATTTTCAGAATTATCAACAATTTTAAAGTTGTTTAAGTGCCGTTAAGCCTAATAATTTTTTTGATGGCGGCCTTTGCTTGTTTACATTTGAAACAACAGAAAAGTGGATTTGTTGCTAATCTAGAGAAACTTAGCTTTGCAACAACAAAGATAACGCCTTCATTTATTATTGGAATTAAATCATGCTTAATCCTATCTTGAATTTTTTCGAGGAAATAAGTGTTTAAGATTTACTTTGTAATTTTTAATACAGATATTTTGAGTTTTTATCTATTTTTGACTTGTTGCAAAGTGAGAACTGAATTAATTGAATGAGAAATACTGAATCGTCTGTGAAAAACTGTTTCTTTTTTGTTTTCTTTGCTTAATTTCTGTTATACATCGTTCTAGATATATTAGAGTATTTGAATAGAACATGTGGCAACGATTAGATAATTCTTCAAACGAAATAAATTTTGTGCATTCTGAGTTATAATATGAACGAAATATAATGCTTTTAAGTGAACCTAGCGCCAGAGTGTCGCTATGGTAAACAAATATAGTGAATTTTAAAGAGTGCATTTATTCTATTGTGGTTTATGCGCTACCGACAAAGTAGATTTAATTCAATCCAATGAGTTTAAATGAAATGCAAGAAAAATGCATATAATTTAATATTCCGTACAAGGAAGTCTGGTGTAAACATCAGATTTTTTACGATTTATTTTTAAATCATTTTTATAAATTTTTTTGAAAAACATTTTGAATTGTAACGTATAAAATTTTTACCATCATCTTAAAATAGATGTATTTCTAAGCATACCTGCAAAAAAATAGTTTTTCATTCAAAATTTCCAAAGATATATGTGAATTTGCATTTTGGCATATTTTGTTATAAGCAATAATAATGCTAAATGTGGTTTACGAACTTTGTTAAAATTATTTGGAAGTATGATTGATGATTTTTCCCCCCACTCGTATACAATGAAAAATAAGGGAAGAAAAATAGGTTGCTATAAATTAAGAAGTTCGCCAAGTGAATTATTCTTCATGCAAACTGAAAAAATTCAGCAAGATAAATTTCTGAATTTCTCCGTAAATTTTGCATCAGAGGTTACAAAATTTAATATTTAGGCATAATTTGTGTCGTATTTGAATTTTGTCAATCAGCCCAATAGAATGGGAGATATAAAACTGTATCCCCGTCGCAGTTTACCCATAACCTTACATAATCTCAAAACTTGCAATCTTACTATTATGGAAACAGTAATAAAGTAAATGTAGGATATGCTACAGAAATAATATCAAGAATTTTATTGTTTTGTAATTCTTTATCTAATTTAAGGATGTCGCATATAATACTTGTATACAAAACTGACATTTTTCTTCTCATGCTTCACATTTTAAAGTTTCGAATACAAAGCCACCTGAAATCTAGTCAGTCATTTTGAATAAACCTGAAGTATCAAAAAATATGAATGGTGTGTGATTTTTCTGTTCATTTGTTGCTTCCTTATCATTAATAGTTCAGGTAATTAAAAACTGGGTGTATTTTAAAATATTGATATCCTCAAATATTCCAGAATTTTTTTAAATATTAATTATGTAAGAATATCACATATTATTACTTTATAAGTAATTTTGATTGCCAGTTTCTGAATGGTTACTGATGATTTTTAAACTTTATTACCAAAATGCATTTGAAACTAATAAGCGACTGTATCCTTGTTGTCTTTATTTCTTTCTTAAATTAAAGTGTGCCATTTTAATTTTTTTTTTTTTTAAATTACAGTCATACTAATAACTGCCTTTCTCATTTAGATTCATTACATGTTTGGGGGTAACCCTGGAAAAGTGCATTCTCCAAACATGAGGTTGGATGACTTCTGGTCTCTGCAAGTGAGTTGAAATTTAGATTGGGGCAGCTAATAAAATGCTGGCTTAGTGCATTATAATATGCATGTACATAAAAAGCCACAAATGTGGCTTTTTATGTACATTTTCACAAACATCAGTTACAGATATATACTTCCAGTAACAAAAAGTGTTCTAAATGACACAAATATTTATATTTTGGCATTTTTAAATTTAAGAAGAAAATTGTATAAAATGTCTGAAATCGAATTTATTCAGTTCCCTGATCCGTATAGTTAACATTTAGTAAAATTTATACCCATCTTAGGGGGGGGGAAGGTTTGACTCTATATAACAAAAACTAACCAAGACATTTATTTTCAAAATCTGGGATTTTTGACATCTTTTGCAGTTTTCCAGAAAGGATTAGTTACAAAAAAAAAAAAAAAAAAAAAAAAAAAAAATTCAGTAGGGTTTTTTTTTCCCCTTTAGTATTTTGTGATTTAATGGTGCATAAAATTCTTTAATTTACAATTTTGTTAAATATGGTTTGCTGAAAGAATGTTCACATAATCACATAATGTTCACATAATTTAGTTTTTAAATGCTAAAAATATACTATTAATATTCACATGCAGGTTTATTAGTTTAGAATTCTAATATAATAATCTCATAAACTACTAAATATAATCTTAATAAATTATTAAAAATTATTTACTAGCAATACTTTTCAATTTTAACTTATGGAAATAATATTCCAAGTTGACTATATTTAGTACTAAAATCTGCCACTGTTTTCTACAACATATGAATTATATAAAATTTTGTGAATAAGGTCTCTGTTAAATTTATACTTTTCATGAAATATTTTCATGAATTGATATTTCATTTTTAGTTATGGTCAAATGCAAACATTTTGCTGTTGATTTATGCATGATCCCTGAACATAATCAAAAATTTTTTAATTAAATATTTCAGTCTTTATATATATATATACATAAATGATGGAGTGAAACTTTTAATAAATGTAACTAAGAATTAGGAGATGTGTAGAAAGTTAAATTTCACAATTTTTACAATATATATATATATTTATTTATTTTAATTTTAAAATGCCGTAACATCAATCTTGGTAATCTTGGTTTAAAAATGCCGTAACATAATCCTTGGTAAAGCATTTTTGTAACTGAAAATATATACTCGCATTCAGTTGTTTCAAAAGTAAAAGCTGTATTAAGATTTTTAAGTGCTGTACTATTTATGTAAAAGTTTTTTTTCTTGCATTAAGTTATTACAGTTTATGTCTTATTACAATTATACTAGAAATTTATTAATTTTTAAATTACATGGGTTTCTCTAAATTTATTAAATTATCGAGAATTGCACAGTATTTTAATTATGCTAATTCTGTCGGTTTGAATATCGATTTCTAGTTCTACCTGTCACAGAAAAGTTTTGTAATATTTAGTTTAAAAACATTAATGTACTTTGAACATTTTTTATGTCAATAATTTAAAGGAATAATAAAGATTTTGACAACTTAATTAGACATTTTAATTAAATGCAATTTATTCATTATGTTTTAATGAGAGTAATTAGCCATTTCTAACATATTTTTTCTGCAACGTCCTTAATCCTCAACTTGATATTATAAAATTTACAGATGATGTCAATATTTTCAGGGAGAGTGTTGAAGTGAGAATACAAAATATGAATTTTGCAGTTTACATTGCAGCTTAAACTTTTCATACTTTTTTTATTATTATTAAAAAATGTTCCGGTGTTTGACAGTTTCAGTTACTTGGCCAGTCATGGGGTATTTTTTAATGTTAAACAAACAATAAGCAGAAATACTGCAATTCATGGTAGTTCTTAATTAATACCAATTGCAGCGTTTCTGTTTATAGTGTAACGATTAAAAAATAATATGATTCTGAGTAAAAATGAAATTATAAAAATATAAAAGTAAAAAATCTGTAATTTATAAAGTTATATTATAAATTGATGTATTTTTTAAATATAAGGTGTAAAATATTTCTGTTTAGGGGCAGTGAAGCGTGCAATTATGGCAAAACATCCGCACAAACTCCATTGATTTCATCCTTCTGAATAATACTGTGCATCATTGCAGCCTTTGAACAGGAACTTTTTGAACTGCACCTTATATTGTATTAAAATTTTATGAAAGCTAGAACTTGTGTAGAGTAGTGTTTTTATTATTTTTTTCTAATAGTTACTTCTTTTTAAAGTTGTATCGCCCTACAAAAGATATGCTTTTACGGCAGTGCTGCCGTATTATTAGGCAACATAAATTTCAAGAAATTGCATCCAGTGATCAAATTGCTGCTCTCCAATACTTACAGACAGAACTTGCTAGTACAATAGATCATCAAAACATAGATGAAGCAAAGGAGGTCAGTATTAGTTTTTCATATTATTACACCTTTTATATTTAATGATATTTTTTTAATTCTTTTTATGACTTTTCTTCATTTTTATTAACTGAAAATTAATTTTAGTTTCAGCTTTTGGCTTTCAATCTTTTCAAAGAAAAAGAAGAAGAAACTAAAGGTAATTGCTTAAATACTTTATACCATAGTGAAAAGCATTTATTGAACACATGCATATCCTTACATGAAATATATATAACAGTAACAGTATAAAAATACTATAGTTATAAGACTAAATAGTAAGGTTATAATATGAGAGTAATAGCTTCATGTATTTATTTATTTTTTAACAGCACCATACATTTGTTAGAACTGCCGACTCTCCTCATAAATCTGAGAGACTCCCAATTTTTAGTTTAACCGAATTTAGGTCATTTTCTTTAAATATGAATTGAGAGGAAGTATTGATAACTAAATGTCAGAGGTAGAGAAATGTTACAAAGAAAATTTGGTACTATTTCGTTTTGAGGGCTGTAAAAAAATTGCAGCGAAAGTGTATGCGCGAAAGCACCAAATTTAGCAAACACGCCCATTTAACAGCATGCCAAATCTAGCGTACGTGCTGATTTCAGATTGTGTAAGTTTATATACTTCTATATTTCTTAAAACGCCATTGAAATACTAGTTTAATTTTTAATTCCTTTTTTGATATCCTATGGATTTAACAATTTGGGAATTGCCCATGATGAAAAGTCTGCAATAGAATTTTGGGTAAAGTGCAGAATCACCCACTGCTTGACGTGTTTTTAAGAATTGCACATACTCAGTATCCATGTATACATCAACCTATTTTCACTTTAAAAAAAATCCTAGAATTGCACAAAAATGGCACTGCGCACACCCTTGACTTTATCTATGTACACATCGACCTATTGTCACTTAAAAAGTAAAAGAAAATTGGATTACCGCAAACAAATAAGCCGGCGATTCTGCACTTTACCAAGAATGTTTTCAAAGAAAAGGCATCAATCATTATAGAAAATTATGTTTGAACAACCAACGAGATGACATTATGCTTTAGCGATAACTCGGTAGCAAAATGTTATATGAAATTAACCTTTCATCTAAATTAAAACATCAATATTAGATAGTTATTTACTATTATACTTCCTTTCTTGCATTAGGGTTGCCGCAATTACTTTTGGCAGCATTGGCATCAACAATAGTTTGCCGATTCTTTATGGCTCTCGAAACTGAGTAGTACCAAAAATTTTTATAACAAATTCTTAAAAGCTAATGCATTTAATTTTACTCTGAATTTGTAAATAATAGTTCTAAATTTACATACAGAATAGCATGCATAATAACTATTAATTTTATTTCCATTATGTTTAAAAGTATTTCCCATACCTGAATATCATCTGTATAATATTAACACATTGTTGATGATATACTGCAGAACAAATCGAGCTTCAATTTCCGCATATTTTTGGCGTATGTGTGAAATAAAAATGCACCTATTCAGAGAAATGCAAAACTAAGAATGGAAGATTGCACCAGCAAGATATAGCTGCGAGTGGGGAAAAAATGTAGAAGTCTGAAGAAGCAGTGTTGGGGGGGGGGAAGATCCCATTCAAATCCTTATGGAGCCCAGCCAGTGAATGCAGACACATGTGGGCTTTTATTATCTTGATGGAACATTACCTTTTTGCGCCAGAACTCAGTTTAACATTTTTCCTTGATAGCAGTGTCAACATAGACTAGCATATCACTGTGACCTTACTGTGAAGAGTTTTATCTTCTAGATACTGTTTATGGATAATACCATGGCAATCCCACCAGATACATGATGTTTTTGTTAGTCAAACTGCACTTTGCAATGCTGCCGATGGGCTCACTGGGGACAGGACCAACTCCCTTTTTGGCCTGTGTTATTGAAGTAAATCTGCTTTTCATCACAAGTGACAATCCAGTCCAGAATTTTGTCCTTGTGTTGATACTCGAGCAGATTAGTGCAGACCCAAACGTGTCTATCCTTATCTGCTTGAGTCAGCTCATGCAGCAGCGACTGAACTTGTAGGTCAGGTTTATGCAATGCCTAGTTCGACTAATTGACATGGCACTAATGTAACTCCTTAGTAAGCTCTCGAGTGGTTGCATACTGATCTTCTACCACAAATTCTCGCAGGAGGGCCTCATCAACATCAGTAAGCCGGCCAGAGCGCTCTACTTCTTTAATGCCATAGTCCTTGTTTTTGAACTTTCGGTACTAAACTTTCACAGTGTCATATAACACAACATTAATACCTAAAGCTGTACACATGATTTGGTTACATTCTATACCTGACTTTTTGCAACAGAACTGGAAATAAATAATGCTTCTAATCTGATAGCGTACTAGTTCCATTTTAGATACCTTGTACTTAATGATAATAATATTTTTTTACAAGTTTAACAACACATAAAGGAAGTCTCTTCCTTTCCATGCCAAAATTTGTGACCAAATATGATTAAACATACCAATGCGAACTATTTGCACAGACGATATTTGCATTGGTGGGAAACTTTCATTAAAACCCAATATCTTTGATTAATAATTGGTACAATAATTAGTACAATTATTGATGATGCAGTCATTTCTTTTAGAAAAAAATTTAAATATTTGTTTTCATAACTAATAACTTACCACAGAAATTATGTGCATAAATTGGTTATTTATCATCTAACAATGCTTTTAACTATTACAACTCAAGATAATAAATATTCAATATAAAATCTATAACAAGACTTTTAATATTAGTCACATCGCGTAATACAACTGAAAAAATTGAAATTTTCACCAGATTATATAATCGCAGCTACTTGCTGTCATGCTTAAGTTAATGCGTGATTATCAGATCTACAACACATTTTAGGTCAGAATGGTAAACTAGCTGACCTTTTAACATTTAATGAACTATGCCAAACCTTCTGGGTCAGAATGGAAAACTAGCTAACCTTTTAACATTTAATGAATTATACCAAACTTTCTGTAGTTCTAATTTCTGGTTTGTGAGTCATTTCTGCAGCAACGCTCTAGAATAAGTTCTAATGAACTCTTGAATCAGATTACACCCTTCTTTTAAATTATGCTACTTAGCATAAGATTCTTATAAATCTGATCTGGGTGAGCATTGTGATGAGACAAAGAACATACAGCTAAATGCTAGTAAAACTTAAATTGTAAATGTTGCAATGTTAATAATTTTTTTTTTTTTTTTTTTTTTTTTTTTTTTTTTTTTGATGTGGTAGTTATTACTACCAAAACTGCTGTCATATTTATTTGTAAGAAATTGTCACATTTCTCTATGCATGCCAATTTGATCTCAGTGCACATCCTGGTAATTTGAAAATCAGATGCTGTAATCCCAATGAGGATATAATTCAGTTATCACATCTCTTTTGGCTGCAAAATATAATCTACACATTAGCAGGACGAAAGATCAGAAGTCCGAATTTCAATGAGGACATAGTTCAGTTATCACACCACCTGGATCTGAAAAATCTATTCACATACTAGCAGTATCAATGTCTGAAAACAAATTTGCGAAAAATTCTTCGCTAGTCTTCTGACTGATGCTATTTTCAATTAATTGTTAAAAACTTAATTTGGGGTTTACAAACACAAAATGAATTAATTAATCATTGCATTTATTATTTAAAAAACAACAGTTTTGCAGACATAAGATGGAGTTTATCGCCTTTATTGGATCTTCAGTGTTTGAAAACTGAATAATGCAGATATGCATTTAGCATTTTCTGCATTTGAGAAATCGCTTATTCACATCATGTCTTCAGTGTTTAATAAATTAAAAACATTGACTGGCATCTCACACTGAGAATTTTTTTAATTAGTCTAAACTTAGTTTAGAATTTAATTCATTATTCTAGATTTTAATATATTTTACATTAATATGTTAAAATTTGTTTAATAACCCAAATTATGTATTTGAAACCTTAAATCAAATTTGCTAATTTGATTTTGCCTTTTGAAGGTCATGTCACACAATGTTTTTAATTTCAGTTAATTTTGTAACAGTACTAACCTTCTATAAAAATCTTATTTCAGATGAACTCAGCGTCGATGAAACACTGAAACGCAGAAACCAGTTATTTGATCAACTTACACAGTTTTTCCCAGATCACATGACACAGCCAAAAGACAACCTTATAGACTTAATTTCTTTCTAAATATTTATTAAACTATATGAATACATGATTTTTCGTATGGCTACTTTGTGCCAATTGTACATTTTCTGTAAAATATTTATGTAGGAAAAAAAAAGTATACTTCTATTTTTGGAGTTATTTTAAGTTCATTAAAATTGAACTGTGAAAATAAAAATATCTACTCCATCACATAAAAACATTTATAGTTCTGTTTTTCTGTTTGCAACAGAGATATCAGACTCAAAATATTGTAACACTCTCTAAAGGAAAAATCCCATAATCCACCATAAACTGTATATAGGTATTCTGCAAATATATTTAAAGGGAAAAAAAGTTGGTGAATATTTATTCACGGTTTAATTATATATTTTAAATTGTTTATACTTTAAAATCATCATTATTGCCGATGTATAAAGTCTTTTTAAATAAAATTTGATCATGTTTTGAAAATATTATTCAATATCTTTAGTAAAGATTAAGAAGGTAAAAATGCTTGCTGAAAATATAAAAAAGATGCAAAGCAAACGCTGGGCCTCGTTGAATATTTTCAAATGACATACTAGTAGTGCAATCTTATGGCAGGAGTCAAGCCACTGAATGCAATTTATTTTGATATATTACTTAAGCAACAGTTAAAATACTGAAAATTTAAGATGTAGTCATGCAATAATTTGAAGAAAGGTGGTTTGAAACATCCTTTTATATCAAATTTAGTACACAAAACAGATCAATCACAGAGATCAATATTTTGTAATTAGGAATTATTATCATGACTTATTTCAAATGAATGTAGTTAAAATTATTTTATTTATAATAAGCATACGCTACCTGGCAGAAATACAAGAAATAAAACTAATAGTCTTTCTTTTAAAATCTGGAGCAATATAGTTTTATTAATATTATTGTAAAAAAGATGTGAAATAAAATAAATCAAGTATAAACATACATTTTATTTGTACTAAATGAAACAGGTATGTAAAATGTACTTGGAATGTATATTATCTCTTACGATTCTTGCGAGCACTTTTAAAGTGTGATGTTGGTCTAGGTGTTTTATTCTCTGTAGCACGTAAAGGACTGGAACATTCCCGTACTTCACCAGTGAAAGCCTACAAAAAGAATAAATAACGATTAGGTAAAGTATATGAAATAGTTCAAGAATTTAACAACATGTAGAAAAATGTATAATAATAAAGGGATAAAATAATTAGTAATTTTTAATTATTTAGTTACAAAGGTTTTTTGTGGTAATATATTTAAATACAGTTTATGTAGTAATATATAATAATGAAAACACAAAGTAAAATCTATATAAAATTATATAATCGCAAATAATTTTTATGATTTTAGGTGTAGTTTGTAAAAATATAAAATATTTTCTGCTGAAATATATATAAAAAAAAAAAGCTTTGTTTTTGCTTCAGAGAACAGATGAGAAATGTAAGTTTTGTCTGCCCATTAACATAGCAGCCATGCTGTCAGGTTTTCAAATCAGAATTTTTGTATGTTGAGGTATTCTTCAAAAAACTGATTCTTATGAGTCTAACAATAGTGATGCAAATATGGAATTACTGGGTCTAAAAGAGGTGAATTCAATATGAATTCTTATGCCCTATCACATCCCTCAATGAGATGACTAACATCTGTAAATGACTATTTTGAATCATAGAGCTACATCGCAAATCTAAGAATTACGGTTTTGTTGCACGGAATATACAGTTTTAGATGTAGCAATGGAGATTTTTGCAGTACCACAGATGTTAGCTTCTACAAGTAATATCTATAGTATAGCAGATGGAAAGAGAAATGGTATAACATTTCTTACCATAATAGCCATGTCTAGGTCTAGTGGCAATAGACTGAGAATGCTATTTGACTGTAGTATGAATTATAAATGAACTTAAACACAACTTGGCATCACTGATTGATTGCAAATTAAAATTGTTTGGCAACAAAATATTAGATTTAATGGAAGCATGTTAAAAAATTGAATTTTTGAGAACATTCATATGATTATTATATAAAATATGTCAGGTTAGCTTAATGATCTTAAGTTTTACAATTTATACCTAATATATGCTGAAACTAATGAAATATATTTCAGAACACAATTCTTCAAAAAAATTAAGTGCAGTTTATTTTAAATTTTGAAAATTTAAATTATCAATATCTATGGTTAATTTTCATTTTTCCTATTTAAAAATGCATAACACAACTTACTTTGATAAACCTAAATGCGAACAGGATTGCTATTAATTTTACTTACTGTAATTATGGTTTCTTTTCTGCTTTCAGGAAAATTTTCTTTTGGCATAATTTCATCACTTGAGACACAAGATTCATTTGATTCCACTGAAACACTTCTAACTTTTAATATAGACTTAGGAGAATTCATTTGAAATAAATTTCCAAAGTGTTTGTATATATCTGAAGGACTTTGTATTAAAGGCTGCTCTTCACCTTCTTTTACTTCCTAAAATGAGAGAATTGAAATTACAATCATTTTGAATAATTCTGGTATTTTCTTGTTAAAGTAACCATTACATACTTTGATGATATTTAAAATTAATTTAGCAAAAATTAGAAAATAATGTGGAAACTTTCAAAAAATGAAAAATTGTAATATGCAAGGGAAATAAATTTACTTATCTTGAGGGAGGCTATAATTTGCAATAAGTACAATTTATAGAATCAAATATTTTCTGTCATCCTGCATAGTACCACCAGATAGAAATATGAATCTAAATGTAGCAAGTCGTTCATCTTTTACATCATTTGGCTGCACCTCATTCCTCTTTCTGTGTCTGTGTGCCAGATTTTGGATCTACAAAGCTATACTGAAAAGCAGCCTTCTTTCTTCTGCTCTGGTAAATATGCCACATCTTTTATCATTTCAATTAAAGTCTGGCAACTTTCTCTCCTATATGCACAAGAAACCATTTGTTCGTTTCCCTACAAATTCTTCCAAAAATTTAAGTTTTTCACAACTTTTTTAATTTTGCATTTATTGCAATAATTTACATTATCACTGAAAAACCAAGTATTACTGAATGTGTTCACAGCTTGTGTGGTAACAATATAATTGCATATTTCCAATACTATACATCTTGCATAATACAAAATGTCTATTGCAGGCCAAAGTATAAAAAAACCCTCTCTCAAAACAGTAACCCACAGTTGAAAATTTCTTCTATGTTTACCCCACCCCACCCCCAAAAAAAATACTCATGGGCATATTGCTTAAATTTACAAACATAGTTTAGTTAAATTATTTTTAACCAAAAAGATAGCTAAAATTCACTGATTTTTCAAAAAAAAAAAGTTTTTGACAGCAAATTATTGCATGTAACAGAAATTAACAAAAGAAAAAAATTATGCCAAATAAGATATCTAAATGTTTTGTGCTAACTCAAAATTTATCAATGAAAAGTTATCTAATCCTAATTCTAAAAAAATTTTAAGTCGCAGAAGCTCACAGAAGGGGACAAGGAAATCATTAAAATTATCAGATTAAATAAGTAAATTATTATTATAATACTGTTTGCAGCTATACACTAATAACAATAATTCTTGAACTTATTAATTAAAGCTTTATAAAATTCCATTAATGTAACATTATACCTCTTTTTTTGCATTTTGATTTTGCTTGTGTTTGCTTTTGCTATGCTTGAATGTTATTCTTTTAATGTTCTGTTTCGATAAATCTTGCCATCTTACATGTTTTACACTATCTGTAGGACTGCTGACTTCTAAATTTGCATTCAGATCTTTGCTTTTAATACTGTTTTCCATTTCTTCACCAGTTTCACTCTCTGAACACATCCTAATTCAAGAAAAAATATTTCAACAACAGCATTAAATTTTAAAATTATATAAAAATATAAATTTTATATTTACTACTGACAATCTTAAAAATGATAATAAAAAGAAAATGTATATAATCTAAGAGTGATGTTTTTACATGTACATATCCCATAATTTAACAACAATTATAAATGTGATCATCAAAATTAAAGTTCTAAATATTTTTATTTACATATATATTACATTTTTGTATAAATATTTTAGAAATTAAATTTCCTTCCCTCTAGTCATTTTCAAAAACTCTTAACTCTTCTAAACTCTTAAAATATGTCCAGATATAATTTCAGTTGTAAATGAAAAAATAAAAATCAACAAAGAATAAAATGTATTTTATTTAACAGCGTCACATAGTTTTCTTAAGCATTATTTTATTCTAGATAAATATTACATTGCTACTGAAGATAAAATTAAAATCAGAATTTAAAACTATATGAGAATTCTTGGCAACAACAGAAAATTATATGACAACAAACTTTCTAAATCATGATCTAGTTGCCACGTTAAAAAAAAAACTACTGTTTACAATGAATATAACAAAAGCAATTTAACTATGCATTAATTCCCATTCCCATATATATTTTAAAAAAAAAAAGTGTGGCATTTTTTATTAAAAATTTAGCTATATTTGAAGTACTTTCATTTCCATGGGTCTCCCAAATATCGCTGAAATTGTAGATGATTGATAGCTTGGGTTTAATTATGGCAAAGCACATGAGGGATATCTGCCTAAGGGAAGAGATGCCTTCATGAAGGACTTTCTAAGGGAAATTGGCAACTGGCAAAACCCGAAGTAATTTTATGCAGCTCGCAAATACATTTCAATTAAGTATTTGCTGCAAGGATCCCAAGAATTAAATTATTCAAAGTATGAGTCTACATTATTGCCATTAAAACAAACATGAATAATGCACAAGAAATTGTATAAATAGAACTACTTAATTTAAAATGCAGTATAAATCTTATTCAAAGATTTGAATATACAGATTTCATTAATTTTTATTCGTACATTTCAAAAACTAAGTATGCTCAGTTAAAAATTTTTGCACTAAGAATAATCGCTTAGTTTGGAGATACATTTATTAAGTGAACAGCTTTTTTTTAACTTATACATATATTATATAGTCAATCTGATTGATTGATCAGTCTCTACAATCGGAGATAAAGATAATATCTAGTAATTTCTTTCCAAAGCTAAAAGCTTTATCAGAACTGAAACTCTATCAAGTGTCAAGTTATAGGAAAAAATAGAAAAGCTTATAATCATTTATGTTCAAGCATATATATAAACATACATTTATTTATGCGAAGAAAAATTTAATAAAAGAAAAAACTTATTTACTCTCAAATTTTGTGCCACCTGAAAATTTTCTCCGAAAACTTAGAAAAGTCTTTTTTATTTTTAGTTTAAATTAAAGTATATTATTTATTAATTAAACATATTAAAATTATTTGAAACAAAAGTCAATCTGAAAATTGTATATTTATTTAGCTGTCAATATATTTGGAATTACAACTGCTACTGTCTTGAATCAAACTTTAGATTTCAAAAAAAGAAAATATAAATTTGAATTTTACTATTGTTGTTTATGTATGTTTTAATAAATATATAGAGAGAAAATTTTAAACTTGTTTAAAATATTTTTATACTGTAAAAAAATATTTTATAATTCTGGCCCAGTCTGCTTTTTCAGACTGTGCATTTGGCCAGCATATGGTTTGAGATCACTGCCTTACAACACATAATATTTTGAGTCGGTGTTCAGAAGATTTTTAATAAACTCTTCTATATAATAGTATGCATATATTATATGATACCAAACAATTTCTAATGCAGTAAAAATTTCATGAAAAGAATCCATTATTTCATTTTGAGAATTAAGTGAATGAAAAGTCCTTGCTTATATCACATAATAGTATTGTAGATGTATTGTCATGGCACAATTTAAAATGAAATTAGTGTTCTAAGTATGTTGAGCATTTCTGAAATTCTTTGACACACCACCTGTGTGGGGCACGCCTTCTGAAACTCCTCCAAGTCATGTGCCATATATATATGCATGCCCACTGTACAATCCCAGGTCTATCTCCTGGTTGGTCTTTTGGTCCATTCTTTTGCCTTGTTCTGCCCTTATGCTTTCTTAACCTCATCCTTAATTTTTGAATTAAATGAAAAACCAGAATTTTTTATTTACAGAATATTTATTTAAATCTGACAAGCATATAGGCTATCATAGAAAATTAATTATTTCTTGAGGTTACTACTGCACTGGTTACTACTGCACTTCATTCCAGCTCTTTTCTCCAATAACAATATTTTGTAGAAATGCTTAATTATCAGTTCCATGCCAATGGAGAAGTTCTTAGAAATCTCAATAGTACATTTTATCCTTTATTAAAATCTGGTCTTTCCTTGCTTTGGTATCATAATAAAATTTAACTGTTCTTTTAAATCTCAAACTATTCCTCAAAATTGTGTATTATTATTAGTTTTAAGATTAATATAATAACTGATAATTTTGCACGAAGACACTAGCTCACCAGTCATGTATTCAGGAAAGGCTTCATGTGTTCCATCTACCCCTGTTTGTTTTATGAAGAATATTTTTAGATATCCCAACCATTTTCTCTCAAAATCCATTCAATTTGGAATAATTAGGAACTACTGTTAAAAATTTCAAATCCCGAGGTTTATATGTAAAATCTTCTGTCCACATCTATTTAACTGACACTCATCAAGGCATTGATAAGTAGTGTAATTAGATGCTTACAGAATGCAATTTCCTGTATTTGGAAACACTTTTGAAAACTTGACAGTGAGAAACTCAGCATAATGAAGCAAATATTAACATTTAAGAATGCTTCTTTTCACAAAAAATAAATCAGATTTAGCTAACTTCCTTGCATTTATAAAAGAAACTTAAAATGCTTTAGGCAAAAATTGTTTTATGATGCTTGCCTCATGCTTCAAAGTATTCCTTCCAAAATTGAAAGCTGCAGATAGTGCATTTGGCATTGTATTTGAACTACTAGAATTCCGTGCAAATGAATCTAGTAATGCTTAATCTATCTTCTAAATATCTAAAGCTACTCCTGCAATGGAATCTTAACTTATAATAATATTTAAAAAAGCTACTTATTTATGTATTTTTACTCTTTTCCTTTCAATCCTGTAATATTCAAGCAGCATTAGATAAGGTCATTGGATTGGAGAGTGACCACTTGTCATCTACCAGGTTGAAATTCGTGTGTACCTTAGTTTAATTTTAATGTTTTACTTCCAGTCTAACCTTAACTCACAGTTCATGATTCACTTGTAACTAATATTTTACTTTTCATCTTTCTGGTTATTGTTTATTAATCTTTGTTTATTCTCCAACTTATTTCGGCTATATTTCAAAATTTCGTATGGCAATGAAAAGTAACCAAGATGATATTATATTGGCTATATTTTTAAGCATTACAGACACCAAGGGTTTTGAAAAGTAGTTGTGACCTCATTTCAAAAACCTTGTTAATTATCACATAAAAATCTGATATAATCTCAAATAATTAGAATATTAATATGACACACATGCATACACTATTTTCAAACAATTTTATTGTAAAGAAATAAGAATATTTTTATTAATTAATTAAAAATTTATTTATATTGTACTTCATCATTTCTCAAAGTTATTTGCCTTACCCAAAATTGCTTTATGGAGAGGTTCAAGTCTGGAAATTACTGCGCTTTATATATATATATATTCCTAACTAGGGCAGTACAATCGGCAAGACATTTTATTATAAAAAAAAGGGCTTTTCATTTAATTCTTAGTATTAGATCAGAACCTGAAGTATCCATATTAATAGGTGTTGGAGATGAGGGATTCCTAGCAGGAAGAGAATAGTTCAAGGAATGTTGAGAATTTTGGTAACTTGTTGAGCTATTCACATTATTTCTAAAACTTTTACCAATGGAGTCTTAATGGGAATTTTCGGACCCAGAAATTTTATACTGTTTTTGTTTAATGAGACAATAATATTTCACAATGATCAAGGATGTTCTACATTCTGTCACAATAGCACACATATAATTAATTTTCAATACTGAGTCCATGGAAACAAATTGAACAAATTTAATATGTTCAGATGATTCAGGATGGGAATTTGTTATCTTTCAAAAGTTTCAACTGTCAGTTTGTGCTCTTTCTGTATAAGACATGTATTTAAAAAATTTTAATTAATATAATCTCTGGATGATACATTTGTTATAAAACAAAATTTAAGAAAGATGATACATTTCCCAAATTCGTAAATTCCATGCAAAAACTCTGATTATATCTGGACCACAGTCACCTCTGTATTTATGATCAATTAGCTACTCAATTATGAATGATATAATGGAATTTGGAAACAGGTACAGGTAGAAGCTAGGCTAGCACCTCTGTAGTACCACGGGCAGTTGTGATACTTTTGAACCTAGCTAACTGTTAAGTTTATGCCTCAGTTTTGAAAGAGAATATCCTGAAGGTGATCTGAGGATCTCTCACCCCTCTTCCCCTACCACCAACTTATCGAGAGGATTTTCAGCTCGCCATATATTGCTCTTGAGTAAAACGCTCCCTTGCCACACAGACACTTCATGCTTACAAACACCTGTGCTTTTTCCAGGATTCAAAGCCAGGCCCATCGGGACAGCAGTCATCTTCACTAAGCACCATACCAGCTGGGAGGTAAAATTTAGAAATAGCTGACATTAAATTTTAAAAAGGTTACACTTAAAAATTCTTCAATTTGTGCATAACTTTTTTCTGCTTAAGATAAGTGGCATAAATTGCCTATCCTGCCTAATATTCTTTGAATTCAGTTTAGTTGGCTCTGGCATTCAGGATCAGGTTTCATTCCTATAGTATCAAACACATAATCCCAAATACTTCACTTCCTGTACTTTATACTTAATTTTAGCCTGATTGAACT